CCTCCCCCCTTCCCCCCTCCCATGTCGGCACACCCCTCACACGGTTCGCGGCCCGTCCACCGAAGGCCCCAGTGGCAGGGTTCGCATGCGGGCCCCCGCCGCTCGCATGTCCATGTCGGCACACCTCTCACACGGTTCGAGGCCCCACAGGGAACATATCCCTGAAGGCCCCAGCGGCAGGATCCACATGCGGCTCCCGCCCACCGCATGTCCATGTCGGCACACCCCCCACACGGCTCGTGGCCCAAAGGGAGCTCCAACGAAGGCCCCAGTGGCAGGGTCCACATGCGGCCTTCCGGCAACTCTGCCATACCCTTCACGCTTTTCTCGCGGCTGCATCGTGACCCGCCCGAGCCTCGCCTTCCGTCGACCGTCTACCTGTTTGCTTCCTCGCTGCGGGCGGCCGGCGCGCGTCTCCGGAATCTTCTCGGGGCGCCCGGCGCGCGTCGCGAGGAGTCGCCCTGCTCTCGAGGAGTTGCCCGACTCCCACGCGCCGTGCCCAACGCCTCGCCTGGTGTCACCCGCCATCCGTTGCTTCCCCTCCTTGCCGCGGAGGACCCGCGCGCGTCGCCGTGCCTCCTGCAGGGCGGCCGGCGCGCGCGTCGCGGGGGCTCCGCGCGGCGGCTCGCCGGCGGCCGCGCCAGCGCGGAGGGACAACGAGGCGGGAAACACTCACGGCGCACAGGCACAAAAAAAAACGGCGGCGCCTGGGGCTCGGGAGCAGGGCGGGCCAGGCGGGCCGGAGCGCCTCGCGCGGCGCAGACAGGCGGCGGGGGGTTGGGGAGGAGTTGGCGGGGAGGTGGCCGCGAAGCGGCGGCGCCTGGGGGCTCGCGCGGAAGCAAGCAAGGTGCCCGCTCGCCCAGTTCGCAGGCCTCGAGATTGACACCAACACCAAAATCGGCGGTGCGCATCCACCGAGGGAAGAGGATCCCGATCTCGGCGATGGTAGTGATGATTATGGTTTCCGAGGTGACCGAAATATGACCACCAGCACCGAGATCTAGGATTATCTTCCCCCTGTGGAGGCAACCGCCTGTGTTGGTGTTGGTGCCGATTCCCATGCCTCCAACCATTCCCGCTATTCCCCCCGTCCACGCTGCGGACCCCTTGTTGGCCCCATGTTTGGCCCGCGATAAAGGCAAGTGTAGATGGCCGGGTCTTTCGCGAGGATCAGTGTTTCAATCCTTGTATGTTTCTCTCTTTCTCTCACTCTCTCTTTTCTGTGGCTCTCTTTTGGGTTGATTCTGGCATCCAACCATACGCGGGTCACACGCTCGATCTCCCTTCCCCACTTCATGTCCTTAGATCGCATACGCGTCCAGTCAGTCTTCATCCCGGTGGCCACCCTGTGTCGGGGGTGGGCACGACCGTGCCCGACGCGGCCACGAGTCGCTCTGGTGAGGGAGCTCCTTGTCGCATAGTGTATCCATCGCCTCCCTTTCCCCGCGTCGCCGTCACAAGGTCTGGAAGAGCGTGCCGTTCTCCATGCTTGGCCGGAAGGAGTGGCGGCTCGTCTCGTCTCGTCTCCCCGCGGGAACCGGGAGGGGACTACGTTGACGATGCGTCCGTCGACAGCGCTCAGGGGCAACGTGTGGAGGGGGATGATGATAAGGCCCGAGGTTCGAGTTCGAGGTTCGACATGTTCGGGACTTTTTCCAGCAGTTGCGCTTCGCCGGGGCCGCTCCGAGGGTGCCCGGACTGTCACACAAGGCCGCCGCAGCGCTGAGTGTCGATTCGGAACGCCGAGGGGGCAACATAAGTAGGGGATGGGCTCAGGCGGGACTCATCGACCCCCAATCGCCCACTCATCGGCGATATGGGGCCCGAACGCCCACCCCCGCCCCAGACCGTATGGACTCGCCTTCGGTGGCGCTCCGCCGATGTGTCGGCGATGTGTCGACGATCCCAGCCCGACTTCTTCCCCCGCCTGAGCCAGCTTCTCCCTGCCGTGTTTCCTTGAGCGCGCAGCTCATTCCCGGTAGATAGATTGAGTGCCTTGCCTTTGAGGCTTTGTAGGGGGGCCTGCCTGGGCAAAAAAAGGTCCCCAAATCTGGGATTGTCTGGCAGCCTTGAAGAGTTCGTGGGGGGCTCTTCGGCCGTCTCGGACGTGCCTAAGACCGACGAGGCGGGAGTCCGCACATCATTGAACAGATAAAGGGGCATCGATCATCGGTTGCTTCCAAGGCCCTCCTGGGTGACATCTTGGAGCCTTGTTGGGGCGTCTTGGCGGACTCTTTGGCCGCCCTGTCGCAATATTGGGTCGCATCGGGGGAAGCCTGGAGTCTTCAGAGGACCCTTTCGGGTCATCTTGGGGGCGACTGTCGCCATCTTGGATTCCAATTATGCCGACAAGGGCCCTCCAGGAAACCCTCTTCGAGCCATCTGAGGCGGGAGAGCAAGGCGGGCGGCGGAACGGACAAAGGGCCAGTGGGAACCTTGCCAGATTCCTTCACATAGTTCGGAAAGCTACACACTCTTCAATGACTCGACAAGGGGTGGCGGACCTGTCGATGAACGAGCGACGGGAAAGTACAGCCAAAATGTTCATGTGAGGACCACTTCGGGCTCAAGAGGGGTTCCGCTTTGCGGGCCACTGATTAGATCCCTGGTCGGGAAATTTGTTCGCGGCCGACGCTCGCTTTGGCCAGAGAAGCCCTTTTCGTTCCTTATTCAGCACTCCTCACGAGCAGCCAACATATTTCGTATCCGCGCCGTCGCGGTCTAGATTCTTGGGGGGCGCGATCCCACGGATACGTGATCGCACCTCATGGATACGTTCCGCGCCGGGCATCCGCGAAATCACGCCCCGTAGCGGCGGGGGATACGGATCTGTTTTTCCCCCACAAATTCTTTACGTTAGCACGATGATTGCCAAGACAAGCAAGCCAGCGCCCTACAACGACTTTCGCTGCGCAACAGGCGGGACAGAGGAACCATGTCTCGTGAAGTTGTCGAGGCCAGGGGGAACCGCATGGATGAGGCAAAGGCGGAGGAGGAGGACGAGGAGGAGATACAGGAGGAGGAGTAGGAGGAGGAGGAGGAGGAGGAGGAGGAGGAGGAAGAGGAGGAATAGGAGGAAAAGAAGGAAAAGGAGGAACAGGAACACGAGGCGCTCGAGGATTACGTGAGAGAGGGAGGCGGAGGATGCGCAGGGGAAGAGGAAGAGGAAATCAGGAGAAGGAGGAGGAGGAGAAGGAAGAGGAAGAAGAGGAGGAGAAGGATGAGGGGGGCGGCGATGAAACAGGAGGATCAGCAGGAGGCCTGGGTGAACTCGCCGGTCGGATTGAGCACTGTGGACACGCATTGGGCGCTTTGTCAGGCGCACTTCCCCAAAAGGGCGTACCCGTGCCCTCTCAGCCCAAGAAGGATGTGCTCATGGCCCTGCATCGATCAGCACCGGGATGTTCCGGGGACGGCGCTGTACGTCCGCGCCGTGGCAGTCGGGCTGTCCAGTTGCCCTGCGTGGCGCCAGGGGAGGGGGTCCTTGGTCCTTGCCACCGCCGGGGGGGGGAGGAGGAGGAGGAGGAGGAGGAGGAGGAGGAGGAGGAGGAGGAGGAGGAGGGCCTCATGGCCCACCCAGCCCAGGAGCGCGCGGGCTCGTCTCGGAGCCTGTCGCCGATGCATCGGCGATGCGTCTGCGCTTCTAGGCCACCGTCCCCCCCCCCCCCCCTGGGCCTGTCCCCCCCCCCTGAACGTTGCCCCTCGCCTCGGGGCCCGCCTCGTGACGCAAAGAGGCTGGGCCCTGGCGCTCCGCGGCTGGAGCCGTGGCTCACAGGCGCGCCCATCCGGTCAGCACTGACCGGCCACCACAGTCAGTGCGCGTGCTAAGGTTGAGCGGTGCTCCCAAGGGTACTTCTGCGTCCCTACCTCATCCTCAGGCAATCCTTAGCTCAGAGAACCTATGCTCGGGCGTCCGAAGGGCCCGCATCCTCAACGCGCATCCTCGTTCTACGCGTTGGCTGGAAGTTGTACGGCGCGTGTCGCGTTGACGCAGCGGCGACCCCGCCGCGGGCGTTCCAGGCTGGACGCCGCCAGTGGCCTAGAGTCAGCCAGACGCCCCTTCGTCTGCCCCTGTTTGCCTGCAGGCCCCAGGAGGCAGCAGCAGAGGCGGATGCCCTCCCACCCACCAGAGCTGTGACCGAGGAGGGCTGGGCAAGGATGTTAGGCGAGGCCATGCCGAGGAGGGTTCCCCCTGCCGGCTGCCCTCTGGCAGCTGTCCTCGCAGCGCCCACTCCCCGCCCACTGCGGCCGCCATCCATCCTGTCGGATCCCCTCAGGGAGGGGCAGGTCCCGCGGGCGCCCGTTTGCGCGGAGCCCGCCAGGCCTGCCGAGGCATCGGGCCTCGGGGAGCGACACTGCGCCTGGATGGAGGCCAGGAGCGTGTCTACTATACTGTGGTACGTGTGTCCGCCACTTAGTGGCAAGTGGCGGCACAAACGCCGTGTGTGTATACATCGGCTGGTGTATATATATATATATACATAATTAAATAAATAAACAAATAAATAAATAAAGAAATAAATAAATGAATAAATCACTACATAAATACATAAATGAATATACATATATATATATATATGTATATATATATATATATATGTTGCGGCACCTGTCGCCCGGAGAACGGGCCGGAAAATGATGATACATCACGCGTTGTCCTGTGGCGGCTCTGCGAAGCCCTGTCGGGACAGGCCCAGGTGCCTCAGTGTGAAGTGCGCGGTTCCCAGCAGCGGCGTGGTCGATTCGATTCGCTTCCGCCTCCGCGCCGGTGCGGCCCGCTCCGGTGCACAGCTCGACTCGGTCCGATCTCTGCCGGCTCGATGCTGACTGATCTTGCCTTTTGGGCCCTCCTCCCTCCCCTTGTGCTCCTTCCCCCTCATCAGGAGCAGTGCGCACACCCGAAGTCTGGCACTCGACAGAAGTATCGTTGTTGAAGTTCCCAGGGGTTGTGGCCAAAGGCTTCGACCCGCAGGCAGCAGGCAGCAAGTTCTGCGAGGCTGTAGCTTGGTTGTCGGCGGGCAACCTGGGGGGCTCGGAAGTCCTCCCACCTTCTGGGAATTTTTTGGAGCCTTCTCCGAAGACGCAGAAAACGTCTCAGAAGGCCCGAGGGGAGGGCTTCCGAGAAGCCCCGAAGGCCTCCTCCTCGCTTGCCCCCCTCGCTCGCCGCCGAGGTTGGGCCTCACTCCGTGATGGCGCCCACTCCTTTACAGTGGGGGCCACGGGAAGCGTGACGTCCCCATCGCCACAGATCAGTGGACGCCCTGGGGTCTCAGGGCTGGGTTTCTCGTGGAAGCTTCCCTGTGGCCGGGCCTCCACCGTATCCACACCTTGGCGTCGCTCGGACGTGTGCATTCTTCCTCGGCGACGGCCCTCGAGGACCATCCTTGATCATTTGGCGAAGAAAACACGCACGACACCGACAAATACCCGAGGAATGGACGTCCGAGCGAACATTTTTTCTCGGCGACGGCCATCGAGGACCATCCTTGATCATTTGGCGAACAAAAAGCACGCACGAAATCGAAAAATGCACGAAGAATATGGACGCCCGAGCGATGGCGAGACGCGCCCCAAAAGCCGCCCCCGCCGTGGCCGGGCGCCCCGCAGGACTGCCCGCTGCAGCCGGGCCCGGACGGCGCGGGGGACGCCCCAAAGGCCCCTGGGGCCGGGGGAGCTCGGGCTCGGTGCGGGCTCGGGCGTGCCGGGTTCGATTCGATCGGGCTCTGGATTCCGATCTCTTTGGACGCCCGAAATGGGTACGGAAAGAGTTGGTACAATGCCCAACAGCAGTTCTTGTTCATTCTGAACAGGACTCGCTGTCCACGCCGCCGCGGCCTGTGTCCATTCGAGACAGGAGGCCGCCTGCCCAACAGCGGCCGCTGTTGGTTTGGGACAACATTTGTTGTTGGGCATCGTACCCATTTTTTCGGTACCCATGTCGGGCGTCCAAAATCTCGGCTCGGATGTTCTCGTGTGCGTCCTGGCTCGGGCCGGTGGGCGCCGGTTCCGATGCTGTCTGATCTGTTGGCCGACTCTTGCTTTAAGTCGGGCCTGTCCCCCTGCAGGGGGATTTTCGACGAAGAACAAAAAATACACCAAAAATAGTCAAAAAGTAGTCCCAAAATAGTCTCTGGACTATTGCTTGTTTTTTTTTGACCTTCTTGGAGTATTGTTGGGGTATTCCCAACCCTCCTGCGTTGGGTTCTCGTTTTGAATAGAGCACTGCTCGCGCGTCGCCTTGCCTCCTTCCCGCCCCTCTCTTCCCCCTTGCCTTTTGCCTCGCTCGTCGCTGCGTGCCAGCTGGGGGGCTGCGATCTGTGAAACTGTCGCCACTTCCGAGGCCTGCTGGGGGGCCCAGCACAGTGGGTACGCACGGCAGACTCACATGGGACCTCGCCATCCCTGGGGGGCTGCGATCTGTGAAATTGTCGCCACTTTCGAGGCCTGCTGGGGGGCCCAGCACAGTGGGTACTCACGGCGGACTCAAATGGGACCTCGCCATCCCTGGGGGGCTGCGATCTGTGAAATTGTCGCCACTTTCGAGGCCTGCTGGGGGGCCCAGCACAGTGGGCACTCACGGCAGACTCAAATGGGACCTCGCCATCCCTGGGGGGCTGCGATCTGTGAAATTGTCGCCGCTTCCGAGGCCTGCTGGGGGGCCCAGCACAGTGGGTACTCACGGCAGACTCAAATGGGACCTCGCCATCCTTGGGGGGCTGCGTTCTGTGAAACTGTCGCCACTTTCGAGGCCTGCTGGGGAGCCCAGCACAGTGGGTACTCACGGCATATTCAAATGGGACCTCGCCATCCCTGGGGGGCTGCGATCTGTGAAATTGTCGCCACTTTCGAGGGCTGCTGAGGGGCCCAGCACAGTGGGTACCCACACGCAGATTCAAATTAGACCTCGCCATCCTGGGGGGCCTGCGATCTGTGAAATTGTCGCCACTTTCGAGGCCTGCTGAGGGGCCCAGCACAGTGGGTTCTCACCGCAGACTCAAATTAGACCTCGCCATCCTTGGGGGGCTGCGATCTGTGAAACTGTCGCCACTTTCGAGGGCTGCTGAAGGGCCCAGCACAGTGGGTACTCACGGCAGACTCAAATGGGACCTCGCCATCCCTGGGGGGCTGCGATCTGTGAAATTGTCGCCACTTTCGAGGGCTGCTGAGGGGCACAGCACAGTGGGTACCCACACGCAGATTCAAATTGGACCTCGCCATCCCTGCGGGGCTGCGATCTGTGAAACTGTCGCCACTTTCGAAGCCTGCTGGGGGGCCCAGCACAGTGGGTACCCACACGCAGATTCAAATTAGACCTCGCCATCCCTGGGGGGCTGCGATCTGTTAAACTGTCGCTACGTTCGAGGCCTGCTGGGGGACCCAGCACAGTGACGCCACACGCAGATTCAAATTAGACCTCGCCATCCTTGGGGGCTGCGATCTGTGAAACTGTCGCCACTTTCGAGGCCTGCTTGCGGGGCCCAGCACAGCGACGCCTCCCATGTCTCTTACACATCAAGTTGATTGTCCATACAAGTTTCGGCCAACTCCTCGTTTCCATTGATACAAATGGGTTGGGTACGTCACAGGGTAATTTTTAATTTTTCGTCGAAAATCCCCCTGTAGGGGGACACGCCCGACAGAACTCTTGCTGGTTCGATGTATGTCGATAGCCGAGTCGAGTTTCCGATTCGGTTCTGGTGCGTCCTGCTTGGATGGGGGGAGGTGGGCACGTTCGGCCTCGGGAGGCCTGGAGATTGAGGTGCTGTCTTTGCATGGGGTTCGCAAGCGGCGTCTGCGCCTGGCCGCGGGCCCAGGGGCCCTCATAGAACGAGCCGGCCAGAGAAATGTAATGCAGAGTCATGGGGTCCAGAGTTCAGGTGGTGATTTTGCGCGATGGCGCAATATCTTGGCAATGTCAGGTTTCGGGGAAGCGATATCACCACCAGGGGGGTCACCTCCAGCGAGGAGGTCTACAATGCCTCCCCGAGCTGGGGACAGGCGATGTTTCGAGCGAGAGGGGGGACACCACCAGGGGGACCCCCTTGGCTCCTCCCGCTGGCGGTCCATGGTGGTGGTGGTGGTGTCTCGTTTTTCCCTGTTCCCACGTCCAGGCCTCCCACATGGAGTCCTTGTGGATGGGGTCGCAGGATCGCGCCGCATCGCTGATGCACTGGCTCTGCGGCTGGATGTGGAGCCCGCTGTTCTCGACGCCGACGTCGCCGATGCATCGGCGATGCATCGACAGTGCGGCGCGATCTTGCGACCCCAGCTACTCTGACCCCATTCGGGAGGCATCCAGTTCGTGATGAAGGAATTGGGCTCCGAAATGTGCCGAAGGTTCGTCCCAAGGTTCGTCCCGAAGCGTGCCTCCGTGTTCTCGGGCTCTTGCCGTCCAGGGGCCCTCTTGGGGGTCTTCGGGGCTCCTCTTGGGGACCACCTGGTCCGCACTGGGGCCCTCCTTGGTTCGTGGGCCGCCTGGGGGCAATTTTGAGCTTCAGGAAGCCCGCGAAGGCGAGAACACCTGACGTTTTTTTTCCAACACACTGTTCGGAACATCTGAGTTTCTGGCGGCCGACCTGCGTCAAGCAATGTTTCATCTGCAGTTTGGGCAAGCAATGCGCCCGAGAGGGCCTCCGGAGGCCCTCCTGGGGCCTTGTTGTTGGGGTGGGGCGTCTTGGGGGCTCCATCGGCTGTTTTGAAGCCTTCTTAGGGGCGTCTTTGGGCCGCGTTGGGCACGCGAGGCGTTCTCTTCGCGGCCTCCCGTGGGCCGTCCTCTCGAGGCCCCTTTGTGCTCTCCCGGCAGTGCGGGGTGGCGTCCTCTTGGGGCATCCCGAGGCCAGGCCGCTCGTCTCGGTGCCGGCCGCCCCCCCCACGGTAGACAGCAGAAATCGGGTCGGGCGAAAGGGGGGTTTGGGAAAGGGGGGTTTATTCTTGGATTATTGTTTGATTACTTTTTGGGGTATTTTTTATTTTTCGTCGAAAATCCCCCTGCAGGGGGACAGGCCCGACTTACCGCTAATACCATTCGGGCCGGACGAAAGGGGGGGGATAGGGAAAGGTGGGGTTCCGAAATCTGCTGCGTGCAGCTGGTTTCGGCCCCGCCGCCGGGCCTATTCCTCGATACGTGGGCGCCTCCCGGCGCCGGGAGGCGCCGGGAAAATCAGCGACGTGAGCTGATTCTCACCCCCCCCCCCTTTGCTATCCCCCCCTTTTGCCCGGCCCGAAGGCAGGAGGCAGGACTGGGGAGCGGGGGCGCCCCCGAGCGGGGCGGTGGCCGCACCGTGCGGCGAGTCGGTGGGGATTCGGGGTCACCGCACGTCTTTGGGGCTCGGGTCGTTCGCCGAGGACGTCTCGGGCGACAGGGGCCTCCGGGGTCCCAAAACCGTGCGGTGACGGACCGTGCGGTGAGGTTTTGGGGGATTTCGAGGTCACCGCACGGTCTGTCACGCACCGTTTCGGGACTCCACATGGGAGGCAGGAGGCAGAGAACGAGGGACAACACAAACAACACAAGACAGCAGTTCAGCAGAATGTTGGGTTCGTTCCGGGCCCCCCCACCTTGGGCCAGCGTCCAAACAGCCTACTCTACTCAAGGCTGTGGCGTTTTACTGCGAGGTCCCGCCATTCTGTGCCGCGCTGCGCCGGAGAGGGAGCAAGGGAGAAGGAAGTAGCGACTGCGAACGCGCAGGCGGGAGGCCAGGGCTTGCGGGACGAAGCAGGTGGGCGGGCAGGAGGGAAGGGACAAAGGGGGAACAAGGGAGGCACACACACACACACACATCTAGACACATCTGTATGTATGCACATAAATATATACATACAGTGCATTTACAGACATGTGTACTTTGTGTTATTCGGCCCATCCCGCCGCCCTGTCAGGACTGTGCTAGAGGCCTCTTAGATGCCCGATGGGGTCTCTTGAGATGCCTCTCGGGAGCCTCTCTTGGAGGCACCTTGAGGGGGGTTGCCGGCGACCTCTCGAGAGCCTCGGGGGGGGGGGCTCTCGGAGGCCTCTTCGAGGGCCTCTTCGAGGGCGCTTCTTGGGCGCTTCCTGGGGATGCCGGCGACAGCTCGGAGGTCCAGGGCGGGCGCCAGGGGGGCCCTCGAGCTGGCAGGGGGGGCATGGCAGCCTGGAGCGATGCAGGGGGCGGCCTCGCGGGGCCGCCAGGGGCTGTCAAAGGCCAGAGCCCGCGAGAGCGCTAATATTAAGTCGGGCGTGTCCCCCTACAGGGGGATTTTCGACGAAAAATAAAAGATACTCCAAAAATGCATTAAAAAGGTCAAACATATTCAAAAAACAGTCCCCAGACTATTTTTGGATTAGTTTTTGATTTTTGGGGAGGTATTTTTTACTTTTTCGTAGAAAATCCCCCTGTAGGGGGACAGGCCCGACTTACCGCTAATACCATTCGGGCCGGACGAAAGGGGGGATAGGGAAAGGTGGGGTTACGACATCTGCTGCATGGAGCCGGTTTCGTCCCCACCGATGGGCCCATTCCTCGATACGTGGCCGCCTCCGGCGCCGGGAGGCGCCGGGAAAATCAGCTACGTGAGCTGATTCTCAAACTCCCCCTTTGCTATCCCCCCCTTTCGCCCAGCCCGAATCATTCAGTCACTTGTTTGGGGGGATTCTTGTTTCGGACCTCATGCAGCGCCTGGCACATGTTGGGTTGCAAGCTCGCCTATGCCAATGTCGGCAAACGGTCAACCCCCAGCCCAAAGCCAGTCCAGTCCTCGGAGTCTTGGCGATCCCTCTGTCGGTCGCGCTGCCTGGTCCCAGCTGCGACCGCTCTGCTTGCCACAGGTTCGTCCCATCGAGCTTCTGCGAGAATCGGTGCGCGTGTATCGTTGTTCTCGCTGGTCCGTGCGCGCGACTGGGATGACTTCCTTGAGGGGCAGAGATTTGCCGATATTCCTCGAACAGTGCTTGCACGTAGGAGCTCTCATGTCTCTCATAAGGAACTGCGCCCGGCCCGTCAGCGGGCCTGGCGGCCCCATTCCCGTTCGTCGCCGCCCTTCACTTCCCAGTAGAAGGCCGAACTGCGGGTCTGCCCCCCCCCGTTCCCTCGTGGCGCTGCACTACATAGACTACGACATGGCTCACACCACGTACATTGCACCACGTAGATTGCCCCCCCGCCCCACACACACAGCTTGCATTTCATAGCGTGCACCACAGAACGTACACCGCATGATTGCGCCACGTAGCTTGCACATCGTGGTTTGACGCGTGATTGCCAGTGGTGGCCTCCTCGTACTCAGCAGAGTCTTTCACTGCGGAACGCTTGAGCTGAGAGGCGGCTGGAGCCATTAGCTCACACAGACCGCGGCAGTGGCAGTTCGTGGTCCTCCTCGCCGCCCCCGTCTCGTGACGACGAAGCAGGAGGACCAATACGTTCAGGAGGAGGAGGAAGAAGAGGGCGAGAAGAAGAAGGGCGAGAGGGAGGAGGAGGAGGACGAGGAGAAGGAGGGGGGCGAGGAGGAGGAGGAGGAGGAGGAGGAGGAGATGGAGAAGCAAGAAGGCGAGGAGGGTGCAGAAGCTGAGGACGAGGGCCGCACAGAAGGCGAGAGGGGGGGCGCGCGTTGGCCGCCGCGAGAGACAGGCCGCCGACAAGAAGGGCGGCGGCACGGGCGGCGGTGCGGCCCGCAGGCCGAACCGGGAGCGCTCCAGGCTGGCGCGGGGAGGGATCCCCCAGACCCCCGCGCGCTGCGACAACAAAAACTCGGCGGGGGGGGTTTCGCTCCTCCTCCTCCTCCTCCTCCCCAGACCCCCTCGCTGTGGCACCATCTCGGGGATCACGGGGTTGTGGCTTGCGTTCGCATGCCTTGAACTCTTGACGGTGCGCGTGTCCTCATCAGCCCATCCAACAACAGATTCCAGAGTTGCCCGCGTCCGTCTTCGCAGCCATGTCGAATGATGAGGATGAGGAGGGGGGCAACGGCAGGCCACCTTTCAACCAAGGCAGCCGCAGGAAGCGTTTGTTCCCCGTTAGCGGCGACGACGACAATGACAGGAGTCGCCAGAAAGACCTTTGCGATCTTTCGCTCTGGGAGCGTCTTGGATGCCTCTTGGGGCCATCGTGGGGCCTTCTTGGGGCCATCTTGGAGGCCTCTTGGGCCCTCTTGGGGTTCCCTTTGGGACTCTTCGGGGCTTCGGGGTTCATTATTTGGGCTGGAGACCTCGTCTGGCATTTCGGGGCCATCTTGGAGGCTATCGATCGAATCCAAGGGGCGTAGATCAGGGTACCCTGGTCTGGGCCCAAACATATAGCTGTGTGGAGCCCAGTTCGGCCGCTCTTGGGGGCGGTCTTGTGCGCTCTTGGGGCACTCTTGGGCTCCTCTTGGGATCATCTTGGAGCCATCTTGAGGCCTCATCGGAAGAGAGAAGACGGGAAGCCAAACATACACAGAACATGCCATGGTATTTGAAGGATGTTAGACTTCTGGGGGTCTACTTCAGAGGCTCGGAGGTTACTTGGGACCGTCCTGGAGCGATCGTGAAGGCTCTTTGAGGCATGTTGGAGGCTATCTTGAACAATCTTGAGATGCCTCGAGCAATCGAGGAGGCCATCTGGAGCTATCTGGGGCCCTCTTGGGGCCACCAGGGGCCAAAAGGACCCCTCTGACACCTCGCGGGGGGGAGGACTCCAAACCCAGGGGGTGGGGGGAGGGGGAGGGGAGACCCCACTCCTCGAAAGGCAAGAAGGGGTTTGACAGAGACCACTCACGCCCTAGAGGACTGGTGGGACTATAGCGTGGCTTGTCTTCAGGCAGCCTGGCTTACAGCAAGATTTCTCGTTCAAGTAGCTGGTTTGTGGCTTGCTTGTGCAGCTTTTTAAGCTCGTCTTCATCGGTCCGTGTAGCTTTCATGTCGCTTGCGGAACCATTAGGTCTATTTCAGTTATTTTGTGGATTTCGCTGGTGCTGTCCACCATAAGATGATATCAACAACCCGCAGGGTCGTGCAAATCATTTCTGAGTTCTGTTTCGGCCAGCTGGCAGGGTTCGAGGGGGATTCAGAGGGTGTCCCAGGGTGTTTCGAAACGTCCCATGACCGCATTTGAGCCACCAGCGGCCGTGCTGGAAGGTCCAGAATCATCTCTGGGCTTGTCTGTGGCCGGGGGGGTCGTAGATGCGCGGTGGAGCACCAGGGGGGTGAGGAGGCTTCGCCACAAAAAGGAATACACATACACCTTCTAATGAATTGTCCCTGGGCCTCAGGGGAGGGTGGCGGCGTATTAATTACCACCGAGAACCAGCGATGATATGCACCGCCGCCCTCCCTGAAGGTACTCATGCGAAGTTCCTTTGATTTTCTGGTGGCGCAGGGGAGGAGGAAGAGATGGCGGAGGGGGCGGAGGGCGACGGCGAGGACCAGTGCGAGTCCGGGCAGGCCTGGGATCGGAGTACATCGCAAAACAAACATGATGGACCCACGAACCCGGAAAGGGATATAGACATGTGGAGCATGGACACGTTTTCACGATACCCAACTGGGCAACACCTCACGAAACATCCCACGAGACACCTCACGAAACATTCCACAAGACACCTCACGAAACATTCCACGAGACACCCCGCGAAACATTCCACGAGACACCCCACGAAACATTCCACGACGACAGGCAACCACTCAACCAAGGCGGTGTGGTCGTGCTGGGGAGTCGTGCTGGGGTGTGGTCGTGCTGGGGTGTGGTCGTGCTGGGGGGTGGTCGTGCTGGGGTGTGGTCGTGCTGGGGGGGTGGTCGTGCTGGGGGGTGGTTGTGCTGGGGCGTGGTCGTGCTGGGGCGTGGTCGTGCTGGGGCGTGGTCGTGCTGGGGTGTGGTCGTGCTGTGGTGAGGTCGTGCTGGGGTGTGGTCGTGCTGGGGTGTGGTCTTGCTGGGGTGGGGTCGTGCTGGGGTGGGGTCCTGCTGGGGTGTGGTCGTGCTGGGGTGTGGTCGTGCTGGGGGGTGGTCGTGCTGGGGGGTGGTCGTGCTGGGGTGTGGTCGTGCTGGGGTGTGGTCGTGCTGGGGCGTGGTCGTGCTGGGGCGTGGTCGTGCTGGGGCGTGGTCGTGCTGGGGTGTGGTCGTGCTGTGGTGAGGTCGTGCTGGGGTGTGGTCGTGCTGGGGTGTGGTCTTGCTGGGGTGGGGTCGTGCTGGGGTGTGGTCGTGCTGGGGTGTGTGTGGTGGGTCGTGCTGGGGTGTGGTCGTGCTGGGGTCGTGCTGGGTGGGGTCGTGCTGGGGTGTGGTCGTTCTGGGGTGTGGTCGTGCTGGGGTGTGGTCGTGCTGGGGTGGGGTCGTGCTGGGTGGGGTCGTGCTGGGGTGTGGTCGTGCTGGGGTGTGGTCGTGCTGGGGTGTGGTCGTGCTGGGGCGTGGTCGTGCTGGGGTGGGGTCGTGCTGGGGTGGGGTCGTGCTGGGGTGTGGTCGTGCTGGGGTGGTCCGCACCCTGTGATTTATCGATCGGGTCGTGCTGGGGTGTGGTCGTGCTGGTGCTGGGGTGTGGTCGTGCTGGGGTGTGGTCGTGCTGGGGTGTGGTCGTGCTGGGGTGTGGTCGTGCTGGGGTGTGGTCGTGCTGGGGCGTGGTCGTGCTGGGCGTGGTCGTGCTGGGGTGTGGTCATGCTGGGGGTGTGGTCGTGCTGAGGTGTCCCGCACCCTGTGATTTATCGATCGGGGTTTCAAAAACAAGCGTTTCGCCTGAGACATCCTCAAATTTTAATCCGCCGGCCTCCTTCGACTTCGATATTTATCAGGGAAAGAATCCGCCGGCCTCCTTCAAGTTGGGCACCGGGGACATGTTTACATACTAAAAGAGAACCCTGGGCCCACGCCCTTTCTGGGAAAAAGCGTTCCAGCACACTCGCGGAGGGGGCCGGAACGCTCCAGGAAAGGCCGCGGCGCGGTGCCCGATGCATCCCTCAGAACCGCCGGATCTCACAGATGTTCGGTTTAACCCGATCCGACTGCTGTCCCGAGGAAAGGTAGGAGGAGGAGGAGGAGGAGGAGGAGGAGGAGGAGGAGGAGGCGGAGGAGGAGGAGGAGGAGGAGGTGGATCAGAAGGAGGGGGAAGAGGAGGAGAAGGAGGAGGAGGAGGAGGAGGAGGAGGCAGAAGAGCAGCACCATGTGGGCATTCGCCGGCCAGGTCCAAGACGCCCGACTGGCAAGACTTGGAGAAGCAGAGGCGGCAAAGGGAGATGGAGGAGGCCATGAAGCAGCAGGAGGAGGACGCGCATGTCCTCCTCGTTGCCTTTGCTGCGCTTCCTCCCTCCTGCATCCATCCGCCATGAAGCCAACGGATTCTGAGGGACACGGGCCCACAGGTTTCCCCGCCTTCGTTCGGCCTCCAGGGGCCCTCCCCGGGTCTCTGGGTTGTCTAAAGTCACCGAACGCGTTCCATTACTCGCAAAGTGCCTACTCGCAAACGTCCGAAAGAAACACATGCCTGCGTCGATGTCATTTATCGTAGATCCCCCGCGGCGGATCCAGGCCGTTTGCGAGTCGTTATGTTGCGAGTGAAGTGGAGCGCGCTGGTCTAAAAAGGAGCGGCTCAGGACGAAGGCTTGGTTCCGGGGGGAGGGCCCGAGGTGCAGGACCCGTTTGCCTTTGGTCAGCTGCTGCTTCGTTGGGGCAGCTAGACACACTTTCAATTCAGAATTGACTCCTCTCGACGATTTCTTGTTTGCTTTGGTCTGTCCCTGGATCTGCTCTAGTTCCTCTGTGCTGTATTGCCCCTCCAATGTTTCACATGTCAGCGCCTCTGACCATTCTTGGCTCTTCGAGCATGTGTTCTGACGTGCCTTGCGTCGATATTGGAGTTTGCTCAGTTCCCCATCTGGAGGAGCAGAAGAGGCCCGTGTGGGGCAAGAAGGAGCTGCAGGAGCAGGATCCGGCCCTGGTTGCTGCTCTGCCTCTTTTGCTCCGGTGTTGGCCGTCTTAGTGACGAGAATCTAGGGCATTATGACATGATTGAATCGCTTCGCTCATTCCGCCGGCCCATAATTGCGTGCCGTTGTCGACTGACCGAGTGGTCTTTCGCGGTGCGGAGCTGCAGGGGCGGCGGCTGTTCTTATCAGGCTTTGCGTTCGGCATGTGAGGCTTCTTGGTGGCCGCTGGGTGAGTTTGAACGCGTCGCGGGCCACTTGGAAGAGTTTTGCCTATGGGGACTCTTTCGGGAGGCTTCTTGGTGGCCTCGTGGGGACTCCTAAGCGCGTCGGGTCGTTGGCACTTGCTTGCGCGCTCGGGGGGGCAGTGGGGGGGCCTCCTGGGGCCGCTTGGGGGCCTCTTGGAGGCCTCCCGAGAGCCTGTTGGGGGTCACGAGAATATAGGGCATTCTGATTGTATTCAGCTCTCCTCTACTATCTTCAGAGGAGGACGAGTTACCCATACCGCTACCCCTCACCCGTTTTCTGCTTTTCGGCCTTCTGGGAGGCCTTCGTCGCCACCGCTGGATTCGCTTTGAAATCCTGGTCAGAACGCACCCCAGGAGAGGTCCTATTGGTCTCCCCTTATTTGGCGTTGTCGTTCATTCTTCACGCTTCGTGCTCGCACGTTCAAGCATAGGCATTTTCGACGCAGTTCTTGGTCGCGGTATTCTTCGCGTGGATTTCTTTCGGATTGGTAGTTTGATGAGGTCTGTTCGGCAGGACGTCGATAACCTGGTTGATAGGGATACCACTTCACCAGTTTGCGCACACCGTTGCGATCGAATTGATGTCCAGGTCTAGTACCTGACCAAGCATGCAGATTTGGTCTAGCGTGCCAGCCTTTATTCGCGCGCTTGTTGCAGCCTGGTTTTGCCCGATTGGCGAATGCCGATTGCCGATTACACGTGTAATGAAGCCAATGTGTTTGACTTCTTTCCGGGCTTGGTGTGCTCCCATCAGTTCACTCGATGATGCCCCAAGCCACGTGCGTATCACGTGGTATCGGAGGCGAGGGGGTGAGATCGAAGTGGAGCGGAGAGCCCCCCCCACCACTAGGCAATCGGTCTCGGTTTCGGGCTCGTGCGTGCGGGCGACGCGAAGCTGCGTTGGCGGGGGAGAGGAGAAGGGAGAGGGCGCGTCGCTGGCAGAACTAGTGCACCCCCCCGGCCGCGTGGCGGAAGGCTGCCAGGGCCGCGCACGTGCCGCCGGCCATGATGCGCCCCCCCCTCACTTTTGGGACGCCCCACGCCCCCAGTCGGCGCCAGGGTCACAGTGACTTGGGCCCCGGGCTCTGAGCGGGCCCCAGGAGTTGCCAAGAGGGCTCCGAGGGGCTACGGACTGATTTGCGAGAGTCAGAGGCGCGTTGCGCTGCGTTTGCGCGTGTTCCTCAGGGGCCTGGGTGTATCTCAAGTGTTGACGAGATTCTATTTAGATTGAACTCAAGCAGACTTACATGTTCTTCCTTCTTACCCAAGCGCATTCCAGGTAGATGCTCTCGCAAGCGAATCTCAACATGTGTCAAAGAGTTTTCACCAAGTTGCCCATTGCAGCTCTCGCCCCCTTCAGGAGGTCGAAGCGAGTTCTCCATCCGACTCGTCGTAGAATAATACAAAAGGCTGAACTGCTCCTTTCAAGCTTCTTCCCGTCCTTGTGTTTCTCTCCTATCCTCTCCTCCGCTCCTGGCAGGAGCGCATCATGGAGGAGAAGCGGCGAAAGGAGCTCGGCGGGGCTCCGCAAAGTTGCACCCACACGCTCGGTCCTAGCCCAGGTAATGTGTTGGCAAGCCTCCTGAGTCCAGACAGGGGTTCTGAGCGTTCCGCTGTTGCACGCTCGCGCACGCTCGATGATCAGCAAGCAGCCCAGCGGCAGCACCCTCCCCGTGATTATCACGTCGCACAGTTGCGAGTCGACCCGCCCCCAAACGCAGAGGATGGATTCGGCGGGTCTCCCTGGAGGCTTGCGCTTTGCATGCTTATCATGTACGTCGGCAAGGTATTGCCGGCGTTTGCACGTCCACTGCAGGGTAGTGCGGCGTCGTTTTGTGTGGTGTAGCAGAGCATTGCAGGGGGTCTGGTCTGGGGAGGTGCAGGGTATTTCAGGGTCGTGCTGCACGTCTCCACGTGTTTGCGCATTCTTGCAGTGAGGTTGGTCTGGAAGGACGTTGCAGTGGGGAACGGGAAGGCCCCAGGGAGGTTCAGGGTGAGGAGGAAGTTCCTCCCTGAAGGGGAGGCGGAGGCTCAGAGGAGGAAAAGGTACCCATACCGCTACCATTTTCTCGATTTCCCCTTTTTTGGCATCCTGTGAGGCCCTCGTCGCCACCGCTGGATTCGACTCGAAATTCTGGTCATAACGCACCCCGGGGGAGGCCTGGGGAGTAGCGGCATCGGTACCATTTGGCATTTTGGTTCACGGAAGAGTTGACCTGGTAAAGCATCTGGAGGCCCATGCCGAGAAACATGTTGCTTGCCTCCAGGGTGCCCTGGGTTTCTTTGGTTTCGATGGTTTTGCGATGGAAAACGTAACGTTCACACACCAAACATCAATGGACGTCTTGGGATCTCAGGGTCGGGTTTCTTGTGGAAGGTTGCTTGTGAATTGGCTTCCAATGTACAAGTATCGGCACATCGTGGTTCACACAGAGGCTTCTTCGGAAGAGTTGATCTGTTCAAATGTCTGCGTACGCCCAGAGGGCTGGCGGGATCTGGAAGGATGTTGCAGTGGGGTGCGGGAAGGCCCCAGGGAAGGTCAGGGCGAGGAGCAAGTTCCTCTCAAGAAAAGTGGGGCGGCGGCTGCTTCGGAAGAGCTGATGCAGCAGAGCTGATGGGCTTGTTTTCCACCACCACCACCACCACCATAAGTTCGAGGGGGGAATGAGGTGGAGGAGGAGGAGGAGGAGGAGGCAGAAGAGGGGGAGGGGGACCCCCTGCCCCTCCTGCTTCTGGTGGTGGCGGTGGGAAACAGGCCCACCAAAAGTGTCTGCGCACGGCCGGCGGGATCTGGTGCGGCGGATCGCCCCCAGTGTTCGCAGGCATCAGGGACTGCGGAGCGGCACGCCGCTTGCCGGCGAGACGCGCCAGGGCTGCCACCAAAGGGGCGGGAGGGAGGAAGTGGCCGCCCCCCTCCTGGGAGGGGGGATACTAAGGGAGGGAGGAGGAGGAGGAGGAGGAGGAGGAGAGAGGAGGAGGAGACGAGACGGAGGAGGAGGAGGAGGAGGAGGAGGAGGAGAGGAGGGGGGGGGAGGGGAGGAGGGGAGGGGAGGGGGAGGAGGAGGAGGGGGGAGGGGGGGAGGGGAGGAGGAGGAGGAGGAGGAGAGGAGGAGGAGGAGGAGGAGAGGAGGAGGAGGAGGGAGGAGGAGGAGGAGGAGGAAGGAGGAGGAGGAGGAAGAGGAGGAGGAGGAGGAGGAGGAGGAGGACCAGTGTAAACCCAAGAGTCATCAACGATGTTGGACTCAACTCTCCCTCCAAGCTTCCTTGTCATAGGTCCCTACAACGGTTCATGTCCGTTGATAGAACTGCCTTGTTGGAAGACATGCTAAAACATTGTTTTCGGGAGTTCAACACCACGGATCATACTAACTGTTACGACTTGGCGGTACTGAATCGTGCCAGAGTGCCATTCCTAGGAGTTCAACACAGCGAATCAACGTAACTGTTGCACCAGCATAATCCTGAATCCTCCGAGAACACCATGTCTAGTACGTTGATGATGGGAGTCCGCGAAGCCCTTGCAATTTGTTCAAATAATGTGCGCGGCGCTAACGGGCGAGCCACATGTTGAAACGGAACCGCCCTCAATCCGTGAAGCTTTTGCAAACATGTATGACAAATGTGCGCGGCGTTCAGGCGAGAGCCACATTTTGAAACCGACCCGCCCTCAATCCGCGAAAGTATAACGAATATGCGCGGCGCTCGGGCGAGAGCCACACTTTGAAAACGACTCGCCCTCAATCCGTGAAGCACTTGCAATTGTTTGAACCAAATGTGCGCGGCGCTAATGCGAGAGCTTCATTTTGAAAACCACCCGCCCTAAATCCGCGAAGCTCTCGCAAATGTTCCAAGCGAATGTGAGCGGCGCTAATGCGAGAGCCACATGTTGAAAACCACCCTCCCTCAATCCGTGAGTGTGTGGCCAATTTGTAAGCTTCAGAGTCATAAATGGTGAGGACATCTCAGGCGAAACGCCAGGCCCGCCCTAACAACTGGCCTCGGGGTGCGACAGGGAAAAGTTCTTTCAAGGAAAAGGAATGGAGGAGGAGGAGGAGGAGGAGGAGGAGGAGGAGGAGGAGGAGGAGGAGGAGGGGGAGGGGGAGGGGGAGGGGGAGGGGGACAGGAGGGAGGGACAAACTAGGTGCGCTCGCGTCATACCCGACGTCCTACTCCTGCTTCCCATCCCTTTCCTATGGCGTAGATATCCTCTCTATTCGCACAGTCGGATGCTGAGCAGGGCAATGATCGCGAGATGGTACGCGATGCATGGTATTTCACGGCATGGCATGGCGCAGAAGAGCACGGCAGAGCGCAGCATGCAATAGCATTGCGTGGCATTGCGCAGTGAAGCATTGCATCACAAAGCATTGCAATGCCAAGCATGGCATCGCACAGCTGCGCAGAACGCAACACCGCACAGCATGTCATGGCATGGCGCAGGGTTCCTTGGAGGGTAAGTGGATCGTCCTCGAGAGGTTTGTGCCGGTCTGGGGTCGTGGCTCCATGTCTGGCTCATTGAGCTCGCCGAAGAGCTCCCCACAAGGCGGGGCTGATGGAGAGCACCCGTTGGCTCTGCTTCTAACATCACCTTCTCACAGCAGAGACGGGGTTCCCGAGGGATACTTGCTGAAAACAACGACGCCCCAAAGTGGGGTGGGCGGCTGGGCTTCTGCGGCCCAAAAACTCAACGAATCGACAACGAATGTGTAATCACTTCCGATGGTTGTCGGGGAGCATTTTAGGGACCGAAAGCGCCCGCGCTGCAGCGGGAGCACGATTTGGAACAACCAGAGGCGCAGTGATGAGGCCAACGTTTCAGCGGGAGCAACATTTCGACGAACAAAAACCTGGCCAAAATCCGTTCCCGGGGAATCGTGTGTGCAAAAAACAGCACGCGGAGGCGAGTCGGATATCTTCTGGACGTCATCAGGGGAGAGAGCAGAGTAGTATTCATATTGTGTAATTGTGGAAAGGAGGAAGGGGGAGGGAGAAGGAGGGGGGGGGGGAGGGGGAGGGGCAGGGAGAGGGCCAGGGAGAGGGAGGGAGGGATCTTGCTGGGATGCTGCCGTCGGACCGCCCGGAGAGTCGAGAAGAAGCGGGCAGCAGCAGAGAGGCGGACGTCCTGCGTGCTCTCGGGCCTGTCCCGAGCGATCTTGTCCGATCCCGGAAGCCCTTCCTGAGGTGGGTGCCCGCCGGAGCATTTCTCATCGGACGGTGGCCCTTCTCGCACGGTAGCCGACGGCGTGCGCCCCCGGGTTGTACAGTCGGCACGCATGGTAAGGATGGGCAACCTTCCCAAGGGTGCCCTCGCATCCTTGCCCCCTTCGGCCCATCCTTGGCCACTTTGGCTGGCCACGCCCCACTCGAGAAGCCTCGAGAAGGCCTTCCAAGGCTCTTTGCGTCTTTCTCGCGCATCCTATGGGCTGACTGTGTAGATCCCCCTCGGCCCGCCTTGAGGGCACCGCCCCGGCGGGGGGAGGAGGAGCGGCAAGGGCAGCAGGGCGGCCGAGAGTCGGGGGCGACAAAGAGGGGGGTGATGACTGACCCAGTGCCCCGGATAATGAATCATACCCCCCATTCACCCCCTCTATTTTTTATCCCGGTTCACTGGGAATTCATTGTGGAGAGGGGCGCGGAGGCCGAACTTGATAATCCACGGGGGAAGTTGCGAATCGAAGTTGCTATCATCTCATGTTGACTAGCAACAGCATCGAAAGCGCTGAGCACAGCAATGGTGGTCTCACCATCATCATCATCACATTCACAACTGATAACTAATATCTAACAGCATCATCCCCAGGAAAATCGTTGGGTATCCCCGCCAGACCCCCGAACTTTAATATCCTCATGTGATGATTATCCGGGGCACTGGGTTACAGGAGTGTGTGGACATGATGGCGGGGGCCCGTGATATCTCCCCAGATTTCATGGCACCCTCTTTATTTTCGCGGGCCTAGAGATTGACACCAACACCAATATCGGCGGTGTGCATTCACTGAGGGAAGCAGATCCCGATCTCGGCGATGGTGGTAATATTCTGGCTTCCAAGGTGACCGAAATATTACCTCCCAAACCGAAATCTAGGATAGTCTTCCCCCTGTGGAGGCGCAAGCCCCTGTGTTGGTGTTGGTGCCCATTTCCAGGCCTCCAATATTTCCGAGTGCACATGCCGCTGGCCATGAGTTGCGCCCCACCCTCTTTAGCGCGTCCCTCTTGGACGCCCCCGGAAGAAAGGGGGCTCTCGGGCTTTGGCTGGGTCCTCGAGCTGGAGCTTCGGGCGCTCGGGCGCGTTCGCGGAGGGGGAGAGCCCTGTATTCGGCCTTGCGCTCGGAGGCTCAAAAATGCGCGGCGCGGGCTGTGCACGGGCTCCCCATCTTCACGCAGTGGCGAAGCGTCCTGGCTCGCCTATTGGCCCACCAAAGAATGTTCTAATAACCGTTCGTGGTCCGCACGAAGTTTTCTTAGAACATTTCTGGTTGAGATCGTGTTGGTCCAACCCCGTGGGTTTGATGTTTATAAAGCATTGTTTTCTGTTCTTCGAACACTTTGGGGTTCTAAGAACATGTCGTGGTAGGCCTATAGGAATGCCCAGACGGTCGGTGCTTGCTGGACATCTGTCACCGAACGGTTTGGGGATCCCCAATTGGTTTCCCCTTGTTCTCTCCCTCCTCTCCTCCTCTCCATTCCAGGCCTCCCAAATGGGGTCGGAGGATCGCGCCGCATCGCCGATACACCGGCGATGCGGCACGACGACGGCGCCAAGTCATCGCCGACGTCTCCGATGCAACGCCGAATGCAGTGGCGATGCGGTGCAATCCTCTGGCCCCATCTAATCTCCAACCCCATTCGGGAGGCCTCTTCCCGTGGTCCACCTTGTCGCCGTTGTCCAAACCCTCGTCGTGTTTATGCTGTGGCCGATGTCCCGTCGGCGTTTCTCGACCTCTTCCGATGCCGACCCATTCCTTCGTCAAGAGATCTAGGGCGCAATTTGGCTCCGCCGCGCCCCGCGGCTTTCGCTGCTGCTGCGGCTGCCTTGGCATAACGGGGCCTGCGGAACATTGCGGCGTAAGGTCATTGTGTCATCTCGTGTAAGGCCCATTTATGGTTGGCGCCTGAGTTCAGTATCGTTCATCCGACCCCCATCCCCATCCCTATCCCCATCCCCTTCGAGACCTCCACCAAATTACACCCCCAGTTGGGGATACACCCCTCGAAACATGAAGGGAACGGCTTATATCTCCATCCAGGGGGGTAAATCGGCCGGTGGGGCCCATCCCACGCTGGTGGGGATGGGGATCGGTTAAGCGATACCCATGGGCGACGCAGACATCTCCCGTCTTCCCATCTCGCCGTGCCGAGGCGCAGCGCTGCGGGGCACAACGGGGCCTGCGGAACACTGCGGCGGCTGACTTGCCACAACGGGGCCTGCGGAACATGGCGGCGTGAGGTCGCTGTGCCGTCTCGTGTAAGGCCCACGTGTGGTTGGCGCCCGGGTGACGCAGACGTCTCCCGTCCTCCCGTCTCGCCGTGTGGAGGCGCGGCGCCGTGCCAGGACGGCGAGGGGGCCTCCCCCACCGCCCCGCCCCCGCGAGCGGCCTGTCGGCCTGGCCCCCGCGGGGTCGGGCATCGCCTTATGATGATCCGACCTACTTTATCCTTGACCACCAGAGAGAATGTCGAGCACCAGAAAAAAAAAGAAACGAAATTCGAGGGTTTTTATGTGTCGGGCCCTGGGAGACACGCGTCCGACATTGTTTCGGCATTGTGTTGACATTCTTTCGACACTTCTCCGGGCGCTCGGAATGATCTATGGGATGTGGTCCTTAAGTACGATGGGCGTAACACGAGCCTCGCCGAGGAGCTAATGGAGCTGGAGAAGCGGAAGGTGCAGGAGGCGCCTCGCCCGAGGGGGTGCGACAGTAATTCGCGCGAGCCTTGTCTACTCTTGGCCCGTGCCCCAATGCCCTGAACGCACCAGGGAGGAGGAGGAGGAGGAGGAGGAGGAGGAGGAGGAGGAGGAGGACGAGGCGGAGGAGGAGGAGGAGGAGGAGGAGGAGGGAGAGGAGAGAGGAGAGAGGAGAGAGGAGGAGGAGGATGAGGAGGAGGAGGAGGAGGAGGAGGACAGGGAGGAGGACAGGGAGGAGGACAAGGAGGATGACGAGGAGGATGACGAGGGATGAGGGAATAGTTCGGGAAGGGAGAGGAATGCGGAGGAGCACGACGCCCAGTGAGGAGGAGGAGGACGACGCCGACGACTCGGAGGCTGGATGATGAGGTTGATGAGGGAGGGGGAGGAGAACTGGATGGCATGATCGGAAAGAGCGTGTTCTACCGCTGCTGGCGGAAAACCGGGGGGGGGTCACTACCGGTTCGAACCCCTCCCCCCCCCCCCTCCGGAAAAACGGGGGGGTGTCACTACCGGTTCGAACCCCTCCCCCCCCCCAGTTCATCATGAAAGGGGGGGGGTCACTACCGGTTCGAACCCCGCCCCTCCCCCCCCCCCTCCCTCGAAAACCGGGGGGGGTCACTACCGGTTCGAAACCCCCCTCTCGAAAACCGAAGGGGGGTGCGGACAGTGGTGGGGACGGTGGTGGTGGGGACAGTGGTGAGGGGACAGCGGGACAGTGGTGGGGACAGTGGGACAGTGGTGGGGACGGTAGTGGTGGGGACAGTGGTGAGGACAATGGTGGGAACAGTGGGGACAGTGGACAGTGGTGGGGACGGTGGTGGTGGGGATAGTGGTGTGGGACAGTGGTGAGGTGGACAGTGGGAATGTGGTGGAAACAGTGGGACAGTGGAGGGTACAGTGGTGGTGGGGACAGTGGTGAAGGCGGTGGCGAGGACGGCGGTGGGACAATGGGACAGAGGTACAGTGGGGACAGTGGTGGGGACAGTGGGGACAGTGGTGGGAACAGTGGAACAGTTCAGTGGGACAGCGGAGGAGTCAGTGGGACAGTGGGGACAGTGGGGATAGTCGGGCAGTGGTTGGGGCCGTGGAGAAAGTGGGGAGAGTGGAACCGTGGTGGGAACAGTGGTGGGGACAGTGGGGACAGTGCGACAGTGGTGGGGGCACTGGTGGGGACAGTAGGGACGGTGGTGGAACCAGTGGGGACAGTGGTGGTGAGGACAGTGGTGCTGGGAACAACAGTGGGGGATGTGGTGCGGACGGTGGTAGGGACCGGGAGTCGTTTGCTGGCGGTGAGTGGGGGGGGGTGGGAGGGGTTCGAACCGGTAGTGACCCCCCCTCCGGTTTTCGAGGGGGGGGGGTTCGAACCGGTAGTGACCCCCCCCCGGTTTTCGAGGGGGAGGGGGGGGGGAGGGGTTAGGGGAGGGGGGGGTTTTGCCGGGTGAGGGAGGGGGGGGGGTCCAGCAGGGGGGGGGGGGATTTTCGGAGGGGGGGGACCTCCGGGTTCCGGAGGAAAAGGGCGGCAATTTTCCATGGTAAAGAGGCGGTGGATCACGCTCTCTCCATGATCGAGACCGATTGCCAGAGCCAACCCACCACCCGCTAGCCGAGCCAACCAGACCACCAAGAAGCGGTGTGCACACACGCAGGCACAGGCATAGACACAGGCACAGGCACAGGCACAGACTAGGCACAGACACAGACAGACAGACGGACACACACACACACACACACACACACATACACACACACACACACACGCACGCACGCACGCACGCACGCACGCACGCAGGCACGCACGCACGCACGCACGCACGCACGCACGCACACACGCACACACGCACACACGCACACACGCAGACACGCACACACGCACACACGCACACACGCACACACGCACACGGCTCGGCTTTCGACCTTGGCATCGATTACGGCATGGCCGGCTGTGCGGTGGTGCAGATTCCACTTGGGCCTGGATGGTATGACCCTGGTCCGAAGCGCGCCATTCGCGCCCTGGGATCGCCATTGATGGGGATGCACCAATCCGTAGAAGGTGCTGAGCTTCTCGCCGTGCTCATTCTTCTTCGTCACAGCCTGGCGCCCATCACGGTGCGGATTGATGCCAGTTATGTGGTTGACGGGCTCCTGGTGCGTGGGCCTGAGGGTACTTGTGGTGCCTCCCACAGCTGGGCTTCGGATGGTGTGGTGTGCCATCGAAGATTTCGGTGGGCTCGGTCCTGACGGGCTCACTGTGCTCAAAGTTAAAGGACACGGCACTCTGAGAGATGTGGAAGCGGGTCGGCTGTCTCGTTGGGAGCGTCGGGGCAACCTTGAGGCCGACGAGTGGGCCAAGCACGCCACTCGTCCGTACGCTTTGGGCGAAGCTGAAAGGACCAAGATCAGGCGCTCGCACTTGCTGGTGGACGGCGTTGTGGCCTGGGTGTCCTGTGCTGGTGCCCCTGCGTCAGCCGCCCGTGACGACATTGACACTAATGTGGTTATCAAGCTGCCGCCGAAAGTTCGTCTCAGCCTCACGGAGCACGAATTCGTGGTCGAGGCGAGCTGCTGGCGGTGCTCAAAGTGTGGACGGTACGCTGCCACCGAGAATTCCAAGCGTAAGTTGTTCAGCCTGCCCTGCATTCCACGGCCTGTGACGAGTGCCCCGCGCTCGGCCGACACGTCAGGAGCGAAACGACCTGCAGCAGCGGCGGGGTTTGCGGCGGCCGCTGTCGTCGCTGCGGTTGCTTCAGCCGCTTCGCAGTTCGGTGGCAGTACGGATGCTCCAGCTGCTAGCGCTGGAGACGACGGTGCTGCTCGGCGCGATAGTGATGATCAGCGGGCGTCAGCAGCGGCGTCGAGTGGTGCAGGCGCGGAGTCTGAGGCCCCAACTGACATGGCGAGGGGCCACGACATCCGCATCACCAACGGCTACCGTGTGTGTATGAAATGCTGTTATTTCGCTCGTGAACGCGAGGGGCTCGTCCGTGAGCTTGGGAAGGATTGCGCGGGACACCCTCGCAAAGGAGACAATGCTGGACGAGTTCGACAGCAGCGGAGAGACCTGATTCTGTTGGGCAAGGATCCCATGACTCGGAGGCCTCTCACGGGAGCTTGATTCGATGGGGCTGCCGTGTGGTTGCCGCTGCGGAGTTCCGGCTTCTGGTACATCCTCCACATGTGAGCCTCTGAGTCCTTCTTTATTCATCGCACGCTTTGCGTGGCACCCCACTCAGTGCGTGATGACTGTGCTTTCACGTCAACGGTCGTTGCTGTTGTTTGTGTTTGTGCACGCTTCGCGTGATATCCTCCAATGCGAGCCTGATGTCATGCCTGCGCTTCGCGCGACGCTCGCCCGAAGGGTGGAGCTCCGCCGTGCCTTTGCTGTGGCGTGGACTGTGGGGTCCTGCCGTAGCCTTGCACGGTTGATCGGGCCGAGGGGCTCGGTTGTGGCGGCCCTGGTGGCTGTCGTGTGTACAGCTTGGCTGTGCACACCTGCGCGATCAAAAAAAAAAACGGACACACGCACACACGCACACACGCACACACGCACACACGCACACACGCACACACGCACACACGCACGCACGCACACACGCACACACGCACGCACGCATGCACGCACGCACACACGCACGCGCGCAAGCGCGCACGCGCGCACGCGCAAACGCGCAAACGCGCAAACGCACACGCACACGCACATGCACACGCATAGCATCCATGTGGCTGCATCCTGTGCCGCTGGGCGCGCGGCAACTGGCCCGCCGCTTGCCGCTCGGTCATGCTGGGGGCGCTCACGCAGGAGCGTCGGTGCGCAGAGGAGGCGGCGCGCGCGGCGCCTTCCTCGCCGACCACGCGGCCTCGGGCTTGGCCGCAGGCCACCCCCTGTCTGGGGTGCACCTGCTGCGCTCGGCCGAGGGCTCCCTGCGCACCGCGTTGGCGGCGCTTCGCAGCCGCCCCTTGGCGCCTGGCCCGCACTTGCCTGACGTTGCGGCCCTCCCGGAGCGGGCGGCGGCGCGGACGTGGCGGTGGTGTCTGCGCCGTGGCGGCCGTCCGCGTGGAGGCAGACGACGCGAAGCCCTCCGACCCGCCCGCGGACGTTGCGCCGATGGAGCCAGGCTCGGCGGCGTCGGCGCCGTGCGAAGCCTCCTCGCGGGGCTGATGCGGAGGAGGGAGGTGGAGGAGCTGGTGGCGATTGGCGCTGTCGTGGCGGCCGAGGCGGACGGGCTGTGTCCCGAGGCTGGCGCTTCCGCGGCGGGTGACGACCCTGCCAGCGACTCCCAGCCAGACGGCTTGGCCGCGCGGTCGTCGTGGAGGCGGCCGCGGGCAGCGGCGGCGCAGCGGTTGGCGGCGCGCGCGCGGGCCTCGTGCTCGAGCGCTCGCCTGCGGCGGCTGCGCCCGACGCTGACGAGGACGGTGTGATGATCGTGCAGGGCGGCGTGCGCGCGCCAGGCCGCCTCTGTGCAGCGGGCGCCTGCGGCATCCCGCGAGCCCTGGGCCGCTGGTCAGCGGGGTCAGAACTGCGCGGGCTCCTCGGCAGGCGCGGCAGCGGCGACCGCGGGACTCGCGCGCAAGACGTCGCAGCCGCCGTGGATGGCACGGGCGAGGCTTTCAGGATCCTGCACGCCGACCTGGCGTCGTTGGGCGGCGCTGCCGCACCGCCAAGCCTCGCATCAGGCCCGAGGGAGGCCGAGTCGGCGTGAGGCGAGAGGTCCCAGGGTAGCGCGCCACTGAGGCGGCTGCCGGGTTGTTGCTGGCCGTGGCCGTGGGGCGGCCCTCGCCTGGGGCGCCGGGGCCATCCCTCTTGCCACGGGCGAGGTGCCCAAGCGGCTCCATGGGTCCCAGCCGTGCCACCCGGCCAACCTGCCCGCCCCCGCCGATTGGCCTCTGCCACCACGGAGGGGGGGGGCAGTGCGTACCACCGGAGGCGAGGGCACGGCAGCTCCATTTCGTGCCGGCGCGGCGGCGGTGCCAGCGGGCGTTCGAGGCTGAAGGCCGCGGGTGGCCGCCAATCGGCCAACATGGGCGCTATCTGCGCTGCAGCTCTGCAGCCGCACGGAGGAGGCAGAGGGTCTGAGTGGGTACGGGAAGAGTGGTGACGAAGACCAGCAGCAGTGCCTGCCCATTCTGAGCAAGATTCGTTGTTGGTGTCGCCGCAGAGGTTGTCCACATGGGATGACACGGTGCGTGCCCAACGGCAACCGTTGTCGGTCTTGAGTGAGATTCGCTGTTGGGTAGCGTACCCATTTTGTCCGTACCAATTTCGGGCGTCCACGAGGAGGGGTTGTGAAGAAAAGGGGATCAGCAAAGTAGTAGGAGGAGTGGGGGGTGGAGGAGGACGACACAACGTGGTAGCAGGAGGAGGAGGAGGAGAACGAAGGACTCGTGGGAAGGGGAGAGGGAATGGAGCCACTTGCGATTTCCCATGGATTGCTTAGGGTTCCCCGCGGTTTGCTGCAGTGTGTGCTCATACGCTGGCGTGTCGTTGTTTCCGTTTGATGTTGACGTACAGGCCCGCGCAAATTCAGCGATCGTTCTAAAGTGGCGCGGTTCTGGAACGCCCTCTCCTCGCCCTCAACGTCGTTCGCCTCGTCCTGAATCTGTCTTCTTTCTCCTCCTCTGATCCCTCTTGAAGGCATCTTGGGTTTCTCGGAATTCTGCACCGTTTTGGTTTTTTGGGGGTGGGAGGCTGTGGGGGCCGTCATGCTGACAGCTGGGGTGTCTGTTGGAGGGCTCTCGGGCACAGGGCTATCTTGGGCGCCATGGTTCCCGCATCGGCTCAGGTGGGCCTTCGTGGCGCCGTCTGAGCGGGTCCTGTGGCGGTCTTGCAGCTTCTTGGGGTCATGTAGGCCGTAGTGTTTTTACCCGTGATGTTTTCTAGATCGTATCCGAGGATATTTGGAATTGAAGGTAAACTTCGGAAGCAAACATACATTGAATGTCCGATGCTGGTTCAACGCGTTTCGCCTCTTAGGGTCTTGCTGGAGGTCCATGTGCGAGTCTTTTCGGGGCTCTTCGGGACATCTTGGAATGAGATTGGAGCAAATGGAGACCCGTTGGGCTGCAATGGGATGTTCTTGATGCGGCTTGTGGCATTTCTGGGGCGGTCTTTTGCTGTCCTGGGGCCGTCTGGTGGCCGACAAGGGGGCCAGATAACACAATCCAGGGTCGGGTGGGGAGGGGGTCTAGAAGGCCGCGGCGCCCGAGACATCCTTCAGAGCCGCCGTATCACAGAGATTCTCGATGTATCCTCACCCGGGTCTGTCCCAGCCTCGTCTAAAGGGGTCAGAGGCTGTTTGCAGCAGGGAGGAGACGTGTTGGCACCTAGGAGCGCTACAGAAAGTTCATTAGACAGCAGAGAAAGATTCGAGCACGCACCAACGTGCCGCCAGAGTGGTCGCCGTGTTCTTATTCATTGTTTTGCCGATCGGGGTGGGCCCTCGCATCCCCCCTTCCCCCCCCCCCCCGTGGAGTAGATCTTGGATGTTTTTGGCGCCTGTTTCGGGCAGGTGGAGTCTCCCCCACAGGACGCACTGCAAACAGTCGCGTTAATCAGAGGGCCAGAGCCAGACCCCACCCCCCTTCCGCCCCATGTCGAAACGCCAAATAAGAAAACGCTCACATTGGGGGCAGGAAGAGGAGAAGGGATATCGATCGGGGAGGATCGGGAAGGAACATGAGTATGCATGGCGTGCCGCCGCAGGGAGCCCGTTCGCGTGCTGCTTCGCCGCTGTCGTCGGAAGCTGCTGTGCGTCTTCATGCGTAGCGCGCTGATGGGTTTCCCCACGGCGTGCCATCGAGGCTATGCTTGCTCCCCCCAGGGGCGGAGGCCTTGCTGCGACGCTGCCAGAGCCAAGATTTGGCAGCGCATCGCCTCGGCCAGCCGTCCGCGAGGAACAGGGTGGGCGGGCGGGCACGCTGAGGAGGTGCCCCGCGCCCGGACCGCCGCTGGTCCGGAGCCCCCTCTCCCACCGGGCGTCGCCCCCGGTGAGAAGAGGGCGCGGGGCGCGTCGCCCGGAGAGAGAGCTTCCACCTTCCACCGGGTGGTGGGGTGCCTCGGCGCGCGGAGGCGAGAGGCCGCGTTCGGCGGCGAGCGAGAGGGGGAAAGCGAGGAGGGTGGGGCTTCCTCGGAAGGCGGCGGGGGTTCGCAGAAGCGCTCCGGAGAGGGCTTCTGCGTCTCCAGGGGAAGGCTCAGAGTAACTTCTGAAGGTCGGGGGCTTTCCGAGCACTCTGCGAAGGCCTTCTCCTCCTTCTCACTTCCGCCCCCGCTCGCCGCCGACGTGTTGCCGGGGCGCTGGAGTAGGTCGTATGGCCAAGCCCGCAGCGCGCCCGAGCTCAGAGCCCCCTTACCCCCTGGGCGACACACACACACACACACACACACACACACACATCCGTTTCCGCAGCCTCGCGGGCCGGGGTGCCTGGGCCGCGACCCCACGGGTGCGGCGTATGTTCTCTCGGAATGCATCCGTCGGTCGCAGAGCATGGGAGGTGTGTCCTCAGAGTGCATGATTTGTGTCTGGTAATTTATCGAGGAAGAAAAGATTCGGCGTCGAGTGATCGTCGATACGCCAGCGCCAGCAAGATGACATGGGAGGCTCCCGTGAGTTGCTACAGAGGTATCGATCGCGCATCCGCAGGATCGCGCCCGGGAGACCTGACCGCCAGAGCGCGGATACGGATGCAGTCGAGGTCGATTAATCAGTAGGTCGACCCTGCCAGATCACGTCTGCCCTCGCGTTTCTGCGCTTCGCGGCCCATGCCTTCGGCATTCCTACGGCAACGTGACCCTGGGACGGGTCTTGCGTCCTCTCGCGCGCCCTCTGCAAGCAACCCCGACTGCATGTGCGCCGCTCGTGATCCCCCTGCCCGCGCAGGCGTTCGAGCGGAGGAAGAAGGAGGCCGAGGAGCAGAAGCTCCGGGAGGAGGAGGCCGCTGCGGGCCGGCCCTCCCCCTCGGGGAGCCCCCTGGCGGTGCCTGGTGACCTTCACCGCGTGGCGAGTCCGCGGGGATTCGGGGTCGCCGCGCGGTTTTGGGACCCGAGTGGTTCTCCAAGGATCGGCGGCGAGCGAGGGGGTCGTTCTCGAAGGATTGGCGGCGGACGAGGGGGGGAAGTGAGAATGAGAATGCCTTCTCAGAATGCGGCGGGGCTTCTCGGAAGCCCTCTGGCCTCTCCGTGTCTCCGGGGAAGGCTCAGAAAACTTCTCAGAAGGGCGGGGGACTTCAAAGCTTTCTGAGAAGGCCCGCCCCTTCTCACTTCCCCCCCTCGCTCGCCGTCGAAAGAACGCCTCAGAGGACTGGGACCTCCTCGGGGTGCTTTTCAGCAGCTGCGCCTCGCCGAGGGCGTTCCAGGGGTGCCCGGATCGTCTCGGGCGACCGCCGAAGAGCCGAGGTTAGGACCCGAGAGGGGTTGTGGTGCGGGGGCCCCCAAAAGCGGTGCGGTGGCCACGTCGCGTGGCGAGACAGTGAGGTGTTCGGGGTGGCCGCACGGTTTCGGAGTTTGGTCGGTCGGGGGTGGACAGAACCCCCAACAGTGACACGTCGATTAGTGAATGGTCCGTTTTCGGTTTTCGAGAGGGCGCCGTGGGCGTTATTTTCCAAGCTTGCGCCCGCCAGGTTTGGGCCTCAGGTCGTTTTCACTAAACCACGTTTTGCTAAAGGGGGGTCTGGCCATCCCCGATTTGGGTTGTTCTCCGATGACGTCTCGGAGGATGGTGGCTCCCGAGGTCACCGCGCGGTCCGTCACCTCGCGGTCCGAGCCCCCGGCCCCGAGGCACGAGGTGGGCAGCACGGAGAGTCAACGATCGAACGGTTCGACATGTTTCTGCGTTGTCCCCTTCAGAATGGGTCAGGGCGGAGGGGGCGGTGCCGCGCCAAAACAACTGGGTCGGGGGGGAGGGGGCGCGCCGGCTGAAGGATGGGGGGGAATGCGGAGGATCCAGGCGTGGCACAACAAAGATCGCCACGGCCAGTTATTCGTAGTTATAGGGCGGAGCTGCCAGAGGTTGAACAGGTCATAGTGCGAAGACGGAGGTGGGAGTTGACGAGAGAGAGCTTCGTGACCATGTTGCTTTAGCACTCTTCCTCTTCCTCTGCCAGGTTTGTCTTTCCGCGCTTCGCCTTGCGCCTCTTGAGGCCAGGTTCGGGCTAGGGGACCGTTTAGACTATTCAGGATGAGCATTCGGCCCCAGGGAGGTGGTCGACGCCCCTTGCGCCGACGTCACAACAAATGGAATGTCGGAGGAGAGGGGGCCTGCGGAAATTCCACACGGTGCCTACGGCACAATGGTGGATATGTGTATACATAATACATGTATATATATATATATATATATATATATATGTTTATAAATACATATATATAAACATACATATATATGTATGCATGGATATGTACATACAGAATGGCCTTCGGCGAGAAGACAGTGGTGGATCTATAGGAGGACGAGGACCTGTGCAGCCCAACACCCATGAACGATGGTGCAGTCAACCCTCCCTCTACGTTCCCTCTTCGTAGGCCGCTGTAAGGATCTATCTACGTGATGGCCTTACGCCCATGCCGCCACCCTGCCTGTGTTGTGGGTCAGGGTTCTCAGGGAGGCTTCTCTTGGGTCTCTTCTGGGCGCTCTCGGGGGCCTCGTGGGGGCCTCTCAGGGGCTTCTTGGGGGCCCCTCGGGGCCGAGGGCCCCGAGGGGCCCCTCGGGGCCGTGGGGGCTTCTCTGGGGGGAGGCTTCCTGAGGGCCCCTCGGGGCCGAGGCCGAGGGCTCGAGATGTCCGCTCGGGTCCCCCTATCCCGTCCTTGGGGCCTCTTGGGCCGTCTCGGGCGCCTCCTGACCCGTCTTGTGGCCCTCGTGTGCCGTGTTGTGGCCCTCTCGGAGGCCTGTTGGGCCGTCGTGGGCTGATCTTGGGGGGCCCCCGGGGCCGCTGGGAGCGTCGGGAAGCCGAAAAGATCAGAGCGCGGCAAACCTGCAACAACCTACTTGAAATCAGTGATCTCCCACTCCTGGAGACCCACAAAGGGCCGTTGGTGGACCTTGGTCTCTCGAGGTTCTGCTGGGAGCCGTCTTGGAGGCCTCTTGGAGCGTCTTGGAGGCCTCTTTGGCAGTCTCAACGCCGTCTTGGGCGTCTTGGAGCGATCTTTCGGCGGCTCGGGCCCCTCTTGGACCGCCTGCAGGCCCTCTTGAGCCAGCCCCTCTTGGACCGATTGGGAGCCCTCTTGGGCCCGAACAGAGCATGCGGGAAGACGCCCTGGGCACGCGGGAAGCCCCGAGAGATTTGGCAATGTGGGTTCCGAGCCCCCGAAGGATTCTTCAGGGTTGAAGATTGAGGCTTAACGGATCAGGCAAAGGATCCGAGGGCCCGCTTTCTCTGTACCCAGAGGCACGGTGGCGGATCTTGGCCGATGACAGGGAGGAGGAGCCAGAGGGAGAGAGGCGCGGTAGACAGGAGAGAGAGAGAGAGAGAGAAACAAAAAAAGGAGAGAGAAGGAGAGACGCCATACTGGCAGGTGAGCGGCACCCTTGTCGAGGGCCTCGCAGGTCTCTCTGGGGGGCGTCTCGAGGGCGGTCTGGAGCCTGGCATCGCTCGGACGTGTGCATCTTTCTTTCGGCGAGGACCATCGAGGAGCATCCTTGATCATTTGGCGAAAAAAACACGCACGAAACCGACAAAAAAACACAGGGAATGGACGTCCGAGCGATGGCCAGGTCTTGCAGTCCTGGCTCATGTGCAGTCTTGCCGACCTGGTCCTGGGGGAGGGGCCCTCTCTTGGGGCCTCTCGGGTTCTGTCGGGGCCGCCCTCTGGCACCTCGGGGGCCTCTCGGAGCCCTTCTTGGCCGTCTTCGGGTTGCTTGGGCCGTCTTCGGGGCCACGTGGGGCTGTCGGCCGTCTTGGGGGCCCGTTGGGAGACCGAGGCAGCAGTAGTCGGACATTTTGGCGTCTGTGGGGAAAACAAAATAAAACACACACAAACAAACAGAAAATCAACAAAACAAAACAAACACAAACACAACACAAAACAAACAAACAAAAACCACGTTTCTCCCCACAGACATTTTGGCGACGTTGGACTCCACGCTGGGGCAAGCAGAGATCCGATGACCTGGGGATGGGGGGAGATCCCTGAAGATTTCAAACTGAATCCGAAAAGCCTCCTGCCGCAATCATGACGGGTTGGTGAGGATTCCCGTGGATGCTTTCAATTTCCTGGGGGATTCGTGAAGGATTCTTGGAGGATTCCGGAAGGAGTCTGGAACTATTCAGGATTCCTGAGAGATCCTTCGGCTTCTTGATGATTCCTAACGTTAGAGAAATCCTGAAGGTTCTGTTCTGATCCCTGATATTGGTTTGAAGATTCTTGATCGATTTCTGGCGATTCCTGGAGGATTCATGAGTGTCACTGAGGGTATCTGAGGATTTCTGCTGCGGATTTGGGACATGCTCGAAAAACGCAGGCCGATCCCTGAAGAGTCACCGGGGGCCCGTGCCGACCCCGGAGGGATTCCTGGAAGATTCTTGCAGGATGCCTGACGGATTCTGGGGGATCCCTGAGCCCTTTCCCCCCCGAGGATTTGTTCCATGCATGAGTTCACTTCGGTGCTAACGATGTCGCTCAGCGGTTTCTTCTCTTGAATTCGTCATTGAGATTTGTATGCTGAGGATAACGGGGGGGGGCGACGATCTTTTCCCAAGGTTCTACAGACGAAACAGCTTGCCTGGTGGGACGTGCGTCACCACGGAGGTGAGACTTGTGCGGCGGGGGGATGGCGGATTGAGGAGAGGAGTTCCGTGAGACAATTCGAGGCCACCTGCATCCCCAGAAGGTTGGTGGCACTGTTGTGCCCGTGCTTTGGGCCTGGCCACCCTCTGCGTGCCCGTGTCTTCCGCGTGTTGGGAGGGGGGTGATCTCGGATGCCGCCCCATCTGAGAGTGGTCTTCCAGGCTTCGTGTGGACTCGTTTGCAATACAGCATACAGCGAAAGATGCAGGAGGCCTTGATGTTCTCTGGATATTTGGAGAACGAATGCTGCAGGGTCCGCCGCAAAGACGGCTTCAGAACCTGCTTTGTTGTGGAACGGTTGCGCTTACCTACCAGTGTCGTTGACGTTTTGGGGCGTCCGACCTGTGGGCGTCGCGTTCTCCTCAAGCATGGGCCTCAGCTTAAAAGTCGAGGACCAGCCACCCGGGGTTGTCCGCCGTCGTTTGGGGGCATCGGCAATCGCCCAGAGTACCGTGTGTGGCTTATGTCCTGTCCTGTGTGTCTTCTCCTCCCTCTACTGCCCGACTGCCCGCCAACCCTCCCAGCTCCTGGGGCGTTCCGGGTGTCCGCATTGTCCCCTTTCCCCCCCCTCGACACCCTTCCCCTCCATGTCCTCCCCTGTTCTGCCCTCCCCCATTCCTCTTCCCTTCCACTGGACCTCCCGCAGCTGGTTTTACTGCGGAGGCGACCCATGGCCCTTCATCGCGCGCCTCCTGTCAGCCTCGAGGGATGGCCGGCGACTTCCAGTCGGCGGTCTGGATCAAGCAGGACATGTTCAACATGTTGGTGGTCTGGTCCGTCCTCCTGGTCGCCGTGGCGGCCGGGCCAATCCGGAGCCGACTGCGGGAGTTCGCAGCCCTCAAGAGGTCGGGGGCATCCAATCGGAGTGGCGACCACGCCGCGTGATGAGTCCGCGGGGATCCTGGGTCACCGCGCGGTCTCAGGACTCGGGCCGTTCTCCGAGGGTGCCTCGGACGCCTGGGGCCTCCAGGGTCCCAGAACCTTGTGAGCGACGCAGAGAGAATCGGGGCCAGGCTTCCCCAACAATTGAAAGACGCCCAACAAAAAAGCGGGGTCGTCCTCGCCGACCTTGGCGCGGAAGTTGCCCGCGCAAGGTCGCGCGTGAGCGCCCTCGCTTCCAGCGTGGCGGGCTGCGCTGGCGGCCCGCCCAAGCCGCCGCGCAGGGCCTCGAGGCCCTCTCGTGCAGGACCCGCGGCTCATCGTCGCTCGGTTTCCGCCGCCCGTGTGGTGACGGACCGTGCGGTGAGGCCCTCCGGGCGTCCGCCGCCGCCGCGCGGTCCGCCCACGCGCGCGGTCTTTGGGGCCCCCGGCCAGAGGGCGCACCGCGCCGGCGGCGACCCGAGCGGCCCCGCCGGCCGCGCCCCGCGGCAGTGCTCCGCCCGCGGCGACGGCGGCGGTGGCGCGCGCCGGCGCACGCCGGCGGCGGCCCCCGAGCCCGGGGCTAAGTTCTCGTCGGATCGCCGCGGTGGCTGCCGAAGTTTTTTTGGCCTCCCAGATGGGGTCGGAGTAGGTGGGGTCGAAGGATCGCGCCGCAGCGGCGATGCATCGGCGATGCGTCGGCGATGCGGCTCGATGTGGGGCCTGACTTTCTCCACGCCATCGTCGCCGATGCATCGCCGACGCCGCCAGCGCATCGCCGATGCGTCGCCGATGTATCGGCGATGCGGCGAGATCCTCGGACACCATCTACTCCGACCCCATCTAGGCGGCCTCTATAAAGGGGATGGGGGGGTTAGAGGTGGATGCCAAAATTGGTACGATCTGGCCTCACCCAACTTACAAGTGGGTTACAAGTGCCCCATGTGGCTTAGGATGGTGGGTTAACTTCGCTAAGTCGGCTCCGCCCACTTAGCACAGATCTGTGCGCCCGTAAGCCACTTGGGGCACGTGCAACCCACATCTAAGCTGGGCCAGGCTGGATAAAACCCATTTTAGCATGCACTTCTAACCCCCCCTCATCCCCTTGGCAACCATCGAGGCGATCCAAGTAGTTAGGCCTCTCAGATGGGATCCGAGCAGATGGGGTCGGAGTTTCGCGCCGCAGCGCCGATGCAGCGGCGACGCAGCTGGATGTGGAGCCCGACTCTCTCCGCGCAGATGTCGCCGATGTATCGCCGAGGCATCGCCGATGCTTCTCGATGTATCGTCGATGCATCGGCGATGCGTCGGGATCCTCCGGCCCCATCTACCAGGACCCCATCCATGAGGCCCCTATCACTTGATGTAAAAGACGATGGTGACCAACGAACAACACATGCACTCAAAGCTATAGGGAGGATTCATGTTTGCCACCAGTATATACACAGTTTCCCTACACTGGATTGTTCCTGGGCCTCAGAGAAGGGTGGCGGTGTATATTTGTAGATATGCATGTCCATATATATATATATAGATAACCACTGGGAGCCACCATTTTTATACACCGCCGCCCTCCCTGAAGGTACATGCGAAGTTCGTCGGGAGGCGTCCGTGTATTTTATTCTGTGTCATAGCACTGGGGAAGGACAGTGCGATGACGGCGCTGCAGGTACGGGTGCGAGTCGTCGGACCCCGAAGGGGGCCCCCGCTCGAGCGGACAACCCCCATCCGTCCACGCATTCCCATGCCCCCCCCCCCCTGAATTCCATCCCAGGCATCGGACAGCGCATCCCCATGCCCCCCCCCCCTGAATTCCACCCCAGGAGGTCTGAGGGACGAAAATGTATCGGTGTTCGTTCTTTTCATGAGCCTGGGGGCGTCTTTTCTGTTCGTTTTCAACTTGTCGGTGTTCGGCCAACGCGGACGGAGAAGACAAGGGCAGCCGAAGAAGGAAGAAGGGAAGACAATAAAAGGCAGCCCGCACACACCACGGAGGGGCGAGAACCCCGAAACAGAACAGAAACGCACCCCACAACGAACACAAACAATCCGTATCTTGCAAGCGGGGAGGAAGCAACAGCGCACGCCCCCCGCCGCGGCCCGCGCGGGCCTAGGGCCATTCGTTGCGTGTATGCGAGAGACGGCGAGGAGCTTCCCGTCGTGAGATTCTTTCTCACGGCGCGAGCCCGTCTAGGCCCTTTCTGTCAACAGCGACCAATTCCCCTGACCTTCCAGAGTGCTAGAAGATAGCCCTCCAGACCTATAGACCTATCTGGGCTGCCACGCATCCCGACAGGAATCCAGATGTCCAGGTCCTGGTGCCATTGTTCAGCCCTCTCTCCCCGACCAACCGACGGCGTTATTCGCATCCTCTAAGGCCCGCGGCCCGCGCCGCGCGCGCGGCCGCAGAGGCCGACCGAGAGCCGCAGCGGCCCCGCAGCGCGGCCGCGGCCGCTGGCGCCCCGCAGCCCGCCAGGCAGGCCGCAGAGGAGCGCGGCGCCCGCGCCGCGCGCGCGGCCGAGGCCGCCGCGGAGGCCGCGCGACGGCCGCGGAGCCCCCGCGGCGCAGCCGCGCCCGCCGGCGCTCCGCAGAGCGAGGAGGCTCGGAGCTAGGCTTCAGTCGGGCCTGCCCCTCTACAGGAGGGATGTTCGAAAATAGTAAAAGAATAGTCTGGGGACGAGTTTTTTTGTTTTCATGCTTTACGATTATGTTTGCGCTGACTCTGTTTGTTGGCCAACATCCGCCTGTAGGGGGACATGCCCGACCTACATCTAGGCCTCGAAGGTGGGGTCGGAGCAGCTGCGGTCGAAGGGTCTTGCCGCAGCGCCGATGCATCGCCGATGCATCGCCGACGTCGCCGATGCATCGCCGATGTATCGGCGATGCGGCCCGATTCTGACCCCATCTACTCCGACCCCATCTAGGAGGTCTCTACCAGAGGAGAAAAGGGTACCCATACCGCTACCCTTCGCCCGTTTTCCCCTTTGTTGAGGCTCCTGGGTGGCCCTCGTCGCCACCGCTGGATCCGCCTCGGAATCCTGGTCAGAAGGCGCCCCGGGAGAGGTCCCGGGGGGGGGGGGGCGGTATCAGTATCTTTCGGTCCCACCAGGGGCTCAAGGGACGGGGGTCAACGCAAACGGGGGTCAGCCAGGGCGCCGGATTGTGCAGGATCCCGCAGGGCCAGGGGTGCACTGACCCGGGCTTGGGTGCAGGATCCTGCAGGGTCTTCCAGAGTGCTAAAAGATAGCCATCCAGACCTGTAGACCTATCTGGGCTGCCAAACATCCCGACAGGAATTTCGATGTCGAGGTCCTGGTGCTACATTTTAGCCCTCTTGGAAGGTCAGGTTTGCAGTATCCTGCAAGGCCCGACTGACCCAGGTTTGCACTGACCCGGGTCAGCAGAGCCAGGGGTGCTCTGACCCGGGCTTGGGTGCAGGATCCTTCAGGGTCTTGCTCAAGGCCTCCCAGATGGGGTCGATGCATCGCCGATGCGTGTCGATGTGGAGCCCGATCTGCTTCACGTCGACGTCGCCGATGCACCGCCAACATCGACGATGCGTCGCCGGTGCATCGCCGATGCATCCTCGAGCATCGCCGAGACCCTGTCTAGGAGGCCTCTACTGGCAGTGTCCTGCAGGGCCCGACGGACCCAGGTCTGCACTGACCCGGGTCAGCAGACCCCGAGAGGCCAGCGCGCCGCCCGCGGCGCCGGTGCCGCCCGCAGCGCGCGCTGCCTGCGTGGCGCCCAGGCCCGGAGGGTGTCGACCAGTACAGTCGGGGCCCTGAAGAAGGAACCCTTTTCGTTGGGGAGGGGCTCCGTGTTCCTTGATTGCTTCACAGTTTGCCTCGGGTTTCCCTTTGGTTTTCGATGGGGAATCGAAGTTCAGGTTGTGGCTAGAAGGGGCCTCGTTCCTTATTTGAGGTTCCTCAGGTCAAGGGCCCGACTGTAGGTTCGCGTCGTGTCGACCGGCGGCGACCCGCCGCGTCGACTGGTATACCGCGTCGTGTCGACTGGCGGCGACCCCGCCTCCTGCGTTTCAGGTTGAACGTTAAGTCGGGCGTGTCCCCTTACAGGCGGATTTTCGAGGAAAAATTAAAAATATTCCACAAATGTCCCAGACTATTTTTTTTGACTGTTTTCGAATATTCCTCCTGTAGAGGGACAGGCCCGACTTAAGTTGAACGCCGCTTGTGGCCCAGAGTCGGCCCATCGTCGAACGATCCGGAGTTCCCGAAACGCACGATCGTTCAAGGTTGAACGATCCCTGCGGTGTCAGGAACCAACACCAGAGTCGACACGATGCAAACTTGTCGTCAACGTGAACTTTCGGGGCTCTGCGCGGATTTCTTGGATCTGCGCTGGGCCCCTCGAAGGCACCTCCGGCACCGTCCCTGGCTCGCTCCGAGCGCCAGGGAGGGGGGTCCAGCGCAGATCCACGAGATCCGCGCGGACCGTCGAATGTTCATGTTGATGATAGTCTTTCTTCTATTCATCGGTGAGCTCTTCAGGAGGGCCTAGCGCCGATCCGAGGAATCCGCGCGGACCTCCGGGTTTTTACGTGCATGTCATCGCTTGCTCCCCTAACCACCCTCAAGCAGTGGCGTGGCGTCCTGGCTTGACTATAGTCTATAGGCCTCCCCGATGGGGTTCTAGCGGATGTGGTCGGAGGGTTGCGCCGCATCGCCGATACATCGGCGATGCGGTTCGATGTATAGCCCGATTTTCTCCACGCCGACGGCGCCAATGCATCGCTAATGCATCGGCGATGCGGTGCGATTCTCCGACCCCATGCACTCCGCTCCGGTCCAGGAGGCCTCTATTTAGGTCCAGCGAAGAATGCTCTAAGAATTCGTTGTGGCTTGTGCGAAGTCTTCTTAGACAATTTCTGTCTGATACCGTGTATTATTCATCTATCGGCGTTGTGGTCGAATACATTTTTTTTTGTGCTTGGAGCAGTCCTTGGTTCTAAGACATTTCGCCGTCTGCCCATAGGAATTCCAGGACTGCTGGCCCCTGCTCAGCACCCCCTGCACTCGTCCTTTACCTTGCCCTTCAGCTTTCGGGTCATCACTGAGCTCCCTGGCGGCCGCCAGGCACGATTCGGGCGCCCCTGGCTCGCTCGCGGCTGCGCGCAGCTGATGGATAGCACCCCGCGGCCAGAGCACCGCCGAGAGACGACGAAAGCGTCCGACGGAAACCGGCACTATCCCCTGCGCATTTCGAATAGGACTCACTGTCGGCGTCGCCGCGGACGTTGTCTATCTGAGGTAGAAGACGCGACTGGAGTTGTTTTTCTATTGTCGGCCTCTGGGGGCCCACGCCGGGCCCCTGATGCCGTCGAAAAGCAACTCGGAATGAAAAGCCGGTCCCGGTAAGTGAGTCGAGACCTGTGAGGGCCGACATTAAGAACAAATCACTACCCGGAGGGTCTGGGATCCTGGCGTTGCAACTTTCTCGCAACCGGTGTGTTCGCCCAGTTTCGGGCCCCAGGGCCCTCACAGATCGATCTGGCTTGAAACATGACGCAGAATGATTCTGCACGCTTTGACTTGGTACGGGAAGAATGGGTACGAGGAGCGACAGCAGTTCCTGATCATTCTGAACAGGAGTCGCAGACGGCGTCGCCGCGGGTGCCGTCCATCTGAGACATGATGACCCTTGCCCAGCAGCGGCCACAGTCGGCTTGGGCTGCGCTTGCTGTTGGGTATGGTGCCCATTTTCGGAGGTTGATAGACCTCCTGCCCTGACACGTCGATTATATAAGGAACTGGCCGTTTTCGGTTCGCGGGAGGGCGTCGCGGCCGTTATGTTTGCGGGTCCAGGTCCGTCGGTTTCGGTCTTAGGCCAGTTTCACTAAGTGGAGGTTTACTAAAGGGAGTATTGTCCACCGCCGACATTTGCTCTGAACCGATTTCGGATGTCCAAATCTCAAGTCGATCTGGTCCCGATTTCCCTCAGATCTGACGTTGCCAAACAATTGTAACATCGCGAAACATCACACGAACAGAGCCCTAGACCCCATCCTTCTGCGTCATTCTGCGGGCCGGATCGGTACGTGAGGGCCCCAGGGCCCGAAACAAAGGGCGAAACCGCCCGTTGTGAGAAAGTTGCGGCACGCGGATCTCAGGGTCCTTGCGATGCTGCGATTTTCTTACTCGTCGGACCTCCTCAAGCGGGGCTAGAACTAGGAACAAGCAGCTCCAGAGCGTTCCGGAACGCTCTAGCGAGAGCGTCCCGGAAGAAGGCAGTCTGAGAAGGCCGCGGCGCCCGGGGCGTCCTCCAGCGCCGCTAGATCCCAGAGCCTCTCGCTTGGCCCTCGCCCGACTGAAACTCGGTTCCCGCCCTTTGCCTCGCCAGGGGGGCCGCGGGCGCCCGGGCGGCCGACGCCGCGCCGGCGCAGCGGCCCGCGGCCGCCGGCGCCCGGGCGGCGGCGCGCGCCCGCAGCCAGCCGGCGCGGCCGGCCCGCGCGCTGCCTGCGCCGGCGGCGCCCAGCGCAGCGCCCACGGCGCGCGCGGCGGCGGCGGCGGCGCCCACGGCGCGCGCGGCGGCGCCGGCGCAGCGCCGGCGAGGGAGGCCGGGAGCAGGCCCGGCTGCCGCGGGCAGGCGGGGCCCCCGAGAGAGAGATCCCTTATGAGGGGCTCGGTTTTTCCAACACCACCGCCAGAAGTTGGAGGGGGGAGGGGGAGGAGGAGGAGGAGGAGGAGGAGGAGGAGGAGGAGGAGGAGGAGGAGGAGGAGGAGGAGGAGGAGGAGGAGGAGGAGGAGGAGGAGGAGGAGGAGGAGGAGGAGGAGGAGGAGGAGGAGGAGGAGGAGGAGGAGGAGGAGGAGGAGGAGGAGGAGGAGGAGGAGGAGGAGGAGGAGGAGAGGAAGGAGGAGGAGGAGGAGGAGGAGGAAGAGAGGAAGATGAGGAGGAGGAGGTGGAGGAGGAGGAAGAGAGGAAGAGGAGGAGGAGGAGGAGGAGGAGGAGGAGGAGGAGGAGGAGGAGAAGGAGGTGGAGGACCCCCTCCCCCTTCAACTCATGGTGGTGGTGGTGGCGGGAAACAGGCCCATCCTCCCTGGCGCTGCAGGCTTGCTCGTTCCACGGGCGTCAAACGCCTCGTGGAGCGAACAAACCTGCAGAGCGCCATGGATCTGTGAGGGCCCAGTGGGGCCGAAGCCGGGCGCGAAGGCGTTCTTCGAGCCCGGCTCTGGCCCCATGGGGGCCCTCACAGATCGACGTGGCCCGGAGAAAAGGACGCAGGCAGAGGGGGTGCAGGGCTCCGGTCTTGACGTGTTGCGTTGGTGTATGTTTTTCTCGGCCATGTCAGATCGGAGGGGCCGCCGCAGGTCGGACGGGCTCAGAGCCGGGATGATAGATCCGTTCCATCGCGTTCTGGACCGAACTCAGAGTGTTCCGGAACGCTCTGGAGCTACCGTTGTGCCCGATGCATCCTCCAAACCCGCCGATTTTCAGACCGATCTTTGACCTTCCAGGGGGGCTAAAATATAGCACCAGGACCTCGACATCTAAATTCCTGTCGGGGCTTCTGGCAGCCCAGATAGGTCTATAGGTCTGGAGGGCTATTGTTTAGCACTCTCGAAGGTCAGCGATATGGGATATATGTATCGGTCCGATGTGCTCCCGATGCTGCCTGCGTCTGGGCAGGAGGTGCCCGCAGCGCCGGTGGCCCCCGCCACCGCGAGCGGGCTGGCGCCGGAGCCACCACAGGAGGCGCCCGCAGTGCCCTGCGCCCTCACCGCGGGCGCCGCCGCGCCGGCGCGGCGGGGTCGGTGGCGCGCGGAGGCGGCCGCGGTAGACGTTGCTGCCGCGCCGGCGGCGGCCTGCGGCGGAAGCAGCGGGGGGGGCCGAGAGCCACGGACCGCGCGTGGTCCCCTTGCCTGCGCAGGCGCTCGAGCGAAGGAGGGAGGAGGCCGCGGAGCAGAAGCCCCCTGAGGAGGAGGCCACATCTTGGGGTCCTCTGGTTTGTCCTGTGCGCCCCTCTTGGGCAGTCTTGTGGCCCTCAAAGAGCTGTTCTTGACCGTCTGGTGTTCGTTGGACGTTGATGTTGGTACCTCGGCTCCAGATGGATCCTCCTCCTCGGAAAACCATCTTGAGCAAACGTCGAGGACTTCAATTTTGTGCCCACGTCATCAATTCGCTTCGCTCACTCCGCCGTGTATCACTGGTTACATATGTCGGTGACCTCGTGACGAGCGAGGAGGAGGAGGAGGAGGAGGAAGAGGATGATGATGATGATGAGGAGGAGGAGGAGGAGAAGGAGGAAAAGGGGAGGATGAGGCTGAGGCATCTCGGTCGCTTCTTGGGGTATTCTCGGGGCAACATGGGGTCGTGGACAAGAAGCCTCTCTGGGAGGCGTCCTGACTTCACTCGGGAGGCCTCCTGGCGGCCTCTTGGCCGTACTGGTCGGGACGTCCCGAGGCCTCTTGGGAGCCTCCTGGGGCCTCTTGGGAGGGTCGTGTGCGCCTCCGGGAGCCTCTTGGGGGCCTGCTGGCGGTCTCAGGGACCACCTTTTGGGGGAAGGGGCTCGACTTGTCAGTTAGGACTCTCCTCCTGGGGCCGTCTTGGGATCCTCTGCAGCCCTCGTAGAGGGGGCCTCTTGGACCGTCTTGGGGCCCTCCTGGGCCGTCTTGGGGCCGTCCCTCTTGGGTTGTCGTCGGGCGATCTGGGGGGCCTCTTTTGGTGGCCGTCTTGGGCAGCCGGAAGCCCGAAAAGGCATCACCTCCGCAATCCTCGAAAGAACAGGAAAACCATTGAAATTAACCCCACGGGGCCCTCATGGAGTTGTCTTGGACCATCTTGATGCCTCTTCGGGCCGTCTTTGAGCCATCGTGGGGCTCGCCACCCATTGATCCCGACTCTTTCGCGCTTTTGGAGCTCCCTTGTGGTCACTTGGGGCGCTCCTAGAGCGCTCTGGAGGGCCCCGAAAAACGCTCCCGGGACCTTGCTGGGGTATTTTTCGCCCAGAGACCCCCAAGGCGGCCCCGAGCGAGCTAATTAGAAAGAGTTTGAACTTGTTGCAAGACATCTTAGCACGCCTCTGGCTCGTTGGGCGGGCGAATTTGGGCCTTCCTGGAGGGCCTCCCCGCATTCATCCTGATGCCTTCGTACGAAGCCTCTTGGGGCCTGTATGGCACCTCTTGGGGTCTGTTGGGTGCCTCTTGGATGCCGGGCCGTCTTGGAGAGCATTGGAGAGCCTGGGAGACTTGACCACGGGGACGCGTCGGTCCGCCCACGGAGCTTCGGGGGATGCGTTCGGCACTCTGTGGGAAGAGGGGAGGGGCCCTGAAAAGGCTGACCCTACCAGACGCCACATGGCATTCTATCAGGCGGATTTGCCCCGCCCTCTTGACAGACGGTTGGCAAGGGGAGGTGCGTGGGAGGGTGGCGGGGCCAGACGGGTGACACAGAACGGAGGGGATCGGGAAGGGCGAGTGTCGGACCTGGGAGGTGGGCGGGGCGAGGCTGGGGAAGGGGAGGGTGAAGCTTGGAGAGTGATTTCGTAATAAAGGGAGGGGGGTCTCATTTGGGGGTCTCTTCCAGGCTATCTTGGAGGGACTGGGGGGTCTGGGGACGATGTTTTGGAGGGTTCTCCCACGGGGGAGGTCTGAAATGGCTTGCCTTGGAGGGTCCAGACCCCCTCCCTTTTATTACGAAATCAGGAGTACCCTGCGATCTGCCTCATATTTTCTGCTTTGGTCCATCCGCGGCTGCAGAGGTCCCAGCCCCTTCCCCCCGTTGCGGATCCGCGTCTGCTGCTCCTCCCGGAGCCCGGCTGCGGGCCTCAGGAGCCAGAGTCGGGGACTCGCGCCCGGGGCGTTCGAGCATACATCCCCCCCGAATGCTGGGAGCGGGTGGGTGTTTAAGCTGGCGTCAAAAACGTTGGAGGCGTTTTTTGTTTTTCCGTTCTCGTCTTCTCTGGTTCCGGCCATGGAGCGGAACAGACCACGGGCAAGTAGAAAGCAACGGGCAGCACATCGCTAATTATGCAGACACCGCGTTCTAGAGCGGAACCGAAGACGGCGCGGGCGAGAGTCCTAAAGCGGGAACATACACTTGATCCCAGCACGGCAGCAAGGACTCCGAAATTGATATATTGCCGCAGAAAACTCGGGGGTGGACAGACCTCCTACCCTGACACGTCGATCAGCGAAGTGGCCGTCTTCGGTTCGCGAGAGGGCGTCGCGGCCGTCATTTCTGCGGGTCCGGGTCCGTCGGTTTCGGTCCCGGGCCGTCTTCACTGAGGGGAGGTTTACGAAAGAGGGAGGTTTGTCCACCGCCGAAAAGCAGCGGCCCGGTGTGGTTAACGGCACCTCCGGGGGGGGCGCCCCTTCGGGCCGTTTTCACTAAGGGGAGGTTTCCTAGAGGGAGGTTTGTCCTCCGCCGAAAAGCAGCGGCGCAGTGTGGTTGGCGGCACCTCCGAGGAGGGCGCCCCCTCGGGCCCTAAGGTCTTTGTGCTGCTGCACGCGTCGAGCCCGAGGCCTCCTCTGTGAGGGCCCCGTGGCCCGAGCCCGGGCGAGCACGCCCGCGGCGAAGGCGAGTTATCCCTAAGTCGGGCCCGTCTTTCTCCAGGAGGAATCTTCAAGAAAGTCAAAAAATAGTCTGGGGACTATTTGTTCAGCATGTTCTGACAATTTTGGAACATTTTCTGAGTATTGATATCTGTCATCGAGAATCCCCCTGTAATTAGGGGGACACGCCCGACTCAAGATTATCCTGGCGAAGGACCCAACCATATGCCGTTCTGGCTGCCGCAGTTGTGAATATCTTCTTCGGTGGAGCTCCCTATGGGGCCACGAAGCGGTGTCCTGGGTGGGGGGGCGCGTGCGGGCGGTGGCGCTGGGGCCGTCGGTGGAGCTCCCTATGGGGCCCCGAAGCGCTGTGCTGGGTGGGTGGAACGCAGGGAGGAGGGGGAGGAGGGAGGGGGGAGGAGGGAGAACGCGGGGACCCCGTCTCCTCAAAACGAGGATCCAACACCACAGGGTGGCTGGGAAAACATGCAACGCCAGGATCCCAGGGCGGGGCCCCCACCCGGGCTCAGAAGGGTATACGGATTCGGGCGAAGCGGGCGGAGCCCGGAGCCCACGAAGCGGAGTGATCTCATCGCCTGCAGGACATCCAGGGTTCTACTAACCATCCTGTGGAATTGGGTCTTCGTTTTGAAGTGACAGCGCCCCGCCTTCCTTCCTTCCTTCCTTCCTTCCTCTCCTCCTCCTCCTCCCCCCTCCTCCCCACCCCGCCTCCTCCCTGGCCCCCTATCATAGGGAGCTCCACCGTAGGCCCCAGTGGGGGTGCCCGCATGCGGTTCCCCCACCCAGGGCAGCGGTTCGTAGCCCCATAGGGAGCTCCACCTTAGGCCCCAGTGGGGGTGCCCGCATGCGGTTCCCCCACCCAGGGCAGCGGTTCGTGGCCCCATAAGGGGGCTCCACCGAAGGCCCCAGTGGGGGTGCCCGCATGCGGTTCCCCCACCCAGGGCAGCGTTTCGTGGCCCCATCGGGAGTTCCACCGTAGGCCCCAGTAGGGGTGCCCGCATGCGGTTCCCCCACCCAGGGCAGCGCTTCGTGGCTCCATAGGGAACTCCACCGCAGGCCCCAGTGTGGGTGTTCGCATGCGGTTCCCCCACCCAGGACACCGTTTCGTGGCCCCATAGGGAGCTCCACCGAAGGCCCCAGTGGGGGTGCCCGCATGCGGTTCCCCCACCCAGGGCAGCGTTTCGTGGCCCCATCGGGAGCTGCACCGAAGGCCCCAGTAGGAGTGCCCGCATGCGGTTCCCCCACCCAGGGCAGCGCTTCGTGGCCCCATAGGGAACTCCACCGCAGGCCCCAGAGGGGGTGCCCGCATGCGGTTCCCCCACCCAGGACACCGCTTCGTGGCCCCATAGGGAGCTCCACCGAAGGCCCCAGTGGGGGTGCCCGCATGCAGTTCCCCCACCCAGGGCAGCGCTTCGTAGCCCCATAGGGAGCTGCACCGAAGGCCCCAGTGGGGGTGCCCGCATGCGGTTCCCCCACCCAGGGCAGCGTTTCGTGGCCCCATAGGGAGCTCCACCGAAGGCCCCAGTGGGGGTGCCCGCATGCGGTTCCCCCACCCAGGGCAGCGCTTCGTGGCCCCATGGGGAGCTCCACCGTAGGCCCCAGTGGGGGTGCCCGCAAGCGGTTCCCCCACCCAGGGCAGCGCTTCGTAGCCCCATAGGGAGCTGCACCGAAGGCCCCAGTGGGGGTGCCCGCATGCGGTTCCCCCACCCAGGGCAGCGCTTCGTGGCCCCATGGGGAGCTCCACCGTAGGCCCCAGAGGGGGTGCCCGCATGCGGTTCCCCCACCCAGGACAGCGCTTCGTGGCCCCATAGGGAGCTGCACCGAAGGCTTCAATCGGGGTGCTCGCATGCGTCTCCGCCACCCAGGACAGCGTTTCGTGGCCCCATAGGGAGCTCCACCGAAGGGCCCAGTGACGGTGTCCACATGCGTCTCCCCCACCAGGGACAGCGTTTCGTGGCCCCATAGAGAGCTCCACCGAAGGTCGCAGCGGAGGTGTCCTCATGCGTCCCCCACCCAACACAGCGTTTCGTGGCCTCCTGTGGAGCTCCACCTAAGGCCCAGGTGGCGGTGTCCACATGCGTCTCCCCCACCCAGCACGGCGCTTCGTGGCCCCATAGGGAGCTCCATCGAAGAAGATATTCACAATTGCGGTACCCACAACTTCAGATGGTTGGGTCCTTCGCCAGGATAATGTTTTGTGACCCGTTTGCAGGAGACCAGGTCTGGCCGAATAGGACCCACCTCGGCATCCCATTGTTCTCCCCCGTACCCCTTTTAGCACCACCCGCGGCGATCCAAGTACAGTCGACCCGCACAGTAAGGATGGGCGGCTCTTCCAAGGATGCCCTTGCGTCCTTGCCTCCTCGGTCCATCCTTCGCTCCATCGGTTGGCCGCGCGCGCCCCGCTCGAGAAGCTTCAAGAGGGGCCTCCCAAGGCCCTTGCATCCTTATTATGCGTCCTCATACGGGTTGACTGCACAGTGGAGGCCCATGCCACGAAGCACCCTGTTTGTCTCCAGGGTGCCCTGGGTTTCTGGGGTTTCGATTGTTTTTCTATGGAAAGCGTGTTGCTCCCACACCCAAAGTAGCCTGGCGAAGGACCCAACCATATGCAGTTGTGAGTACCGCAGTTGTGAACATCGTCCCCGGTGGAGCTCCGGATGGGGCCACGAACTGTGTGAGGGGCTTGCCACAGTGGTGGTGGTGGGGACCCGCATGCGGGCATCCCCACTGGGGCCTTCGGTGGAGCTCCCTATGGGGCCACGAAGCGCTGTGCTGGGTGGGGGAACCGCATGCGGGCACCCCCTCTGGGGCCTACGGTGGAGCTCCCCATGGGGCCACGAAGCGCTGCCCTGGGTGGGGGAACCGCATGCGGGCACCCCCACTGGGGCCTAAGGTGGAGCTCCCTGTGGGGCCACGAAACGCTGCACTGGGTGGGGGAACCGCATGCGGGCCCCCCCACTGGGGCCTTCGGTGGAGCTCCCGGGCTACGAAACGCTGCGCTGGGTGGGGGAACCGCATGCAGGCACCCCCACTGAAGCCTACGGTGGAGCTCCTTGTGGAACCACGAGACGCTGCCTTGCGTGGGGGAACCGCATTCGGGCACCCCCACTGGGGCCTACGGTGGAGCTCCTTGTGGGGCCACGAAACGTTGCCCTGGGTGGGGGAACCGCATGCGGGCACCCCCACTGGGGCCTACGGTGGAGCCCTATGTCCTGGGTGGGGGAACTGCATGCGGGCACCCCCACTGAGGCCTGCGGTGGAGCTCCCTAAGGGGCCACGAAACGCTGCCTTGGGTGGGAGAACTGCATGCGGGCACCCCTACTGGGGCCTTCGGTGCAGCTCCCGATGGGGCCACGAAACGCTGCCCTGGGTGGGGGAACCGCATGCGGGCACCCCCACTGGGGCCTAAGGTGGAGCTCCCTGTGGGGCCACGAAACGCTGCACCTGGTGGGGGAACCGCATGCAGGCACCCCCACTGAAGCCTACGGTGGAGCTCCGTATGGGGCCGCGAAACGCTGCCCTGGGTGGGGGAACCGCATGCGGGCACCCGACTGGGGCATTCGGTGGAGCTCCCCATGGGGCCACGAAGCGCTGCCCTGGGTGGGGGAACCGCATGCGGGCACTCCCACTGGGGCCTTCGGTGGAGCCCTCTATGGGGCCACGAAGCGCTGCACTGGGTGGGGGAACCGCATGCGGGCACCCCCACTGGGGCCAAAGGTGGAGCTCCCTGTGGGGCTACGAAACGCTGCGCTGGGTAAGGGAACCGCATGCGGGCACCCCCACTGGGGCCTTCGGTGGAGCTCTCTATGGGGCCACGAAACGCTGCGCTGAGTGAGGGAATCGCATGCGAACACCTCCGCCCCCTTGCATGATGATGGTGATAAGGTTGACGATGATGGTGATTATGACGTCGATGATGATGATGATGATGATGATGATAATGATGATGATGATGATGATGATGATGATGATGATGATGATGATGATGATGATGATGATGATGATGCTGATGCTGATGCTGATGCTGATGCTGATGCTGATGCTGATGCTGATGATGATGATGATGCTGATGCTGATGCTGATGCTGATGCTGATGCTGATGCTGATGCTGATGATGATGATGATGATGATGATGATGCTGATGCTGATGCTGATGCTGAGGATGCTGAGGATGCTGAGGATGCTGAGGATGCTGCTGATGCTGATGATGATGATGATGATGATGATGATGATGATGGTGATGATGGTGATGATGGTGATCATGATGATGGTGATGATGGTGATGATGAGGTTGATTATGGCAACGAGGAAGTGCCGAGGGCAGAGGTATGGATAGGAGTAGGGATGGGGGAGGATGTGGAGAGCAGAAGCAAGGAGGGGGATGAAGGAGGAAGGGGGGTGGGGGGGAGAGGGGAGGAGGAGGAGGAGAGGAAGGAAGGAAGGAAGGAAGGAAGGAACGCGGGGCGCTGTCACTTCAAAACGAGGACCCAACACCACAGGATGGTTGGGAGAAACAACGAGCGTCCTGGGGTATCAGGTCTTTCTCTTGTGGGGGGGTTCTTGTGGTCGAGCCTCCACTGCAGGGGTGAGTATCCTCTCGAGAAGCTCCTTCCGTTGGCCGCGCCCCGCTCGAGAAGCTACGAGATGGGCCTCCCAAGGCCCTTGCATCCTTAGCGTGCATCCTTAAGATACGGTCGACCGTATGACCCGCCTCGGCATCCAATTCCTTTCCCGCTTTATCCCCTTAGCTCACCACCCGCCAAACCACCCGAACTCATCCCAAAGGCCCACATCTACCCTCGATTTCCAGTGGGGGGGGGCTTGGGGAACATCGAACAAACACATGGAGTCCGTCCCCACCCCCAACCCGAAACTTGGGCCTTCGGGTCAGGTTGGGGTGGTCTGGATGGTGTAGTATTCCAAATCCATTATTAATCGACCCCCCCTGAGAAACCCGATCCCCCTCCAAATGCGACCTAATATTCCGGACCCCTTCTTCGACGGGGCGCCTCGAGAAACCGGACCCCCTAAGCTCCAATCCAAAGAGAGCGCCCTAACAAACCGGACCCCTGCAGTTACAAAAAGGGCGCCCCAAAAAGCCGGTCCCGGGGGATGATTAATTCAGGAATTTGGAGTAGGTAGTCATCGGCAAGCCCCACGGCGATCCAAGCAGAGTTGCGTGCCCTCTCGGCAGCCCCCCCGCTCGGCAGCGCCGGGCCCGCTGGCGGCCGCGGCGCCCCGGGCGCCCTGGGCGGGCTCGTGCCGTGCCCGTTCGCCGCGTGCGGCTGGCGAGGCCCCGCGGCCGCGTACGCGGGCCACGTGGCCGCCTGCGGGCTCCGCCGGAACCCCTGCGGCGGCGCTGGGGGGCGCAGAGAAGCATCCTGACGTCAGTGTCGTTTCGCCGGCCCCCATCCCCATCCCTATCCCCTTCGAGACCCCCACCAAATTGCCCCGCCAGCTGGGGATACACCCCTCGAAACCGAAGGGAACGGCCTATATCCCCATCTGGGGGGGTAAATCGGCCAGTGGGGCCCAGCCCACGCCGCTGGGGATGAGGATCGGATAAACGATACTTATGACGTAGGTTTGAGTCGGGCATGTCCCTCTACAGGAGGGATGTTCCAAGAAAAGGCAAAAAAAAAGTCCGGGGACTGTATGGCATATGTTTGACAGTGCTTGAGCGTTTATGAACTACCTCTTATTTTTCGTCCAAGCTCCGCCCGTAGGGGACATGCCCGACCGAAACGTAGGTGATCGTTTCCTTGTTTCGGCTGCGAGCGAGGAGGGGGGGGGGAGTGAGAAAGAGAGGACCTTCTCAGAGGGCGGCGGGACTTCTCGGAAGCCATCGCGCCTGCTGGGAAGTTTCTTGTCTTCGGGGAGAAAGCTTAGAAAACGTCTCAAAGGCCAAGGGACTTCCGAACCTTTTGAGAAGACCTTCTCCTTCTCATTTCCCCCCTTCGCTCGCTGCCGATTATTCATTGTTTTGCCGATCGGCGCGGGCCCTCGCACCCCCCCTCCCCCCCTCTCCACCATGGAGTAGATCTTGGCTTCCTTTGGCGCCCGTTTCAGGCAGGTGGAGACTCCACCATAGGACGCATTGTTGTAATTGGTCGCGCTAAGCAAGGGTCCAGAGCCAGACCCCCTCCCTCCCTCCCTTTCCGCGCAATGTCGAAATGCCGAATCAGAAAGCGTTCACTAGTGAATCACGGAAGGTCCCGCTCGTCTTGGGTTGAACGGACATCTGCATACCTTGAGATCTTGGAGTGGCATGTTTTCACAACGGGCGTTTCCGCCCAGTTTCGGGCCCCAGGACCCTCATATTTAGTTCCAGCTCGGAAAATGACGCAGAAAATTAATGTCCAGGCCTATAGTCGTGATTTTGTGCGACGCAGCTTTTTTTTGCAACGTCAGATCCTAGGCCCTACGGCGCCAATGGCGCCCAACATCGCCAAATGGCGCCCGTTAGTGCGAAAGTAGCACCCAAACAACTCAAAAGCGCCGTGTGAGGGAGATGCGTGATTATCCGTTTTGTTCGCGATTGTGCGCGACATTGGCTACCGTGGGGACGACCGACCAACAGTTTTCGAGAGTTGTTTGTTCGAGCCGTCCACATACCCCGGAGCATCCGTCTTCCATGCCTGATTTACACCTTAGGCGATGCTTAAGAAAACTTAAATGTTCGGCCAGGGTCTCGATTATTCTTAATGTTTCAATGAGAATCCTAGGGTTTTTATTCAAGTTCTGAGACTATGAATTTCTTAACCCATGATTCCTTAAGTATTTCGCAGGGTGTAGCGATCTTCTCAAGGGGGCCGACACGGCAGAAACATAACCTTGCGGAGCTCCGCGCGGATGTCCTGGATTTTCGCTGATCGGAGGGCACCAACTATACACCAACACCGATCCTGGCCCAGGATCACCCTGGGCCCAGGATCGGTGTATATGCCTTCTTGCCCAAGGCAGGAGGGCGTATACACCAATCCTGGGCCCAGGGTGATCCTGGCCAGGATCGGTGTTGGTGTATAGTTAGTGCCTTCCTAGCTGAAGCCCCCCTTCCTGGCGCGCTCCGCGCGCCAGGGGCAGCGCCGGAGGCCCCGCCGGGGGGGGCGAGCGCCGATCCCGTTTTTCTTCGTTCTGTCTTCGTTCCGCTTTCGCTGCAGATCTCGGGCCGGGCGAAAGGGGGGGATTAGGAAAGGGGGGTTTACGAAATTTGCTGCATGCAGCTGGTTTCGGCCTCACCGAGGGGCCCATTTCCTCGATACATCGCCACCTCCGGCGCCGGGAGGCGCCGGGAAAATCAGCTACGTGAGCTGATTCTCAACCCCCCCCCGTTGCTATCCCCCCCTTTCCCCCGACCCGAAGATCGAAAGCAAAGAGGAGCGGGCCCACGTCATCTTCAGAGCACCGTTCCGCTGGAGCCCTGGCTCCGGCCGCGTGTACCGATACTGCCCAGGCCCCTCCTGGGCTCGGGAGGGGCCCCCAGATCTCCGACGGAGCGCAGGAATCACGACACACGTACTTTTGCTACGTCTCGGCCTCCGAGGGCCCGTACCAGTCCCAGGACCGTCAGCAATGACTCCGACGGAAAGACCCCGCATGAAAATCCGTTGGGCTAATCTGGAAATAACCTTCACTGGCGTCCTCGCGATGAGTGAGGCGCCCTTATTTTGTCTTCTCTGCGTCATTCTCATTCTCGCCCTCGCGCAGGGCCCTCACCCGCACACCCGTACCAGTCCCAGGGCCGTCACCAAAGAGAACGATTCGGGGTGAAAAGCTGGTCCTGGGGACGGGGTCGAGATTTCCTCGGGGACCCCTCGTTGAAAACGAGCGAGACGTCGGACTTCTGGGCCTGCTCAGGATCGGTGCGTGTGCGTACGCAGTCCGCCCCTCGAAGGAAACACAGGCGCCAGGAACAGAAAGTCCTGGCGCTCCGCGCCGACCTCTTGGATCTCCGCGCTGGGACCCCCTGCGCGGTGGGTTCCTCCTCCCGCCCCCCTTCCAGGCGCGGCGGGCCTGCACGAGCCCGACGAGCTCCCCGCCGCGCCCCGGCCGGTGCCGCAGGGCGCCGCGGGCGCGGCCGAGGCCGCCGCGCCGGCCGGCGGGCCGCGCGGCGGCCGCCGAGCGGAGGCGGCGCGGAGGGCCTTCAGGGCCCTCGACGTGGACTGCAAGGCCCGGCCCCCGGGGGGCAGCGCCGGGAGGGCAAGGTTCTGCACGAACGAGATGGGCACGGAAAGAACGGGTACAATGCCCAACAGCAGTTCCTGTTCATTTTGAACAGGATTCGCTGTCCGCGCCGCCGCGGCCTGTGTCCATTCGAGACAGAAGGCCGCCTGTCCAACAGCGGCCGCTGTTGGTTTGGGACAACATTTGTTGTTGGGCATTGTACCCATATTTTCCGTACCCATTTCGGGCGTCCCAAAAGAGCGGGCATGTCCTCCTGCAGGCGGATGCTTGCTGGAAGAATATTGGAAACGTTCGAGGATGTCCCGAGACGGGCGCAGACACTGTCGAGGCATCGTCCCCAGACTATTTTCTGACTAGTCTTGAAAATTCCTCCGGCAGAGGGACAGGCACGACTCAACGCAGAGGAGGCGAGGTCCGGGCTCGAGGCGCAAGGTGCTCTTCATGTGTTCGTTGGTCGTCGGTGGTCTGCCCGCCTCGGGGTATTTTTTTGTTCTGCAGCTGCGCCTCGCCGAGAGCGTCTCGAAGGGCCGCCGGAGGGCCGAGTTAATGGCCCGAAAGGGTCGGGGGTGGACAGACCTCCTACCCTGACACGTCGATTAGTGAATTGGCAGTTTTCGGTTCGCGAGAGGGCATCGCGGCCGTCATTCCCTTATCAATGTTTCCCTTCCTTCCGTTCTAGTGGATCTGACACGGGTGCTCAGGCCGAGCCTGATTTGCTGTCTCAGGTTCGCAAGTCGCTTCGCGAAGAGGGAGGGCCCGCAGTGTCGGGTGAATTGGTCTGGTCCTCATCGTTAACCTGAGGTGAGGCTTGGGTTCAGGGCGCCTGTCAAAAACAAAGCCTTCCTTCCGTTCCTGACCCTGCAGGAGGAGGAGGGGGAGGAGGAGCGAAACGACGATGAGCGCATAGAGAGGGATGGGGACGGGGAAGGAGCGAAAACGACAAGGAGCAACGATGAGCTACGAGGAGAGAGTGGAAGTGAGGAGGAGGAGGAGGAGGAGGAGGAGGAGGAGGAGATCCTCCCTACTCCTCCCCGTCCTCATCTCCCTCCCCCCCTCAGATGGGAGGGCAGCCTTGAGCGTATTGGGCCCGCGGCCACCCTAACGCAGGGCTACCTCACCAGCGACGAGCTCAAGACATTTGCTGGCATGTCTGGCTTCGACGGCACCGACGCGGACTGGCAGGCGGAGTTGTGCATCAAAGCATCGCGTGTTCCCTCCTTGCCCCCCTCATCCTCCTTCCTCCCACGTCTACGTCTCCGCTTCCTCCCTGTCCTCTGTCCGTAGCCATTTTGGCTCAAGCCGCCCCTTGGCCCGCGCGCGCGACTCCGCCGGCGGCTGGGCATGGCAGCGGTCGCTCCCCGGCACGGGGACCCGGCAGGCGAGCTGGAGCTCTTGGCGGCGCTGGTTGGTGCTGCCGTGCGAGGGGCAGCGGAGTGCGGCGCGACCCGCCAGGCCTTGGCGGCGGTCGCGGCGGCTGCCATTCGGGCGGCCCGTGCAGTGGCAGTGGCTACGGGAGGCGGCGGTGGCGTCCAGGTCGAGGTCGATGCCTGTCTGGGCCTGATTGCCCCCGTCATCGAGGAGGGCGTCCGCGCGGCTGCTGAGGCGCGGCGCCCCAAGGTTACAGGCGGCCAGCGCGCGTGGAGGAACGTGGCGGAGCACGTCTTCACGGATGCCGCTGGCGTGCCGCTCGAGGTCGCGTCCCTGTCCAAGGACGAGGCGGGCGGCAAGCGGCTCCTGCGGGGGCGGCGCCGCCCTCGGAAGTGCGTCGACGTGGCGTCCGACGTGACGACCTCGGAGGCGTGCCAGGAGTCGGGCGACGGCAACACCAGCGCGGAAGTGCAGGAGGTCTTCTCGGCCCCGAGCGTAGATGACGTGATGATCCTGGAGAACACTCGGATCCAACAGGGGGCCACCAACAACGACTACGACTCCAAGAAGATGGAGGAGCTGATGAAGAAGGACCTGAAGGCGGAGTTCGAGACACCCTCGAAGCTCTTGAAGGAGGTGCTGGGCGACAAGGCGGAAAGGGTTGCGGTTTTCTCGCGCATGGCGGACTCTTCCTGCGAGTTCAAGCCGACTGAGTACGACTGGTCCGTCAACATGGAGCGCATAACGAAGGCGCATACCCTGAAGGAACCCATGACCAACTACGCCGTGTCGAAGATCAATAATGACAAGCAGGGCCACCAATTTGGCGATAAGACCCTGTTCGAGGTGGAGGACACCATCCTGCCGCCCGTCACCGCTCCGCCCCACGTCATGGGCGCGGGCAAGGACAAGGGCGACTTCAACGGCAAGGCAACTGGCAAGGGCCTGCGCTCCTGCTGACGGTCTTGCTCGTCTTCTACACCAAGATCCGCTTGCAGCTGCAGAGGCTGTGAGCTATTGGGGCCAGCAACGCCAGAGTGCTGTCCCTTCTGCCCTCGAGTGAAAAAAATCCTCCCTGTCCTCCTCCAAGTATTGGTCCAGAACTCTTGCAGACCGCAGGTTCGGAGTTGGCCTGAGCTTTTTGAAGCTCTAGTTGTTCTTCGGATTCGCCTCGCGACTGAACTGGTCACTCACTCACTCCTTCTTCAGGGGCAACGTTCGGAGGGGATATGCTCGGGGGGTGGGGGATGCAGCGACCCCCAACCGCCCCATCCATCGCCGATGGAAGCCCGATAGTCCGCCCTACGTACCCGCCCAGGAACATGCGGATGCGCTTTCGGGGGCCTGTCGCCGATCTACTGGCGCTCATCGCCGATTCTAGCTCGATGTTTCTCCCTCCCCGAGCAGCCCGCCCCCTATCGTTGCCCCGTGGTTCTGGGGTCAAAACCTTGCTCCCCACCGGCCGTGCGGGACGCTCTGAGAACTCCCAGAGCGCCCTCGGCGAGGCGGAGGTGGCGGGAGCCGACGAAACCGGAACGTTCTAGAGCCTCGATCCCCGAAACCCTTCCAGGGCAGAGCCTGCGTTGCCCCTCGCTCCTCCTCCTCCTCCCGAGGGAGAGCTGAGCGCTCTGAGTGTTTCCCCGGCCCTCGTGCTCAGATCGAGGAAGCGCGCACGTGGATCAGGGCGCGTGGACTGGCGACGAGCCCCGCTTCGGTGCCAAAGCGGCGCGCCCCGTCGCCAAATGTGGCGGCACATTGCTGCCGTGCTCTGGGGGTTGCGTTCCCCGAGCCGCGGGTCCGACCCCCGCGCGCCAGAGCCACAGAGATCAGTAACCCGCGTTTCCGAGCACGGTAGGTATGACCACCGCCAAGATCGGGACACGAACGAATGATCCAGTGTGGCATTGTTTGGCTCTCGTGGGCAACCGTTCTGGGCTCATTTCCACAGTTTCGATTGGATTCGATTTCGATCAATCCGCTCCTGATCCGATTCGATTTGGGGTTTCGATTTGGACTCCAATGTCCCAGTGGAGGCCTCCGAGTCCGCCGATTTCATCCGATTTGACTTCTCCCGACTCGTCTGCCGATTTCCGCCGATCCGATCACCTCGATCACCGATCCGACTTGTCAATTCGACTCTGGGCTCTCCTGACCGGTGTCGTGACCCCGCCGCCAATGACGACCGGGCCCCCTCGCGCCCAGGGGCCCTCGCGCTTGCGACTATCTCCTCAGCGGGCGGCGGTGGCGTGCGGCCGATTCCCATGGGCAACTGTAGGGGAGGACAGGCATAGGGCGGGCTGCATCGACCCCCAAATCGCCCAGTGATCGCCGATGGAGGCCCCATGGCCCCAACCCGCCCAGGAAGGTGCGGCTTCGCTGCCGGGGGCCGATCGCCGATCTGTTGGCGACGCAACGCCGAGTCCAGGTCGCTCCATCCCCCTCCATGCCAGTCCTCCCCCCCGGTCGTTGCCCCTCAGATCCCCTGCCCTCCTGTCATCGCGAGTCGGAGAGCCCTGGCTGACCCTACCAGCGCAGTGAGGACGTGGCCTCACCGAGGGCCCCGTCCTTGCACCGGGGATGCCAGTTCCGTGCGATTCGGCCCGACACCCCTGCGGAACAGCGCACGGTTCTGTCCCTTCTCTGCTCTTGGCCCTCCTAACTTACAGTGGGGGCGCGTGCCAAGAAACCAGTTGGATTTTGCCAGGGTGCCCTGGGTTTCTTGGACTTCGATGGGTCCCCAATAAGACCTGGATGATTGTCGATCGACAAATTTGGGTTTTCATTAAACAAATCGCGGATTTCAGGGTTGGGTTTCTTGCGGAGGTTTCTTGTGGCCGAGGCCCCCCTGACTTATCGGCCCCCGCCCAAAACGGGTCAGGGGTCTCTTTGCGTTGGGGCGGCTCGATTGCCCTGCTCGGCGCGGCGGGGGCCCACGCCTCTGCCCCCCCGGGGCCTCCGCGGGCGCCGCGGCCGTGCGGGGCCCCGCGGGGCCCCTCCGTGGCTGCCGTCGGCTCCCGGCCGGGCGCCGGGCGGCCGCGCCTCCCCAGACATGATGGCGTCGTAAAAAAATCAGGACGGGAGGTTTTTCGCTATTTTCGGCCCCTGGGGGCCCTCGCCGGGCCTCGGGACCGTCAAAAAACGACTCAGGACGAAAAACCGGCCCCAGGGAAAGTGTCTAGATTTCCAGGGGCGCCGTCCTGAAAAAATCAGGACGTCGCATGTCTGGGTCCATGTCGCGGGCCGGACGAAAGGGGGGGGACTGGGACAGGGGGGGTGACGTTATAAGACGACTCGAGGATCGGGGAAAAATCGGATCGGGAGAACTCGAAATCTCGGAGAATCGGCGGGTTTGGAGGATGTATCGGGCGCCGGGGCCGCTCCAGAGCGTTCCGGAACGCTCTGAGAGCGCTCCGGACCGCTCTGGAGCGATTTATCCCGATCCTATAGCCTTGTTTTAGGGGGGGAATTGGGACACGGGGGGGTTACGAAACTTGCGGCATGCAGCCGGTTTCGGCCCCACCGAGGCGCCGGGAAAATCAGCCACGTGAGCTGATTCTCAAACCCCTCCGTTGCTATCCCCCTCTTTCGCCCGACCCGAATGTCCACCAGGAGCGCGGGCAAGGTCCGTCTGCAGATGCACTGCGTCTTGGAGTGGCGGACTCCCTTCCCCTGGCAGGCTCGGACGTGTGCATTTTTTTCTCGGCGAGGACCATTGAGGAGCATTCTTGAGCATTTGGCGAAAAATGCACACACGAAATCGAAACATGCACGGGGAATGGACGTCTGAGCGATGGCGAGACTGGGCCTCCCAGATGGGGCGGAGTATGCGGCGCGATCCTCGGAGCCCATCTGGGAGGCCTCTGCTCCCCCAGCAGCCAGAGGCGCAGTGGGTACACGCTGGTCGTTCGAAGAGGGTATTCCTGGGCGCCCAAATCCTAATCTTCCCAATTTGAGAGTCGAGTGGTCTTCCCTCTCCCCTCCTCTCCAGGGGGCGGGCAGAAGCCCAATATATGTTCAACGCCTTCCTACCTTGTGTTACTACCCACTTCTTTTGACCGACGGGTCTCCATATCAACTGCGTCTTGGAGTTTCGGATTCCTTTTCCCAGAATCCAGAGGCGCAGTGGATATAAATGAAAATCTGGCCACTACCCGAGGCCAGACTTCTAGTCATGTCCACTGCTCCTCGGCTTCGTGGCGTCTCTTCCAAGGAAGCCCAGTTGGATTGAAAGCTTGTCCGCATGTCGGGCCCCAGTGGAAGAGGCAGGTCTGAGAATCGATGCAGAAACAGTGACATGAGCATGAGCTGTCGCATCTCTGTGCGGATCTCTTGGATCGACGCTGGGCCCACGTGGCGACGTCTCCGGCGCCGCCCCTGGCGCGCTCCGCGCGCCAGGGAGGGGAATTCCAGTCGCGATCCAATAAGTACGCGCGGACCTCAGAGAAAATGAGTTGATGCAGTGTTCTGATCCTCTCTCGGTACGGTATAGATTCGTGTCGTGGCGACCCTGGCGTTGGTCTCTGGCATGGCATAGATCCTTCAGCCTTCAGTGCGACCGGCGGCCGTGCGATCGCCAGATCGTGCCGTGTCGACGCGACGGCGGCCCCGCCGCGGGCGCTCCGTTTTTTGAACGCCGCCAGGGGCCCAGAAAATCGGCTACCTTGGAACGATCTGGCGACCGGGCGGCCGCTCGACCGTTCATCAGCGAGCGAAGAACGGTGTAAGATAAACTTTCCGCCGTCGGAGACACCTGCCCCTGGGCGGCTGGAAAGTTTATACCCCTACGGTGCCACCGTAAGGGTACAAACTTTCCAGCCGCCCTGGGACAGGCGCCCCCGACAGCGAAAAAGTTTACTTTACACCGTTCTTCGCCCGTTAAGTTCAAGGTTGAACGATCTACGCGGTGTCAGTGATCAACGCCGGTGTCATCACGACATGCGTTCGCTGTACGCTCCCTCCCCTCACGCAGAGGCGCAATCGGGAGGTCCTGACAATGATGCGTGCAACGGTTTCCAGGCTGTACCGAGTTTCCTCTTGCTCTGCACGGGCTCCACAAGCGAGAGCCGCCAGATGCTCCCGAGCTTCTTTAGCGTATCTTGGGCAAGTCATTTGCATCATGCTGTCGTTCTCGCTCTACATGCATCCGCTGCCTCCTCCTCCTCCCCCGTCCGACGGTTCCCACACGCAGGTTTCACCACGTAGATTGTTGCGACTATGACATTCAAGGATATTTCCATGGGCAGGTTCTGGCGAGAAGTTGAGTCCTGTGCCCACACCATTTCGCAAGGAGGCCCGAACGGCTCCGGAGCACCCGCCGTGCTGCTCTGGGGACAGCTCCCGGCGCTCTGTACAGTCAACCCGCATCATAAGAATTGGCAACCTTCCCAAGGGCCAAGGGCACCCTTGCATCGCCCATCCTTGGCCACTTTCGCTGGCCAACCTGGTTCGAGAAACGTTCACATGGGCGCCTCCAAGGCCCTTGCATCCTTGCCGCGCATCCTTATGATGCTGGTGAACTGTATCCCCCTCCCTCCTCGTCAGGCCCCCCCCGACGTCGCGTTTTTTCATGGCGTGGACCCTCAGAGGTCTTGACCCCTTCCCAGGGGCTGTGCTTGCAGCCAGGGTCGTTTCCTGATGGTCCTGGGGCCCTGCGAGGCATCACAGAGGCAGAACATTGTGAATAACATCTGCCTTGATTTTTCCAACACAATCAACCTGCATAGTTGGGATGGGCAACCTCTCAAAGGGTACCCTTGCATCCTTGCCTCCTGTGTCCATCCTTGGCTACTTTCGTTGGCCGCCTCCCGCTCGAAAAGCTTCGAAATTGGCGTCCAAGGCCCTTGCATCCTTATCGCGAATCCTTCTGATACGGGCCGACTGTACATTGGATGTCGGGGTATTCTTCCTCCCTCCCTGCGGAGGTGGAGTTCGGCACCCTGTGCCGGCAGTGGCGCCGCTCACCAGCGGAAGGCATCGACCAGCCGTTTTTTTGCGCCATCGTCGACGACGCCTCCGAGCGCGGCGTCTACTGCACCGACGAGGAGCTCGCTGGGATTCACCAGAGGCCCGAAGACTCGGCTCTCACCGCCAGAGGAAACTATTGCGACATATACATTTGTATTCCCCATAGAGTGCTTGATTTAGGGGCTCTTGTTCAAGAGACTCGCTCCGTTCCGCTCACCCTCTGACGAGGAATGAAGTCAATGGGTGAAGCTTTTGGAGACCTCTTGGGTACCCTCTGGGAGCTGCTTCTGGGCCTCTTGGGGGCCTCTTCGAGCCTCTTTGGAGTTTCTTGGGCGCCTGCTGGCGGTGTTGAGGATCCTCTTGGGGCGGAGGGCTCGGAATGTCAGTTCGAGTTGCCTCTCTGGGGCCCCTCTTGGGACTCTGTTGAGGCTCTCCTGCGCCATCTTGGGCGCCTCCTGGGCCGTCGTGGGACCCTCTACGGCCGTCTTGGGACCCTCTTGGGGACTTCTTGGGCCGTCTTAGGAGCGAGCATGCGGGCCTCTGGAGTTTCTTGGACGCTGTCAAAAAATCAATGGGACTTTGTTCAATTGTTTCACGCTTCCCCGAAGGATTTGGACGATTTTTGCTTCTTGGGGCCTCTGGGGGGTCGTCCTGGAGCCTTCTTAGGGCGTCTTTGAGATCTCTTGGGCAGTCTTGAGGCTATCTTGGTTGTCTTCGAGGACTCCTGTGTGTGTTGGACCTCTTCGAGCAAGCATGAGGCATCCTGGGGGCAACAGAGTAGAAATGGAGGCTCCGGAGGCCTTGGGAGCGTTGCTGAGCTCGTGGGCCCCACCCCCCACCCTGGGGCGCACCCCTTTCATCGGATTTCCGACCCCAGGGGAGGGGGGCAGCCAATCATCTCACACGCCCCTCGCACCACCGGCAAGCGGGGGTCGGCGGATTTGTTTGCTCCTTGTGCTTTTCTTCCTCCTGGTTGTCCTCATGCTCCTCCTCGCTATCCTCACGTTCGCCACGTCGTCCTCGTCATCGACTCCTCGTTGTCCTCGCCTTCCTTTTCTTCTTCGCCCAATACGCCCTCGCTTCCCGTTCTTGTCCGATCAGGTTTGTTTGCTCAGGAACTGGGCCTGCGTGCCGGTCTGGTGGCACCGTACCCGCCGTCGCCGCCCCTTCGCCGCCTTGTCGCCGCCTTGTCGTCTGGGGTCTGTGTGCCGGTCTGGCGGCTATGTACCCGCCGTCGCCGCCCCGTCGCCGCCTCGCATAGATTGCGCTGCGCACAGGTTGCACCGCATAGATGGCATCACACAAGATTGCACCACTCACATTGCACCACCTATATATTTATATATACATAATGTATATATATATATATATATATATATTGCCCAACACTGATCGCACCACACAAAGCACCACATCGATTTTACAACATATATGACCGTTTACGCTTGTGTAAGGCAATACTGTTTGGGGGCATCGTTGAACGCCGTCTCCTTCCGTAGCCTCTTTCCAAGGCTTGCAGGGTTTGAGGGGCCTCGGGCGAGCCGACACCTCACTGCTTTGGTGCTCGCCCGAGGTCCTCGTCTGCTTCCTCCGGCTCCGACCTGGTCCGCCCCAGGTCGGGGTGGGGACTCCCGAGAGAGAGAGACGGCGCTGCGAGCGCAAGCGCCCTCTCATGGCCGGAGATCAGGACGAGGAGCTGGACGGGAGCGCGCAGCTGTACACCCCGTCGGGCGACGAGCTGGACGAGGAGGGCGGAGGACTGCCTCCTGTCCCCGCCGAGGATCTGCGGCTCGACGAAGGCCAGGTGTACTCGTCGACTGGCTACGATGCCCAGGGGGACGTCCAGTGCCGCTTCACGTGGGTCGTCCTTCGCCTCTCCGTCGGGGTCGAGACGTACGCCAGGCCGAGGTTCCTTTTCTCAAGCGACCCGTACTGGGACTGGTGGGCGTCGAACCCAGGCGAGCGGGGTGCTGTGACTGCGCGGCCCCTCGTCCATGTGTGTCGGACGCAGCCGTGCCAGGTTCAGCCCCCGCGGGGCTGCACAGAGCTGGTGCACATCACAGATGCGACCCCCGTCTCGGCCGACGAGTTGCGGCAGATCTTTGCGTCGTTCCTCTCGGACAACCCAGACGCGGTCTGGCCCGCCGACCTCTTCGGACCGCGGCTCGCTGGCGGGGTGCCCGTGGAGGCGCCAGCCAGGAGGCCGGCCGCGTCGGAGCAGCCAGGGCTGGACGAGCTTTGGAGTGGCGACGTTGTCGAGGCGGAGGGGAGCAGCCGCCGCGCCAGCCTCCGCGGGAAGCTGGAGGCAGCGCAGGATCGCTTCGCGCGGCTTCAGCAGCAGCGGCGGGCCGCCGCGGGAGCTGCGGAGGCGGTCGCTGCCCTGGACGACGAGCCGCCCGCGAAGGTCCCGCGGCAGGGCGGGCCGCCACCGCAGCGGTCGCTCGCCGAGGTCCTCGAGGACCGCGTGCGGAAGGCGGCGAAGGTCGGGGCAGTTGCCTCGGCCGAGGACGCCAAGGGCGCAGAGGCGGCCGCCGCCGCGGCTGGGCAGGGCGGAGCTGGCGTGCAGGAGCTGCTGACGGCCCTCCTCAAGGCGCTGCAGAGCGCGTCCAGGTCGTCCGACGACCCGTCCTTCGGCGGCGACGGTGGTGTCGCCACCGCCGAGGGCGACTTGCTGCCGAAGGGCCTCGCGTCTCGACGGGCCCACTGCAGGAGATTGGCCCTCGAGCACCCAGGCAGACTCGCGGAGCTGAGCCTGGCGCAGATGGCAGAGTTTCTGGGGTCGCAGGACGGCGGCGGGTCGGTCGATCCGCACGGCCCAATCGTCCTTCGGTTCCTCTTGTCGGTCTACTTGCCGCAGCACCCTGTGAAGGAGATAGGGGGCGAGATCTACCGCGAGCTGCGGACGATCGCGGAGGCGCTGGACCTGTTGCTGCAGGGGCGCACGGCCGCGGTGGCCGACATCCTGGCCCAGCGCTTCAAGGCCATCCAGGTGGCTGTCGGGGACGGGAGCTGGTCGGCGGCGAAGTGGCTCGAGCTGATACCGCCGCGGGACCAGCCTCTCGCGCTGCGCAACGAGGAGGAGGAGATGATCAGGAGCATCCAGCACGGCGAGCTCAAGCTGGAGGAGCTTGCCTCACGGCTGCGGCAGAAGCCTCAGGGCTAGCAGGTCGGCCGGGGCGAGGTGGGTTCGGCGTTGCCCCCACGCCCTGCTGGCCACGCAGGGGGGATACCCCCTGCTGCAGCGCAGGCCCAGGCGCAGAGGCAGCCAGCAGCCGCAGGCTCCGCGGAGGCCGACCGCATGCTGGCCGACAGGTCGGCAGCCCCAGCCCGTTCGGTCGTGCTGACGCGGCCCTGGAAGGATGCCAAGGCGAAGTGCCCGAAGAAGCCTGGCGAGACGGTCAAGGCGTACGATGCCCGTCTGCGGAGCCTCGTGCCGACGCTGCGGTAGAGGTCGCCCCGCCGCCCGCAGCGAGCGGTCTTGGGGGGGGCCTGGCCTGCGCGGGCGCCTCTGGGGGCAGCGCTGCGGCCGATGGCCCACTCAGCGCCGCCGAGGCCCCTCCAGGCCCCCTCCCAGGCCAGGACCCGCTCACCACTTCGGACTTCCAGGACTGGCTGCGCGTGGTCACGGTCGGCTTTGGGTCGAGCCTCACTGCCGTGGACTTGTCCGTCACGCTGCTGGGCCTTGCCATCACGGACCCTGGGGGTCTGGGCGCCTTCGCTAGGGAGTTCACGATGCGTACGTCCACAAGGCGGGGGAGCGGGGTGCGGGGACGTGACGTCCTCCCGCTGCCCCTGCCCTCTCTCTCCCTGGTGAGGCGATGGATTCGCAGCCGATGCGGCCCTCGCAGCGGCAGGTGCCGTCTCGCAGGAGTGGCCAGGTCCGTCATGGTGGAGTGCTGGCTTTACTTGGAGGTGCTCGGCCTCAACCGCATGTACTGTGGGCGGGCGACCGCCACCTGGCAGCACGAGGGGTCCCTCACGCTGGCGCAGCGGCAGGCCATGACGCACCTCCTGTCGCGGGCCGAGGTCTTTGCGGAGGACCCCTTCGCGAGCGTGGAGGTGCCCGCGCTGTCATCCGCCCTCCAGCACGCGGCCATCGACTACAGCGGGGAGCCCACGGTCAAGGCACTCCCGTGCGTGCTCGCGGAGCTGAAGCCGGGCCTGCCGCAGCCGGAGCACGCAGGCGCCTTGGACGCATGCGAGTTCGTGGATGCGGACTTCGGCGCCTGGCTGAACGACCCCACGGTGGCGCTGAAGCCCGAGGCTGAGTGGCCCAACCCGCTCCCGAGGGCGCGGGTCAACGTCATCTCTGACAGCGACTGGGAGGCCCTGGCGGTGCACTTGGTGAAGTTGGGCATCTTTACGGTGCTCGAGCCGCATGAGGTGTTCCAGGTGCGGGGCGCTCCGCTCCTCAACGGCCTCTTCGCAGTCGAGAAGAAGGGAGCGCCTGGGCCGGGGGCCGAGCGGGTCACCAGGCTCATCCTCAACATGGTCCCAGGCAACTCGCTCCTCAAGCCGTTCGTCGGTGAGGCGTCTACACTCGCGGCGTCGACGGGGTGGACGACCCTTCATCTGCCCGAGGGCTCCCTGCTGCTGTGGTCTGGCGATGACCAGAAGGGGGCTTTCTTTGTGTGGCGGATCCCGTGCTGCTGGCATGCTCACATGGCGGTGGGCAAGGCGCTGCGCGGCGACCTGTTTGGGCGCGCGGCGCCGCGGGTCTTCGTCGCCTCAGCTGTCATCTCGATGGGTTGGATGCTCGCCGTGCCGCTGTTCCAGCACATACATCGGCGGCTGTGTCGGCTTCCGCCCCCGCTCGGAGCGGGCCTACCACCAGAGGCAGAGTGGCGGAAGGACACGGTGCGGCCGCTCGCTTTTGCTAAGCAGGGCCCCGTCCTTGCATCTTGGTGGCAGGTATACATCGACGACTTCGACGCCCCCGAGATCATCGAGGAGGCCGCGGCGCTAGAGCTGCTTGGCAGCCAGGCAGAGTTGCAGGCCGCGGCCCGTGCCAGCTACGGCCGTGCGCAGGTGGCGATCTCCTCCGACAAGGCGCACCTCCGCCAGCTTCGCGTTGAGAGGATGGGGGCTTCTGTTGACGGCGTCACGGGGCGGATCGGGGCCCCCCTCAGCAAGGCGTTGTCCGCCTGCGGTCTCGCCATCGCGACGCTCGGCGTGGACTTGGCCCCGTGGAGGCTGGCCATGACTGTGCTCGGCCGCCTTGTCAGGGTCTTCGAGTTCCGACGGCCCTTGCTCAGCATCTTGAATGCAGTGTGGAGGCTTTCAGAGCCGCGGGCGAAGGTCTACCTGACGCGGGAGATGAGGGAGGAGCTGATGACGGCGCTCCTCGTGATCCCGCTCGCCGCTACTTCGTTGAGGAGCCGCCTCGAAGGGATGGCGTCGTGTTCAGACGCGTCCGAGTTCGGGGGCGGGGTCTGCGTGTCGACGGGCCTCCATGAGCAGGCGGAGGCGTCTATCCTCGCCGCCGGCGAGCCTGGCGCTCAGCTGGGCGCGGGGGCGAGGGTCCTCGGCCTGCCAGTCGACCCGCGGGCGCCCTGGACTCGCAGCAATCCGCGGATCCCGCGGGCCATCGTCGCCCGCGTCCTCAGGGTCCTCTGCATCGGGCTGTTCGACGGCATCGGCGGGCTGGCGGTCGCGCTCTCGCGCCTGCCCGTGCGCATCGTCGGGTACGTGAGCGCCGAGACGGACGCCAAGGCCAGGAGGGTCGTGCGGCTCAGGTGGCCAGGCGCCATCGACTGGGGCGACGTCAGGACCGTGACCGCCCAGACGGTGGAGGATTTGAGGATCGCCTACCAGTCCGAGGTCGACCTTGTGGTCGCGGGCGCAGGCAGCCCGTGCCAGGGGCTCACGGTGCTGAACGCTGCTGGGCGAGGCCTGGCCGACCCGAAGTCTTCGGTCTTCTTCGAGGTGCCGCGCATCTTCGGGCTGCTGTCAGACGCTTTCGGGGCGCGCTTCAGGTGGCTCGTGGAGAACGTCGCAAGCATGACGTCCAGCAGCCTGCGTGGCATGAGCCAGGCCCTCGGCGTCAAGCCCGTGTTCCTGTGTGCCTCGGCTCTGGTGCCCTGCAGGAGGCCGCGGCTGTATTGGCTGAGCTGGAGCGTCCGCCCCACCCCGCCGCTGGTCCTCCAGGAGCGTGAGGATATGTTCGTTGTCAGCTGCAGTGAGCCGCCCCTGTTGAATTTGGATTGGCAGGATCCTGGGGCGCGCTGGATCGGCGAGCCTGGGCCTTACCCCACCCTCGTGTGCAGCAGGCCTCAGCGAGGCTACCCTTCAGCGCCGCGCGGGGTGAAGAGTGCTTCGCCCGAGGCGCTCGCTCGCTGGCAGTCGGATTCGTATCGCTACCATGTTGCGCTCTACGAAGAGAAAAACCTCTTGCAGGACAGCGACGGGTCCTTGCGAGTCCCTTCGAGCTCCGAGCGGGAGAGGATGATGGGATTCGACGTGCGTTACACGGCTGTAGCCACGAAGGGCTCGAACCAGCAGGATAGCGACGACGCCAGGTCCTTCCTACTGGGCAACAGCTTCAATGTGTTCTCGGTCGCTTGGCTGCTGCAGTGGCTCTTGCTGAGCCTGGGGGCTGTGACGCGCCCGCTGTCCATGCAGGAGCTGGGGCACGTCGGCGAATGCACGCCGTCGTGGGACGAGACGGGCTGCTTCGAGAGCGACGCGGGGGAGCCAGAGACCGAGGCCAGCCGCCTCTTGCTCCTCAGCTACCTCGCCAGGTCCGAGAAGGGCGGGAGCGATGTGCGTCTCGACGTGAACCTGCCGTACCGACCGAAGGGGTGGCCCAGATCGTCGCTGGACCCGTTCGTGTGGAAGTGGCGAGTCGTGCTGAGTATAGCTTGGCCCAAGAGGCGGCAGGCGCACATCAACGTCAGGGAGCTGCAGGCCGCGCTCGCGGCGCTTCGGTGGCGGGCTCGCGCCGCTCGCCGCCACTGCAGCCGCTGGCTCCACCTCGTGGACAGCCAGGTCGTCGCGGCCATCATCACGAAGGGCCGGAGCAGCAGCGCTCGCTTGCAGCCCATGCTCCGGCGCTGGGCAGCGGTCGCGGTCGCGGCCGACATGTACCCGCTGATCGGCTACATCGTGTCGGAGAACAATCCGGCCGACGAGCCATCGAGAAAGCTGTGGCGTGGCTCGCGGCTCAGGGGGCGCGGCAGTCGCGCGCCCTTGGTGCGCAAGGCCGCCCGTGCAGGCCGCCCGTGAGGCGGCGTGACCCGCGAGCCCACACCCTCTCGTCGCTCCGCGTTGGGGTGGCGACCCGCAGGCGGTATGCCGTTGCGGTCCGCAGGCTCTTGCAGTACTACGGCGCTGAGGAGAGTGGCACGACTGCGCTCGCACTGGCTATGGACGATGCAGACGGCTTGGTCGCTAGCTTCCTTGAGAGGCTCTGGGCTGAGGGCGCTGGCATTGCAGCTGCGAGCAACACCATCGCGGGCGTGGCCTTTTTCTGCCCGTCTTTGCGCAGGAAGCTCGACTTGTCCTGGTCACTCCTGCGGACGTGGCGCCGCCAAGAGCCTGCGGCGCGCGTCCTCCCGCTGACCGCAGAGCTGGTCGGCGGCATGGCGGGCTACGCCATCGCAGCGGGCGCCTTTGATTTCGCCTGCCTTCTTCTCGTCAGCTTTGAAGCGATGCTGCGAGGGGGAGAAGCTTTCAGCCTCACTGCAGGCGACGTTCATGATCGTGCATCGTGTATGGTCATCCGCATTGGCAGCAGTAAGACCACGGCGGGCAAGGATGCAGCTGAGGCCGTGGTGGTGCGGTCTAGGGCCTGTGTGCGGCTGCTGCGCTTGGTTGTGGCCCATCTCGCGCCTTCAGACAGGCTCTCGCCGAGGTCGCCGAACCAGCTCAGGGCAGGCTTGCAGCGCTTGGCCGAAGCGCTCGGTTTTCGAGGTCTCTTCAGCTGGCACAGTTGCCGGCGAGGCGGAGCAAGTGACTTTTTCTGCCGCTCCGGCTCAATGGAGCAGACACTCGTCAAAGGCCGCTGGGCCAGCACTTTGACTGCGAGAATTTATATTGAAGATGCAGTTGCTGACCTAGTGAAGGTCAGGCCGCAGGATGAACAATGTTCGAATGTTCAGTGCGGCCTCCAGATTCTCCGTGAATTTGTCAGATTGTGAGCGTTGAATGTGCAACTTCTATTCCCTATCCAGCCGTCCCTCTTTGTGCCCAATGCATGAGTGTGTGTACATATCTCTCAGCTTCGCTGACTTTCAAGCCTAAGTCTAGGCGGTGACTGGAAGTTAGCCTCACGGTTGTAGAGTTTTTAGAATAGTTTCTCTTAGACGGCGTGGGCGCCAAGGTTGGAGACGTGGGGAGTTAGCTGGTGACCTTCAGGGTGTGCCTTTCTGGTGCCGCACGTTCCAGCGCGTGGCCGAGGGTGTCTGTGTGGGACTTGTGGTCGGCCTCCCACGGGATGGGTGCCTCGGGACCTCGGGAGGTCCCTTGGCTGCCCGTCCTGTTCGGAGGTGCACCGTGTATCGGTGCTGGCCTGTCCCTCCGTGATTCGGGCCCGCGTTTGTGGGTCCCGAGCGGCCCCGCGGGCTGTGGGCGCAGTGGAACCTTCGGCCAGTGTGCTGGGGGGGCGGTGTGCAAGGTCCTGAAAGTAAAGGTCACGTGTCGGGCTAACTTGACCACTGGCGTGGACGTACGCCTCCGTAAAACAGTATGACCGTTTACGCTTGTGTAAGGCAATACTGTTTGGGGGCATCGTTGAACGCCGTCTCCTTCCGTAGCCTCTTTCCAAGGCTCCCACCCGCTACCTCCCTGTAGTCCAGGGCCGCGTCGCGGCCCCTGAACGCGGAGACTGTTCTGTATAGATGCCCCCAGCTACTCCAGGTTGGTGCCCTAAGCCCAAGGGAGTTAGCTGATGACCTTCAGGGTGTGCCTTTCTGGTGCCGCACGTTCCAGCGCGTGGCCGAGGGTGTCTGTGTGGGACTTGTGGTCGGCCTCCCACGGGATGGGTGCCTCGGGACCTCGGGAGGTCCCTTGGCTGCCCGTCCTGTTCGGAGGTGCACCGTGTATCGGTGCTGGCCTGTCCCTCCGTGATTCGGGCCCGCGTTTGTGGGTCCCGAGCGGCCCCGCGGGCTGTGGGCGCAGTGGAACCTTCGGCCAGTGTGCTGGGGGGGCGGTGTGCAAGGTCCTGAAAGTAAAGGTCACGTGTCGGGCTAACTTGACAGCTGGCGTGGACGTACGCCTCCGTAAAACAGTATATATATATGTATATACTAATAAATCATCAAATGTATGTTTACATATATATATATACACATATATACATCCACATGGATTGCTCCGCACAGGTTGCACAACATCTATCGCCTAGAAATGCACTGTTTGGGGGTCTCGCTCGCTGACATATACATATATATATAAATATATATATATATATATATATATATATATAGGTTGCTTACACCGAGTATCCCCGGGCGGTCTCACCGCGCAGGCGTTTCGCGCCCCGGGCTGCTCGGGGGGGTCTCTTGAGGCCAGCCGGGACTACCTGGGGGGGTGTCTCTGCGCAGCCTTCGGCCGCGAGCAGAGGGGGGCAGGGGGAGGGGTGGAAGGCATCTTGGCAGGAGGCTCGAAGCCTTTTCCCCTCCCCCTACCCTTACGATGTTCCAACCGACTTTATTCTCGAGCACCAGAAAGAATTTCGAGTACCAAGTACCGAAACTCGAGGGCTTTCACGTGTCGGGCCTTGGGAGGCACTCGTCCGACAATGTTTCGACACTCTTTCGACACTTTTCCGTGTGCTCGAAATTAATTCTGGGATGTGGTCCTTAAGTATGATGGGGGCAACATAAGCCGAAGCTTTACCAGGTTCCGTAACCGATGCCCCTCCCTCGTTTTCGCCATTCTGGGCCTCTGGTGGCAGCCTTCGTCGCCGCGGCTCGATTCGCCTCGGAAGCATGGGCAGGAGAAGAATGAAGGGGCTCAGGGACACACAGAAAACACACAATAACAGGATTCCGCATATTTGCCCATATGTCCTGGGTTTTTGTCTTCCCCTCCACTTCCCATATTCCCCATATTTTCCGCGGGGTCGACGATTAATTGTGTCTGTGCGTTTTTGTTTCCTCATGCACGAAGAGGTAATTACAGAAAGCAGCGGTATCGTGTTTCGTTGCTCTCCTTCGAAAGCTCGTCCTGTCTTCGGAGCCCCCACTCCATCACTCACGCCCATGTGCCATTTCCACGGGTCCGTACTTTGGATGCAGTTCCTGGGAGGATGCATTCAGCATCGGCGCTGGTATAACCGCGACGCCCGGATGTCAAATCATACCCTCCCCCTTTCACGATTGACATTTGTATGACCTCCAGCCAACACAGATTTGGTCGGGTGAGAGGGGCGGCACGGGCGAATTTTAGTATCGCGGGGTAAAGTTGCCACTCGAAGTTGCTATCTTGTTATGTTGATTGGCAACATCATCAAACACGTGTGGCACGGCAATTGGGATCTCACCATTTCAGTTTTCGCAAGTCATAATCGTGTGGCAGGGCAATGGGGTTCTCACCATTCCAGCTTCCAAAATCACGAACGTGTGGCAGCGCTGTGGGAGTCATTTTCTCAGCCCTTCCCGATGGTCCTCATCATCAGCATCATCATCATGATCATCCTCAACTTCCTTTATTTTGCGAACTGCCAGGAAAAAGTGTATGATCGCCTTGGACCCCGAACTTTCTTATCCCATCAGGGGCACAGGGTTACCTGATCCGTGGTCGGAAGCCAGCCTAATCCGACACAGTCCCGTCAAGTTGGTCGCAATCAAGTTTAATCCGGCTTATTTGGTTGAATTTCTAATTATTTCTGAGTTCATTCGGTTCAATGGCTCCTCAACTGGGCTTTCTGGCCCTTAACCGTTCTGGTGAAGACCTCCCATGAGTTGTTTCCTAACGCTGGATCTAGCGCCCACGCGCCAGATCCACGGATCCGTAATCCATGTCAGCGCGTGCCCTAGAGAGGCCTTGAGGGGGTTGACGAGTTGTCGTCAATCGATTTGCCGAGATCGTTCCAGGGCGCGAGTCGAGGGACAGCAGAAGTGGTTCACCCCTCATCTCGAGGACCAGACCATGACAGAAACATAACATTTCGGAGGCCCGCGCGGTTCTTGAATCGACGTTGGACTTGCGCCAGGGGCGGTGCCAGAAGCGCCGCCAGCGGGGGCCCAAAGCAGATCCGACACATCCGCGCGGACCCGTCAGAGTTTATGCTTGTCCAGCTGCGTGCGGCAAGTCTCGCCACCGTGCCAGCCCAGCATTCTGGGTGGCGGCGATTCGAGGGTGGGACAGCCAGGACGAGGATGATAACGGGGTTAAGGATGAGGATGGTCAGGGCAATGCGGATGACGAGGATGGCGAGGCTGGCGAGGACGAGGATGATGAGGATGAGGATCATGGTGACGTTGATGACGAAGATGACGACATGACGACGAGGAGGATGATGCTGCTGATGTCTATGTCGTTGTGCGTGTGTTCCTTAGCCATCGAGCGAGGCTGGTGGCCGACCGGCTCGTCCGCGGGGCGCGGGCCCCTGGCGACCGCGCGGACGCCGCGGCCGCCGAGGCGGGGCGGGGTCGGAGCGCCGGGGGGCTGCGGCGGAGTTCGGCGCGGCTCGGCTGCACTTGGGTCGGGCACGTCTCCCTGCTGGAAGGCTGCGCAGGAGCAGTGAACAACAATGCCTTGGGACGAGTTGCCGTGCTCTTTTTTGACCATGTGTGCTTGGTTGGTTGATGGTGTGTTGTCTCTCTGCCAGGATCCGCCCGTAGGAGGACATGCCCGACTCGCAGACTACACGTGAGAGTCAATCTTCGCCAGAGTGAGCGTTGGTGCGGGCCCACGGGGGCTCCCCGATGGTCGGACGCGATGCGACAGCAGCGTCCTGCGCGCCGGGGTCTGCCGCCCCCCCGCAAGCGGCTAACCCAGACGCCTCGCACCAGAGGTCTCTTGCCTGTAGGGTCACGCTTGCGAGTACAGCCGGGGCCCTGGAGAAGGAACCCTTTTCGTTGGGGAGGGGCTCCGCGTTCCTTAAGTGTTTCGCAGTTTTAGGTTTTCCGTAGGTTTCCGATAGGAAATCGAAGGTTAACTTATGGAAAAAAGGGGCCTCGTTCCTTATTTAGGTTTCCTTAGGTCAAGGCCCCGACTGCAGCCGATCGGCGACTGCAGAGGGCAACGCCGGGCGGTGGTCTCGAGCTGCGTCGTTTGGCGGCTGGGGGCTGCCCTCCTCGGGCCTCCTCGGGCCTCCTCGGGGAACGGCGGAGACCCGTGTCGTGGTCTTCGCCTGTCGCCCAGGGCCCTTGTAGGCCACACCCCTCGGAGTCGCAGACTGGTATCAGGGGCAACGTCGGGGGGGGGACAGGCGCAAGTTGCGGGTCCGAGGTTCGGGGCATTCGGACGCGTTCGTCGGTTTTCAGCGGTTTTCCAGCCTCGGGCTGCCTTCAGCAGCTGCGCCTCGCCGGGAGCGCTCTGAGGGTGTTCAGCTCGTCCCAGACGGCCGCCGAAGAGCCGAGTTATGACCCAGAGGCCAGGGGGCACCGATGGGGGAAGAGTGGTTCCGGGGTGGATACATCGACCCCCGAATCGTCTATTCATCCTCGATGGGGGCCCATCGCTGATCTATCGGCGATTCATCGCCGGTTTCAGCTCGACGTTCCCCCCCCACCCCCTGAGATGAGCCCCCCCCCTTTTCGTTGGCCCTCATGGTAGAATCACCCTGAGATCCTGGCGTTCCGTTTTTGTCCACAGCGGGCGTTCTCGCCCAGATCGATCCGGCTCGATGACACTGCGCAGAAAGATTGGGTCTGGGGCGCCGGTTGTGATTTGTCGCGATGCCGCATTCTTCCCGCAGCGATGGGCCTCAGGATATCTGCAGAGTGCTCTTCCGTCTGGGCGCGGCGGGCCTGGACGAGCCGCCCCGACGAGCCCGACGGCTGGTGTTCCAGAGAGGTGGGGTCCAGGGGGTCTCCGGCCACGATTTGACGCGACGCTGTTATTCTTTTCTGGGCAACGTCAGATCGCAGGGCAGGGGCAGCGCAAGGGGGGCGGGCAGGGCAGACGGGCCCGCGCAGATCTAGGCCTCCCTGGCTGGGGTCATAGCAGATGGGGTCGGAGGATCGCGCCGCATCGCCGAGGCATCGCCGATGCAACGCCGATGTGGAGCCCGCGTTTCCCCACGGCGACGTCGCCGAGGCATCGCCGACGTCGCCAGTACACTGCCGATGCATCGCCGTTGCGGCTCGATGTGGAGCCCGCGTTTCCCCACGCCGACCTCGCCGATCGAGGCATCGCCGACGTCGCCAGTGCGCTGCCGATGCATCGCCGATACATCGGCGATGCATCGGTGATGCGGCGCGACCCGCCGACCCATCCAGGAGGCCTCCAAGGCGGCAGTCGAGGGGCCCGCCCGCGCGGGGGCCGTGGGCGGGCATGCCGCGCAGGGGGGTGGCCTCTGCGCGGCGCGGGCCCCCCTGGGAGATCTGGACCTCTTCCGGGATCGGGGCTCGGCGGGCGGCATCGCCGGTGCATCGCCGACGCATCGCCGGTGCATCGCCGATGCATCGTCGATGTACCGCCGACACGGTGCGATCCTCCGGCCCGACCTGCTCCGACCCCATGAAGGCGGCCTCTAGGGGCAGCCTGACCGATCCCTGGCAAGCCATCCCCTTCCGTGACGTCCCCCATCGCCTCGCCGCAAGACGTGTGTACGCGGCCGGAGGGAAGTTTGAGAGGCGAGGATGGCGTCACGGAAGGGGATGGTTTGCTAGGGGGTCGGTCGGGCCGCGCCCGAGATGTGAGGGTGGAGGAGGTTGAGGCCATGCGGTTGCCATTTGCTGGAGGGCAGCTTGCGTGAGTTCGGACTGCCGCTGTGACCAGCATTCCTAAGGGCCTCTTCCCGGATCAGGGCTCAGGAGACGGGGTTCTATGCAAACGGTGATCTGCCAGAGCGCCAGACCCTGCAGGATCTTGCAGGGCCAGGGGTGCATTGGCACGGGTCAGCGCGCGGGGTCCGGCAGGGCCTTCCTTGCAGGAGTCTGGAAGGCCTGATTGACCTGGGTTTGCATTGACCCCTTCCCTGGAGATCCGACGCCGCGGCACTTGCGACGCCGCGACACATTACCACGAGGGTCCGGGCCGCCATCTCCCTGCGGCATCTCGTGTCTCGAGCCAGGCCGTGGCCCGAAGCAGGGCGGCGTCGCCCGCTGTGACAAACATGCTACGCCGGGCTCCCGTGGATTCCGCAGGGAGGGAGCGAGAGAGGCCCCCCCGCCCACGGAGCCCGTGGGCAGGCCAGCCCGGCGGGAGGCCCCTGGGCCCCCGACGCCGTGATTTCTTCGCGGCGCTGGCCCCCGGAGGTCTGGACCCCTCACGGCGAACGGTGCACGCCAGTCGTTGACAGCAGGTAGTCTCTGGCTGCCCAGGTCCCGACCCACTTCGAGCGCCATTCTACTTCAAGAGTCGATCTGCTTTTGCTGTGTTTTTTCTTTGTCCTCTGGGAGGGCCTGGACCCAATCTCTGTTATCCGCCTTTCTACTTCATTCATGTCTTTACCTCCTTCTTCCGACCGACGTGTAGGGAGGATGGGCTTGGGGGGGGGGAATGCATCGACCCCCAGTCGCCCTTTGCTGGCCGAGAAGGGATCTGAAAGCCTCACCCCGCCCAGGAAGGTGCGGACAAGCGACTGGTGGGGCCGGTCAGCGATCGATCGGCGATGTATCGCCGATTCCGGATCGATGTTTCTCCCCCTCACACCCGGAGCCAGCCCCCCTTTTATCGTTGCCCCTCGACCCCTTTGCGGGGGCCATGCTCTCATCCTGAGTCGTTTTTGGACCGTCTCGCGTCCCAGCGCGGGCCCCGAAGCGACCGACAACTATTCACAGCCGTCCGTTGCTTTCTTGCATGACCCGAGGGGGTCTGTCTTCCGAGGTGGAGCCTGGACCCCTTCCTGGGGACCAGGTTCTCTCGACGGCGCGCCGTGGGGAGAAGCGAGAGGGGCCAGGCCCGCTCATGAAGGCGGCGGGGCGTCTCGGACGCCCGCCGGTCTTCAGGGAAGCCGTCAGTGCCTTCGGACAGGGCTCGGCGGGGGGGTCCTCTCGGCAGCTCGGAGGCCTCCTGCGCCTCGCGCGAGGGTGCCCGCCTCGCGCGACGGCCCCCGGGGCCCGGCGAGGGCACCTGCAGAGGCCGGGGAGGGGCAGAAGCGCTGTATCCGGCGGGAGGTGCGCACGGCCCGAGGGGGGCCGGGGGGAGGCGGGCCCGGGCGCGGGGCACTTTAGAAGTCCCTCCACAGGAGCGCTTCCGGAGGGGTCCGGGGAGGCGGGCCCGAAAGCAAGACACGTCAAGTGAGCCTTGCACCGGCCGGTGCGTGCACGCAAAGTGCGACGTCAAATGGGCGTGGCGCCGGTCACACTATGGCGACTCAGAGGAGGAGGAGGAGGAGGAGGAGGAGGAGGAGGAGGAGGAGGAGGAGGAGGTGGGGCGGGGCACTTAAGTCCCTCCGTCGGGGCTCAAGAGACGGGGGTCAGTGCAAGCGGGGGTCAGGCAGGGCACAGGATCCTGCAGGATGCTGCGAGGGTCCCCTCTGGCTGACCCGGGTTAGCGAGCCGCTCGTGGCCGCGAGGCGGCCGCGCACATTGGCTGACCCTGGTTTGCGAAGACCTGCGTTGCAGTTGTTTGTTTTCCTGCATTGCAGTGTTTGGTTTCGTGCTGACCCGGGTCTGGATTGACCCGGGTCAGATGATCCCCGACCTCCAGAGCGCCCCGGGGCGCTTCGAGCGCGCTCCATAGCGCTCTGGAACGGCGGCGGCGCCCGGCACATCCCTCGCGACCGCCAGATCTTTCGGTGGCAAGTCATGGGAGCCTCGTATGTCCTCCTGATTTTGTCTGTAGCGTCGGCTAGCGTCTGGGAGTCGTGAGACAGCGCCATATTAGCGTCGGCTAGCGACGATTAGGGTCGATGTAGCGTCGACCAACGCCGATTCAGCGTCGACTCGCAGGAGCCGACGAGATGGTAATTATCGGAGGCTCCCACGAGTGGCCATCGAAATATCTCAGGGATCCCCTAAGGCATCCCGATCCGACTGTGTCCCGTTCTTGGCCGCGTCGGAGCAGAGAGGGGAGGCGAGGGTCACCACCCACCAAACCACCCCAACCCAACCCGAAGGCCTCAATTTGCCCTCCATTTCCAGTTGGGGGGGTCGGGGAACATTGAAAAAACACATGTGGAACCCGGTCCCCCCCCCCAATGTTCTTGCGGCGATTCTTCGACTTTTACAGCGTAAATCCACGTCAACCCTACGTGAATCAGGAGGGGAAAAAACACACAGACACAATGAACCGTCGGCTCCCAGAAAGTATTGGAACATATGGGAAGTGGAGGGGAACAAGAACGCGAATCCTGTTATTTGTGTGTATTTATGTGTGTGTGTGTCCCAGGGCCCCTTCAGTGAATCACACGTGAATCTGAGTCTCACGTTACTGCGCCAGGCCTCCAGGATTTTGCTCACATCGTCTGGCTTGACTGTCCTCGCCTGCCCGTGGCCCCCGAGGTGCGCGTTGCGAGGCTGCTGTTCCAGCTGCTGGACCTCGACGGAGACGGCAGGCTCTGCGCGGAGGAGCTGCGGCCGCTGGCGATCCTGACGGGCTTCGAGGGGGACGACGAGGAGCCCGGAATAGGGGGAGGCCAGGAGAGCGGGGACGAGGGGGAGGGAGACGATTGAGGGGGACGACGCGGAGCCCGAAGGGGGGTCCAGGAGGGCGAGCGGAGGAAGCTGGGGAGGAGGAGGAGGAGGAGAAGGTGGAGGTGGGACGAGGAAGAGGCCTGGAGGGCGAATAGGAGGAGGAGGAGGCCGTTGGGGTGGAGGTGACAGAGGTGGAGTACTTGGTGGGGATCGTCATCATCATCCGAATATTCATCACCATGATCACCACCACCGCCATCATCATCATCACCACCACCGCCGCCACCATGATCAGCATCAGCATCATCATCATCATCATCATCATCATCATCAGCAGCATCCGTAGCCATTTTGGCTCAAGGCCGGCTTGGCTTGTGCGCTGCCTGCCTGACCCCTCCTCGGACAGATCGATGCTTGCCGCGATGCCAGAGACTGACGTGGCCGCTCATGTGAAGAGTATGATTTCTCAGGTGGAGACGTTCGTCAAAGGAATGCTCGAGCTCAAAGGTGGCCAGAAGGCGCAGGCGAAAGCTCTTGAGGGCCACGCCACCTCCTTGCCCAGCTCAATGCACATTTCTCGGAGCTGGGTCTTTTCATGATGTCAGTTCAGCAGGACATTGCAGCAGTGCAGAAGAAAGGGGAGGAGAATGACCGTCTCCTGGCTGAGCTCCGTCGTGACGTAAGCAGTGGCGGAAGTCTGAACAGTGAAGAGTATGAGGGCTCCGCTCCAGAGTGGAAGAGTCCAGAACTCCCCAGATTTCGTCGGAGGCGAACCAGTTCAGAACAATCTTGGTCGGTTTCAAGGGTGAGTTCAGTAAAAAGATTCTTGAGAAGGCAGGCGATGCGATTCTCACCTCTCGCGCGGCTGTTCAAGCCCAGCAGCAGAGGAAGGTCACTCCCCAGAGTTTCACGAAGAAGGTGGTTCTTGCCTGTCACTCGGTGCCCGACGCCCAGGAAACTCTCAGATGCTTTCGGAAGAACTTCCCCGACGGTTTTGTTTTCGACACCCCTCGCGGCCAGGTCTTGCTCAGTCTGAAGCCACCGATACGCAGTTCAGCGTCATCTGTGCGATCAGGAAGCTTCTCGAACCTCTCATCGACATCGAGTGGGACTTCCGTTCCAGCCCGCAGCGTGGTTAGATATATACATATACATAAATATATGTGTGTATATATATATATGTGTATATCTATATATGTATGTGTGTATATATATACATATATATATATATATATATATATATATATATATATGCAGGCGGAACAGGAGCGAGGCTGCCACGAGTGTGCCTGCGCCCTCCATGGGGGCTCTGGGGTTCACTTCCCTTGCGTTTTTTTTAACAAGGCTTCGGCGTTCCAGGGCCTCCGAGGGAGGCCGCCAGGAGTGGACCTCCGCCCCCCAGTGGGGCTCCGGGGCTCACTTTCTGTGTGTGTGTGTGTGTGTGTTTTACCAGGTTTCCGCGACCTGGGCCTCGGAGTCCGCCGCCTCCGACCCCCCGTGGGGAGGGCGGGGCGGCCGGGGAGGTCCAAAATAGTTTGGGAGGGCCTCCAGAGGCTCCCAAGACGGCCCACGCGGGCCCCGAGCCGCCGAAAGACCGCTCCAGGACGCCCAAGATAGGCCCAAAACGGCCCGAGAGGCCCCCCAAGGCACTCCACGACGCCTCAAGACGCCTCTCCAGGTCTCTTCAAGAGGTCGAAATCGTCAATGTTACGAAGCTTTTCGAACGATTTTGGCCTTCCAGCCTTTTCGGCTGGCCGACGTTCCAAGACGGCTCAATACTTTGTAAGTCCCAAAAGCGCCCCAAGACGGCCCGAGAGGGCCCCAAGACGGCCCCAGAGTCGCCCAACACAGCCCAACAGAGCCCCGAGACGGCCCCAAGATGCGCCCAGGAGGGGGACCGCGACTCCAAAATTCGACCCTCCCGCTTGAAGAGTGCCCCAGGAGGCACCCAGGAGGCCCAAACGAGGTCCAAAAAGGCTACGAAACAGCCCCGGGGAGGCCCCACAACGGTCCCAAAACGGTTGCCGAGAAGCTGCGGAACTGCCCTCACGACGTCCCCGACAAGCCAACCACGAGATCCAAACCAACGCCCATGAGGCCTCTGACCCACCACCCAGGGCACTGTGGCGGGAGCAGTGACAGCCCTTGTGCACAGCATGTTCCGGCGGGGGCCTTCCGGAACACGCTGCAGGAGGAGAAGGAATATCAGGAGGAGAGAGAGCTGGAGTGGGAGGAGGAGGAGGAGGAGGAGGACGAGGAGGAGGAAGAGGCCTCCAAGACAGCTCCAAGATAGCCGAAGAGGCTTCCAAAAGGACCCTGGGCGGCCCACGAGGGCCCCAGGGCGGTGCCTGAGGCGCCCAAGAAGGCCCGAGAGGGCCCCAAGACGGGCCAAAGAGAGGCTCAAGGAGGGAAACACGAACTGAGAATCCGAGCTTTCTACCCCGAGAGGGTCTCGGGAAGTCCCAATCGGATCCAAAAAGCTCCCAAGAGGGCAGACGAGGTTCCAAAAGGTTTCCCAAGGTGGCCCCAAGAGGCATAACTCGTCGTTTTACGATTGGGCTTTGACGGGTTTAATTTGTTTCTGCCTTTTGGCTCCCCGATGCTCCAAGACGGCCCAGGATGCTTCCAATGCCGCTCCAATCTAGAGGAAGAGGCTTCCAATAGGACCCCAAGACGGCCCGCGAGGGCCCCAAGACGGTGCTCGAGGCGCTCGAGAGGGCCCCAAGAGCCCCAAGAGAGGCCCAAGAAGGGGAACGCGACCCAACAGCAGAGCGCTCCCCCCCAAAAGGCCCACAGGAGGCCGCAAGAGGACCCCCCAAAAGCTTCCCGAGGACCCAAAAGGCTTCTAGGAGACGTCCAAGGGGTCTTTTAAAATAGCCCAAGAGTGCCCTCGATGCGTGAAAACTGTTTCCAGGAGGCCCCCGGGAGACTTCCGGATTGCATCAATTTGGCCGCAGGTGGCCCCAAGTCGGGCCTCCACGCAGCCAAGACGGCCAATGGCGGCTTCAGATTTCAGAACCGATGCCCCCAAGGGACCTTCAGACGCCCCCCCAAGAGGCACCCAAGAGGTGCCTCCAACAGCCAGTTGACGAAGCATGCGGAACACCCCAGAAGCTCCTCAGATGCCGTCGCGCGCCAGTGCTGGATAGCGTTGTCCAAGATCGTCCAGCGCCCCCCCTTGCCTGGGCTAGAATCTGAGCGCGCGCGAAGCGCGCGCGATGGTTCTAGTATATATATATATATATATGTATATATATGTATATATATATATATACGCATTGAAAACGAGAAGACAGGGGCGACCCACCAACTCTTCCAGGTTGAGAAGCCCGGTGTTGATACCTCGAAGCCGAAAGTCACTTCGTTTCCGTGCACGTTCAAGGCCCTGAAGATCGAGGAGTCGAAACCACGGGAGATTGTGGATACGGTATTCGACGAGTTGCGTCTTTAGCGACATGGTAGCAGTAGACTCGCCAACAACAATGCCTGAGCGAGAGGGCTCCATCACTCTCGAGATCGCCTCTCTCTTGAGTGCGGGAGATTATGTAGAGGCACAGCGCAGACTGGAGGGGTTCAGTTAGAATTTGTTTGTTCCGTTCTTGCCTTCAAAATCGGTGTCTGTGGTGACGTGGAATTGCAGGGGGTTATTCGGCAGCGTCTCCAGCATGCGGCATCGGTCTTGTCAGCGTTGGATGCTTTTCTCTGGTCTTATCAGGCGTTACCAGGTCGCGTGTATCCAGGAATCCCACGGCCACGAGGGGGGGCCATGTCTGTTTGCAGAAGGAATTCCCCAAGCATAGTTTCTTCTTCAAACCGCACCCGCTGAACACTCCTGGTCATGAGGTCTTGTTGTAGTCAGATGCGTGTTGCTGGGTGCGTTCACAGATTTCCACCATAAAGTTGTGGTTCCTGGGGAGATATCCTATGTTCTTGGCTGTGGCTCCTCTGGGGTCCTTGGGATGGCGGTGGTCCACTTGCCGAGCGTTGATGCCGGCGTCGGTCTCTATCGCCATCAACTGATCCGTCTGCAGTCGTCGCTCCTCTCTGCCTCTCTTGCCACGAATCATTTCCTCGGGCGCCTTCACTCCTGGGGGCGCGGCCCACGCCGGGGAGTGGAATCAATGCTTTGGATCGCTTGCAGAGCTGCGCCAGCCTCTTGATGCTCGCCCGGCTGGCTAGGGGGCGCAGGTCGCAGGGGCCGGTCGGTCGGATCGGGTCTACATCAGTGCGCGCCCGTCTGTCTGGAATGATTTCGCGATCACTGGTTCTATTATCGGTATGCCTACCTACCTGAAGAATCCCTCGGACCACGTGCCTGTCGTTGCCACGGTTGCTCCTACGCCTCGACCTGGTCCTGGACCGCCCCCGATCCCTGCCTGGGCCCCTCGAACACTTGAGTACCAGTCTATCCTGGCGGAAAGGCTTGCAGAGGTTGACATCAATCTAGGGCCCAAGGATCAGTTGGAAGCTACCAAGGTGGCGACGCATGCGGCTCACTCCGGGTTTCGGAAAGTCTTGCGACGCAGAGAGGTCAGATATTGCGACCCACGAATTTCTTCTCTGGAGTGCGTCGGGTCTTCGTGCGTTGCGAGCTGGCCCTTCATCTCACTGTCTTCTTATCCCTGCTGTGCGTGATTACCCCGCTCTTTCTCTGACTTCTTTGATGTTGCCGCGTGCGCTCTGTTGGGCGATGCGGGCCTCTTCCCGCGCTCTCTCGGCTGATAACGACAGCGCGATTGAGCAGGCCACCTCTATCCCCGTGCATGAGTTGCAACGACGGCGCGCGCGCGTGCAGCGTAATAGGGAACGGTTGTGCTCATTGAACCCCCTGTCCGTCTTGGTAATATGCTGCAAGAGCACACTGGTCTTCCGCGTGCGTCGCTTGAGCACGCAGGGCATGAGCTTGCGCGCCACTGGGGTGGAGTGTTTGCTTCAGTTGAACCCGATCGCTCACTCTGGGACTCCCTGGAACCTTTCATTCAGCAGGCTTCGGACGTCTACCCTGACTTGGAGTGGATTCTGGATCGAGAAGCGTTTGCTGCCCTGGTGAACGCCACGGGGGGTGCGATGCCGGGTGTCGATGGGGTGCCATATAGCTGTTGGAAGATTCAAAGAAGCTCAGGAGAAGCTGTACCTGTTCTATTGGCAGTGCATCGCTGACCCTGATGAAGCCCATCCTGCCGACTTCCATCGGGTGCTCATGGTCTTCCTTGCCAAAGCGGATCACCCCACTGATGCATTGGCGGTGCCCGCTAGAAAGCCATCCACTTTTCGTCCGCTCTCCATGTGTTGTACGGGCTGCGAGTTGGTCACCTCTGCTATTGCTCGGCCTCTCTCTCTGCTGGGTCAGCGCTCTATCTTGGACAGCAAGACTGGTGGTGTCTCTGGTCACTCGATATTGGATCACATCATCGAGCGCGAAGGAGATGGGGTCTGCGCACACCTTGAGGGGCAAGACAGAGCAGCGCAGCTCCATACTGAGTTTCGCGCTGCTTTCCCGAGCTTGGTGATCCAATTGGTGCTCGCTGTCGATAGTAAGGTGTGTATTCCGAAGTGGGCCGTGCAATTCTTTTCAAACCTATATGAGATTAACACCGCCCTGGTCCACTTGCGTGGCGCCGTGTTGGCCCAGTTCTCGGTTGGGCGCGGCGTTCGCCAAGGGTGCCCCTCGTCGGTGCTCTTATTTGCCGTCTCCTTGGACCCAGTGTGTCGTTGGCGGAATGCCACAAGGTCTTTAGGTTTCATGCTTTCAGGATACGTCGACGACCTGAGGTTCTGGCTGGCCAATATCTTTACCGAGTTGTATCCGCTCTTTGGTAAGCTCTGTTTTCTAGCCGAGGCCATCGGGCTTGAGTTGCGCTCCTGGGAAATGCATGATTCTAGTGGTCTGCCCGCAACCAGTTCAGAATTTCTCGCAGCTGCTTGTATCTCTGGGGCGAGGCTGCGAGCGTTTCTCTGTGGTCACTTGGCGCAGGCACCTTGGGATCAGCGTGGGCCCAGATGCTCACCTCCACTCGTTTCCCACGCAGCTGGGCAAATTATTCCGCCGGGTCTGCAAAATCCGTTTGGTGGGTGCTGGGCTGCGTTTTGCAGTTCTATGGGCCGACACCCACAACTGCTGCAGACGGGAGAACGGGCTCTTCAGATCCTTCATTTTGGACCGAGGTGCAGCTTCACTGCAGGAGTGATGAAGTCTCTCAGGCATGCAGGGCGCAGAGCTCAATGCATGGCTCTATTTCGTGCATCCCAAGCTGCAGCGTTCAGAACAGCACAGGACTCAGCGGCATGGAGTCGGTACCAGAGGTGTCTAGACGGAATTGTGCAGAACTCCAGCGACTTGCATCCGTTTCGGCTATCTCGCGGTTGGTTCGCTAACTCATTCCTGTCGCTTATGGCCGAGGACTATGCCGAGCATCTCCCTCGGGCTCGAGCGATTAACCCGCGTGCACCCTACTTGGTCTCCAAAGCGAAGTTGGCGTCGTCTCTCCGCGCAGACGTTGGCCCCGACCCTCTTCGTGACGACGTCGAGCGACGTGTTCTGAAGTGGATGCCCTTCTCCTCGCCTGCTTCTGTTTGGTTCCCCCCTTTCGCTAGACGTACGCGCACTGTCTGTCATTCAGTTTCGATGTTTCTAATGGTCGCCGTCTTGCGGGTTCTCTGTCGGGGACTTAGGACGTCGGCCCGTTTTCACGCCCAACCAAAACCCTGCGCTTTCATCTGCCTGGGGGCCGCAGATGACCAGTGCGACTACCTGCGCTGCCCGAAAGTCCTGGAGCTCTTTTCGTCTTGGGCCGCCCCCCTCTTCCCGTTCGATTTCGCCGACCCGTTCCCAGTTCTCCGCTGCGTAGACGGTCGAGTGCCCGACAAACCCAGAGACTTGGCACTGCGCGCGTTGCTTGAGTGTTTCGTCGGCGCCCACTCACAATTGCGAGCCGCTGCCGTGCCTAGGGGCGCCACGCCTGCGTTGATCTTTGAAGGCCGCTTGCGGCCCCTCATGCATCGGCACCCTCCCGTCCGCGCGCCCTGTGAGAGCCATCAGGGGTCAGGCCAGTCGGCCGTTCCGCACGCGCGAGGTTCTCGATGATGGTCGAGGCTTTTGTGCAGAGATGATTGTCTCCCAGGGGCGCTTTGAGGGCCTTGCTTGTTCTCTCTCCTTCCTCGCTGCCGCCCCCCTTGTCCCGCTGCTGCCGCTGGCTGCCGCCGTCGCGCGCGCCGCCGCCGTCTGCCCTCTCGCCCCCGTTGCTCCTCTCGGCCCGTGGCCTGGTGGATGGTGCGTGAGTTTTAGTGTTTAATGCTTGTTTCGGCCATTATACGTTTCCTGTAGGTTTTGCTCTGAATTATTGCCCTGGGCCGCCCGCCTCCTTCGCTTTTCTTGCCTCTGTCGCCTCTCTTGCTTCCCTTGCATGTTCCGACCTGGTGGAGAGGCCCCCCGCTGCCCGCCCCTCCCCCGCGCTTTCTCGAGGCCGGGTTCCAGCGGACCCCGTGAGCCCGCCAGAAGGGGTTGCCCAGCTACCAGCGCTGGGCACGGGCACGCCCGTTTTCGTTTTGTTTGCGCCCGCGCGCGAACGAGGTTCTCGATGTTGGGCGAGGCTCCGTGCGCCGCCCCGTTGGCTGCTTTCCTGGCCGTCCAACTGTCTCTCGGGTGGCTAGCCTAGCAGCTGCGATCGATCGATCGCCTCCTTTTTCCTCCTTGCCCCCCCTCCCTATTGCCTGCTTGCTTGCTGGCCCTGGCTGGTTTCTGGTTGCATGTCTTCCTTGGCGCCCAACCTGCGATTGCAAGACATCATCATCGTCGTCGGCTGCACCAGTTCTGAGGAGCAAGGGGGAGGCGGAGGAGGGGGGCCAGCAGAAACCCAGGACGCATCAACGATGTTGCAAACAAAATCCAGGTTATCCAAGTTCTTCCATCACACGTTCCATTGGAAAACAGCAGTCTGAGGACAAGCAATCAACGCCCCACGCCATACTTGGGGCTTCACCGCCGCGGATCTATATAAGAGCTGCGCCCTGACAGTCCTGAATTGTGACAGGGCATCATTTCCAGGACTTCACCGCGCGCGAAGCAACGTGATCGCTGCGTCCTGACAGTCAACAAATCGCGCCACAACAGCCACCTGGGACTTCAACCGCACGAACCTTGGAATCAACACCAAAGTTTGAGAAACGAATGTACGCGGCGCAAAACGCGAGAGAAACAGTATGACAAGCAAGTGCCTTCCCATATTTGAAGTTGCGGCAAAGGGTTCAAGACAAATGATCGCGGCGCTGACAAAGGCGAGAACCACTTTTTCAAAACGGCCCGCCCTCTTAGCTTAAAGCGATTTCGCAAGTTTAATACGGATGAGCACGGCGCCAAAGCGATACGCACATTTCGAAACCGACCCGTTATCCACTTTTGTTTGTTGTGGCAACGTTTTAAGACGAATGCGTCCGGTGCTCAAGCCAGGGCCACATGCTGAACACGACCTGATCCTCAACATTGAATTTACTGGAAAATATTACGGAAACGCGCTCCTTCTAGACGGATCCACAGTTTGAAACGGATCCGCCCTCCATTTCTGAACTTGCTGCAAAGTTTCAGTTCAAACCCGCGCGTCGCTCCAGCGAAAGTTCCATGTTTACAAGATTCGCCTTGCATTGTTGCAAGCTCCGGATCATACGTGGTGAAGTGGTGTTATTCGAAACGTGCGGTCCGCCTTGCTGACACGTTTGGGGGTGCGACAAGGAGGAACAAAACCATACTGGAACGGGGTGGAGAATGGAAGAGGCGGGGGAGGACGAAGAAGAAAAGGACGAAGAGGATGGGAATGACGACTGGGAGGGGGGAGGAGAGAGGGGGCGGATGAGAGGGAGGAGGGAGTAGTGCAAAGGAGGGAGCAGGGATGAGCAGCAGGACGGAGGAGGAAGGAAAAGGGTGGATGGGAGGGAGGAAGGAGGACGTAGGAGGAGGGAGGAGGGGGGAGGAGGGAAATGGGAGGAGGGAGGCGGGAGGAGAGAGGAGGGAGGAGGGAAGGAGGCAGGCGAGAGGAGGACGGAGGCGCCCGCGGTGCTGCCCCCCACCCTCATTCGCCCCCCCGACTCCCCCCAGAGGAGTGGGCCGCCGAGTACGCGCTGCTGTGCCAGGACATCGGGGACACAGAGCAGAGGGGCGGGCAAGGAACAGGGGCAGCGTTGGTCTGGGCCTCCCCGATGGGGTCGGAGCAAATGGGGTCGGAGGATCTCGCCGCATCGCCGATGTGGGGCCCAATTCTCACCACGCCGACGACGGCGGTGCATCGCCGACGTCGACGATGCATCGCAGATGCATTGGCGATGCGCCGCGATCCTCCGACCCCATCTGTTCGGATCCCATCTAGGAGGCGCCGAATTTGGGAGGGGGAGATCGTCGCAGGCGGTTTTTCTCCCCCAATCCCCGAGTTACGCCCGCAAAGTTGGCCTGTCAGAGTAGGGGGGCTCTGGAATACACCCCCAGGGGGCTATTCGGACGCACCCTTTTCAAGGATGGACGCCCCCCTATCGTATATCCCAGGATTCGGCCCCATATATTTGGTCACGTCGAAAATCCTTCAACGTTGGGGATTGGGGCCGCCATGTCCCCCGTAAGATAGGCTTGGGGAGGGGATGGGGACGAGTTTCGGGTCCGAGGTTCGAAGTCTTCTAGAGTGTTCGTGCGGTCGTAGGTTTTCCAGCCTCGGGACGCTTGCGAGCAACTGCGCCTCTCCGAGAGCGTTTTTGGGTGCTGCCCGGATCGTCCAGAACGCCCGCTGCGGGGCCGAGTTATGACCCGGAATTCAGGGGGCCACGTTAGGGAGAATCGGTTCAGGGGGGAACGCATCGACCCCCAACCGTCCATTCATCGCCGATGGGGGCCCGACGCCCCCCCATGCCCAGGAGCGTGCGGATTCGCTGTCGGGAACCCATCGCCGGTCTATCGGCGATGTGCAGCTGACTTCACGTCGATGTTTTTCCCCTGAGCCCGTCCCCCCACAGCGCTGCCCGTCAGAAGACTGTGCGTGTGTCTCGGCGTGTCTCGCGCGCTCCACTGCCTGCACTCGACTTTCTACGCCCCGTCGCCGCGCGCGGGGCCGCGACGTGAAACACGTGTAGGTGTGTGTGTGTGTGTGTGCGTGCGTGCGTGCGTGTGTGTGTGTGTGTGTGGCTCCCCGACCGCTTCTGTGGCCTCCGCGGCTTCGGGGCGCGTCTCCGATTGCCTTCGCCGTGTCGTTGCGCGCGTGGCCGCGACGGCGACAACAAGTCGTTGTGCGTGTGTGTGTGTGTGTGTGAAAGTGTGTGTGTATGTGTGTTTGTTCCCGCCTGTGCCTTTCATCCGTAGTGCTGCGTGGCACTATCTTGAGCGTGCCCTATGTAATTGTTTGGACTGCGGTGCCACTTCGCCGGCGGGGTACACATGCGCGTGTGTTTGTGTTGTGTGTGTGTTGTGTGTGTGCGTGTGCGTGTGCGTGGGTATGTGTGTTTGTGTGTGTGTGTCCCGCCGCGTGCGCCCGCCCGTTCGGTTACTTTCTCCGCCTCGATGCTGCGCGTGAGACCGCGACCGTCTAACATTGTTTGTGTGTACGTGTGTGTGTGCTTGTGTGCGTGTGTGTGTGCGTGTGTGTGAGTGTGTCTTTGTGCGTGCGTGTGTGCGTGTGGGTGCGTTCGTATGGCCGTGTGTGTGTGTGTCTGCGTGTGTGTGTGTGTGTGCTTGCTTGCGTGCGTGCGTACGTGCGTGCGAGCGTGTGTGTGTGTGTGTGTGTGTGTTTTCGTGTGTGTATGTTCGTGTGTGTATGTTCGTGTGTGTGTGTGTGCGTGTGTGTGCGTGTGGGGGGGGGCGTGTGTGTCTGTATGTGTGTCTGTGTGTGTGAGTGTATGGGTGTGTGTGTGTGTGTGTGCGTGCCTCGTCCTCGCTCATTGCCCCCTGCACTTGCGCACTCGCCTCCTCCACGGCCGCCGCTCTGTGCGTCCCCGCGTCGCGTGGCTTCGTCATTGTGGGTGAGCCCCGCGCGCATCGTTGGGGCTGCTGCATGACGGCACGGCGGCGCGTTCCTGGGTCCCGCCTGCTGTGGTTCGACTCCGCCGTGTCGCCACGCGCACGGCCGAGATTCCAACCAAGGTGTGTGTCCGTCTGTATCGTCGCCTAGCGCAGCCACCCGCCCACAACGCTTGGTGATATCCGACATGGTGTTGCCGTCGCCTGTGCGCTCTTCGCGGCAGTGACAATGCCACTCGGCCGCTGAAGGGAAAAGTGTGCGCATCGCGGCCAGGGCCATGAGGCCTCCCCAGGTGACGCTGCCCCCTCTCCTTGCAATGCGAGACCCCCTCATCCGCGCAGGCGCCCCTTCTGGTTGACCGCAAAGGGGGTCCAGCGAAAAGATGGTGGTGCCATAGACTTGGTGCAAGAGATGTGTGGGGTTGCAACAGACTCGGGGCGCGCAATACATTCCGGTGCACAAGTGTACTGCTGGGATCTCGCGTGCCTTCGATATGGAGGCGATACACTGCACTACGAGTCTCTGTCGCAACACATTTGCAACATGATTGCCCCAGACCTGTTGCACCACCCCCTTTCAGCTGGGCCCCCTCTTGGCCGACCACACCCCCTCCGCCCCGGCCCCCCTCTCCGGCGATGCCTGGCAGGAGCGGCGCTGCGAAGCCGGCCGAGGGCTCCCGCTGACGGCCTACCTGGACATGGTCGGCGACCGGTCCGGGGGCGGCTGCTTCTGCAGCGCCGCCCTGCTGCGCCTCTTCGCGGAGGAGCTCCGGGGAGGAGAAGGCACCCACACATCTACTCCAGATTTCGTAATAAAAGGGAGGGGGTCACAACCCTCTCAGACGAGAAGTTTTAGACCCCCCAGACTATCCATCAAAGGGCGGCCCTTTGCCCAGACCCCCCCGAACCCTCCAAGACAGCTCAGATTAGACCTCCCCCCCCGAATGTGACCCCCCCACTTTGTTATGGAATCCGGAGTACCCTGCCCCCGTTCTCCCCCTCTTCGGGCCTCCTTGGAGGCCTTGTCGCCACCGCAGGGTTCTGGTCATAGAGCACCCTGGCGGATGCCCGCGGAGCAGCGGCATCAGTACTCTTTGGTCTCCCGAGGAGCTGGCCCACGGGCTCGCGGCGCGCGGCGGGGTGGCCGCGGCCGCCGCCCCACGGGCGTAGGTCCCCGTAGTGTCCGGTCCGCCAGCATCGAAGGAGAACTAAGGCCAATAACCATAGACTTCTGGCGCACCGCGCGGATTTCATGGATCCGCGCTGGGCCCCCCCGGCGGAGCTAAAACGACGCGAAGATCGGGACAAAATCGGATCGGGATAACTCGAAATCTCTGAGAATCGGCGGGTTTGGAGGATGTATTGGGCGCCGCGGCCGCTCCAGAGCGTTCCGGAACGCTCTGAGAGCGCTCCGGAACGCTCTGGAGCGATTTATCCCATTCCTAGCCCTGTTTTACGCACCGCGCGGGTTTCATGGATCCGCGCTGGGCCCCCCCGGCGGAGCGCGGAGCGCGTCAGGGGCGGCGCCGGAGGCGCCGCCGGGGGGGGTCCAGCGCTGATCCATGAGAGACCCGAATCATCAGGGGTAACTCGGGTCAGGGCTAACTCGGGTTCGTTGTTCGGGAATCCGAACCCGAGTTACCCCGGGCCCGAGTTACCCCGGATAATTCGGGCGTCCAGAGCCCCAAATCATCAGGGATAATTCGGGTCAGGGCTAATTCGGGTTTCTTTTGCCGGGAATCCAAACCCGAGTTGCCCCGGGCCCGAGTTACCCCGGATAACTCGGGCGCCCAAGATCCAAGAAATCCGCGCGGAGCGCCGAGTTTATGTTTATGGGATTTCTTCTGCTTCTACAGCACGAGTGCGAGCGGTATGTACCCAGCGATGCAGGTCGAGGGACGGAGCACACTGACCATGACCAGGTGTCGCGGGCTCTCGCCGACACCGGTCTTGGCCACGGTCCATGTTGGCCGTCGCCGATTCGCGAGGATGATCCACGAATCGAATCGATGCTGACCAAGATGGACGGTGACCAAGGTTGACACGACGGTTTTTTTTCGCCGCCAGTTTTTCTGAGGCGAAAAGCATATCTGCATCCGCAGCCTCGCGAGCTGAGCCCCTGGGCCGCGACACCCGGATCCGGGGCTTTTTTGTTGCGCACTCCCCGCGCGGACACGCGACCGCGTATCCGCGGGATCGCGCCCCAGAATCCAGACTGCGAGGGCGCGGATACGGATATTCGGGGAAACGTGAGACTCGAGTTCGCCAGAACTCGGGTCTTCCGACGCCTTTTGACGGGCATGTCCTGGATGTTGACGGTCCGGTTTTCGTGGGATATTTGCGGCGGGAGCTTGTGTTACATGTCAGATTGGGTCTCGTCGTTCTCCTGATGGCCTCGTCAGGCCAACCCGAGTCTCACGTATCCCCGAGATATGTTCGCCGCTCGTGAGTCCTGATCATGGTCCCTCTATCGGCAGCGCGCCGGGGGGGAAGGTGAGTAGGATCGGGCCTTCTCAGAAGGCTCGGAAGTCCCCTGGCCTTATGAGAAATTGTTTGAAGCCTTCCCCGAAGACAACAAAAACCTTTCAGAAAAAGCGTGAGGGCTTCTGAGAAGCCCCAGTGCCTTCTGAGAAAGCCTTCTTCTCATTTCCCCCCCCGCTCGCCGCCGACTCTTTCCTTCTGGGCCTCCTAGCTGGGGTCGGAGTAGATGGGGTTGGAGGATTGCGCCGCATCGCCGATGCGGCTCGATGCGGAGCCCGATTCTCCACGCCGACGTCGGCTGTGCACCGCCGATGAAGCGCGATCCTCCGACCCCATCGACTCCGACCCCGTCTACGAGGCCTCTACTCCTTCCCTTCCACTCAGGCAGGTTTCCCCCTGGCGCCTGCTGCAGGCCCCAGGGCGCAGGCCCCCGTGCCCGCGAGATCTTGCCCGCCGCCGCCGGCAGGGCTCTGGCAGCTGCCCGTCTTGAGTTGGGCACGTCCCTCTCTGCAGGAGGAGCACTCGAAATTTGTCAAAAAAGAATCAGGGGATGATTATTCGATGATCTCTCGCTATGATTTAGTTGTTATGGCTATTCTTCATTTTTCTTCCGAAATCCGCCTGTAGGCTTGTCCCTCCCCACCGATGTCGACTTGAGCTTTCCTGTAGGCCTACCTAATGGGGTCCGAGTGGATGGGGTCGGAGGATCGCAACGCATCGGCGATGCGGCTCGATGTGGGACCGATTCTCTCCACGCAGGTCGCCGACGTCGGCTTTGCATCGCGTCTCATCGCCGATGCACTGGCGATGCATCGGCGATGCGGCGTGATCCTCCGACCCCATCCACTCGGACCCCAATTGGGAGGCCTCGAGCTGACGGCTTGAGCTGTCCCCCTCTCTCCCCCATCGATCCCTCGCTCCTCTCCCCCTCCCTCGAGGGCCACAGAGGCAGAACCGGGGTATGCCGGAGCTCTGCGCGGAGTTCTCTCTGATCGGCGTTGGACCTCGGCGGCGCCTCCAGAGCCACCCCAGGGAGGTGGGTCTGGCGCAGATCCAAGAAAGCCTCCGAACGTTACTGTTTATGCCATTGTTTGTTCCTCTATCTCTCGGGAGTGGGCAGAATCCCCAACAGTGACACGTCGATTAGTGTCGTTCGTTTTCGGTTCTCGAGATGGCGCCGTGGCCGCTATTTTCCAGGCTTGCGCCCGCCAGGTCTGGGCCTCAGGTCGTTTTCACTAAACCACGTTTTGCTAAAGGGAGGTCTGTCCATCCCCGAGTCTCTCCCTCCAGCTCCCCACTCCCTATCCACCTGAAGCTCGGTTCTGCCGACGCCTTCGGACGGACTTGTCCTGGATTGTGACTGTCCAGTTGTCGTAGGACGTGTGCAGCGAGAGTTCGCGTCATTTTCTTGATGGCCTTGTCAGGCCAATTCGAGTCCTTCGAACTCGAGCATCACGTGCCCCCGAAACGCGTTCCATCCCCTGACATCTGACCCCCTACGTACTAGTACCCCTCCCTCCCTCCCCGTCCCCAACCCTCCCTCCTTCCCCCTTCTATCACCTCTCCCCCTCTTCCCTCCCCAAGCCAACGCACAGTCACACACTCCTCTTCCGCCTGCCAGGTGACGTCACCGTAGCGAGTGTTAGCATGGGTCGCAGACTAACGATTCAAAGTGCACCCAGCATTGCAAATGCAGGCAAATGGTGGACACTGTCACACTCAGACACACACATTCGCACACACGGACACAGATTCATTCTTTCCTCACTCTGTTCTTCCTCGCCTGTTCTGCGGGCCCGAAGACAGGGTAAATACTCTCGTCATGGGTTCTCACAACGCCCGAATTTCGAGGGTCGCTGGTTTATCCAGCTGCCTGCGGCAAGAACCGCCACCGTGGCAGCCCAGCATTCTGAGAAGCGATTGTTCGAGAGGGAATCTGGAGGCTGTCACGTGTGATGCCACGAGGCCCCAGGCCTGGGAGAGCCATGGTGAGGGTGATAATGATGAAGATGATGAAGATGATGATCATGATGACGACGAGGAGGAGCAAGAAGAGGAGCAGGAGGATGAAGAGAGAGGCCGTCCCATGTGACACCATCCGTCTTTATTTCTTGAGGAGCTCTCATGGAAGGAAACTCATTTGGGCCGTCCTGTGGCTTCCTTGGCCTCCCGTGGGGCAGTCTTGAGGGTCCCTTGCGGCCATCTTGGGGCCCTGGCTTGGGGCCCTCTTAGGCCGTCTTGGGGCTCCTTTAGACTGTCGTGGGGCCCTGTTGGCCGTATGAAGGGAGTCTGAGGGCCATCTTGGCGCCGTCTTGGGCCGTCGAAGGACCTTCTAAGGCCTTCTTGGGTCCAGAGGCCATCTCGGGCCGTCTAAGATGCCTCTTGTGCCATCGCGGGGTCCTCTTCGGCCCTCCTGCGACCCTCTTGGGGGCCTTTTGGGTTGTCTTGAGGCTTCTTGGGCCGTCTTGCGTTGACGGGAGCCCGAAAGGGTGAGAATGCGAACATAATTTTGCAAAAAATCGTAGGGAACCAATATGTTTGAAATCTGGACCCTGTTGGGGGTCCGACAGTGTCTCGTTTGTGCTTTCTCCGAGGCACCTTGGGCTGTCTTGAGCCCATGTTGGACCTCCCTGGGGCCATCTTGGGCCGTCTTTGAGGAATATTGGGTCATCTTGGTTGCCGTGGCTGCTTGCCGAGGCCGTCATGGAAGCGCTGGACGCAGTCACACTGTTCTCTGTTTCGAGGGATCGTGGCATCGGGAGCACGGATCCGCTCTTTTAACGAGGGACCGCGGCCTCGGGGGCAGAGGCGAGGCACGCACCAGTCCGTTGCTAGGAGGGGGCGGGTTCCATGTGAGAGGACGGGAGCCCTACCACACAGCACTTGGCATTCTTCCACGCCTTAATAGGGGGCCACATGCGAACCCTACCCCTACCCCCCACGACTTCTGAGGGGGAGGGTGGGGTTCACTTCGCTCGGGAGCTTCCGAACGAAGTTAACCCCACCTTCCCCCCCATAAATCGTGGTGGGTAGGGGCAGGGTTCGCATGTGGCCCCCTACTCAACCTGCCAGGGGGCACGGCGGCGGATGCGCAGCTCAGACAGACGCAGGTTGTACGGCAACGCTCTGCAGCCTCTTTACTCGATTGATTGAGGAGCTCGTCTCACTCATCTAGGCGCCTGGCGTTTTTTTTTTATCAGTTTGGGCGCCAGCTAAACGCAGTTGCCTTCAGCTCAATCTAGTGTGCTGACCTTCTGCACCGATGGTAGGCGCCGCGTGCCGTGTCGCAGTTGTGCGTTTTCTTGTTTTATCGTTGAGCTTACGAGTGTCGGACAATGCCGTCGAGTATTGGCGGTCTCCTCCCAAAATTTGTGCGAGTGTGTATTGTGCAGGATCAGGTAGCCCGTTGGTCGGCCCAGGATGTTCGCGGACGTGATGGCTGTGTGAAGAGCGTTGGTTTGTCTTATTATTATTATCATCATTCTGCGAGCAGGTGGGGGAGTGAGTAAGTGAGGAGGTGGAGGAGGGAGGAGAATGATGATGAGGAAGCGGAGGAGGAGGAGGAGGAGGAGGAGGAGGAGGAGGGAGGAGGCAGGAGAAGGGAGCAGGAGGAGGAGGAGGAGGATGGGCCCCATTCGTCCGTGTCGGCAGTGATCCGCCCTCTGCCGCTCGACCGCCTCCTGACTGCCCGCGTGGCCTGGTCGATTGGCTGGGCCGGCTGTTTGGCTGACCGTCTGGCAGGCGTGCGGCTCGGCCTGCTGGCTGGTTGTCGGGACGGAGGGCCGAAGGGCTTGCTGGCTACGGTAGGTTTGCGTCGTGTCGACCAGCGGCGACCCCAGCGCGGGCGTTCAAGGTTGAACGCCGCCGGCGACCCAGAATCGATCGATGTTGAACGATCGGACGTTGCGGCAGCGGCCGATCGTTCAAGGTTGAACGATCCCTGCGGTGTCAAAAACCAACGCCGAAGTCGGCACGACACGGACCTGCTGTAGTATTCGTCAGGCTGTCGGGTTGGTTTGCTGGCTGAAGGGCTTGCTGGCTGGCCGTCGGAGGGGAGGAGGAACAGGTACCGATGCCGCTACTCGTGGGCGGAAAGCATATCCGTATCCGCGGCCCCGCGGGCCAGGCCCTTGGGCCGCGACCCCACAGACACAGATCGTTTTTGCCGCGCGGCCCCGCGCGGAACGTTTCCGTGCGACCGCGTAGCCGCGGGACCGCGCCCTGGAATCCGGAGCGAGAGGGTGCGGATGCGGAGGCGTGCGCTGCTCGTGACCTTCTCGTTGCCTCGTGCTCGCTTGCTGGGGCCTCCTGGAGGAGGCCCTCCGTCGCATGCGCCGCGACGGTCTGGTCGGAACGCACCCTTAGGAGAGGTCTGGACAGTGGCGGCATCGTTTAATCGATCCCCATCCCCATCTCCATCCCCTTCGAGACCCCCACCAAATTACAAACCCCAGTTGGGGATACACCCCTCGAAACCCGAAGGGAACGGCCTATATCCCCATCTAGGGTGGAAAATCGACTAGTGGGACCCAGGCCACGCCGCTGGGGATGGGGATCGGTTAAACGATACTGAGTAGTGGCGGTATCGGTACCTTTTGGTGTCACTAGGTTCGTTGGTTGGCTGGTTGGTTTGGGCTGGCTGGTTTGGGCTGGCTGGCTGGCTTGCTGGCTCGCTGGTTTGCTGGCTGGCCGGCTGGCTGGCTGGCTGGCCAGTTGGCTAGCTGGTTGGCTGTGTGGCTGGCTAGTGGCCTGGCCGGTTGGGCGTGTGCTCGGCGTGTTCGGAGCGCAGCTCCACAGGTTTGGCAAGAGATCGTGGCCTCGAAGGTGCGGGCCGTGGCCGTCGGCCCGTCTCCGTCACCGTGCCCGGGTTGCGTGTCGGCGGATGTGTTCTGAATGAATTTTGGGGTCTATGGGTGGAGCCTCTCGGGGGCCTCTGGCAGGGCTCTTGGGGGCTTCTCGGGGGTCTTGGGGCCTCTCCGGGACCTCTTGGGGGCCTGTGGAGGGCGTCTGGTGGGCATCTGGAAGGATCTTGGGGCCGTCTTGGGGTGGATGGAGGGCTCGAGAGGCCCTTCGGGCCGTCTTGAGGGACTCTCTTTGGCCCTTCTTGGGGGCTCTTTGTGCGACCTCTGGGGCATCTTGGGCCGTCCCGGACGCCCGTAAGACCGACCAGCCGACAAGGCACAAATCATTGAAGCCAATGATTTTGGCATGCAATCATCGACCCACGGGGGAATGGTGGCGGGGACGGGGACGGGAGAGGAGGGGAAGGGAGCAGAGTTGGAGGCAGGGAGGGCGAGATGGAGGAGGGCGAAGGGCGAGAGGAGGCAGAGGACGACCCACGGACCATTTTGGTGTAACCGTGCTGATGGTTGATGTGCGCACCCGCCAGCGCGGTGCGTCTCCAGCTCTCCCCTCCCGCCGCCCCAGACGTGCCCCGCGCCGTGAGGCCTGGAGGAAGCGGCTCCGGGAGGAGCGCGAGAGGGAGGCCGTGGAGGACGAGGCACGACCCGGGCTCGGCGGCCATCCGCCCCGTATTCTGCACGAACGAAGTGGGCACGGAAAGAATGGGTATGCTGCCCAACAGCGGATTTGGTTCATTCTGAACAGGGCTCGCGGTCCACGCCGCCGCGGCCTGTGTCCATTCGAGACAGAAGGCCGCCTGCCCAACAGCGGCCGCTGTTGGTTTGGGGCAACACTTGTTGTTGGGCGTTGTACTATTTCTTTCCGTGCCCATTTCGGGCGTCCAACTGTATGTCGGGGGTGGACAGAACCCCAAACGGTGACACGTCGAGTAGTGAATCGTCCTTTTTCGGTTCTCGAGGGCGCCGCGGCCGTCGGTTTTCAGGCTGCGCCCGCGAGGTTTGGGCCTTGGGTCGTTTTTTTCTCTACACCACGTTTTACTACAGGGGGTCCTGTCCATCCCCGAGTATGGACCCTGTGAACAACGGGTCAGTTGTTGTCGTCCCCGTTCCGTTTTCCCCCAACGGTGTTTGCATTGAGGGATTGTTGGGTCTGGCGGTTGTGTTGCCGCCGCCCCGTCGGTGCCTCGTCGTCGCCCGTCGTGTAGACATGGTTGTCGGCCTGGCGGCTATGTTGTCGCCGTCGCCGCCCCGTCGCCGCCTCGGCCTCGCCCGTCGTCTGGGCTCGACCGCCGGTCTGGTCGCCATGCTGTCGTCGTCGCCGCCCTGTCGCCGCCGGGATTGCACCGCATACGTTGTCCCACATATATGTTGCACGCACCACATAGGTTGCATCGCATAATTTGAACCGCATCTATTGGATCACATAGATTGCGCGAAAAGGATAGCACAGCATATATTGTACCAATCGTTTGCACCGCGTAGAGTGCAGTGCACCACATAGATTGCACCACGTATGTTGCACCACATAGACAGCACATCCTATATTACACCACTTAGATTGCAACACGCCGAGTTCATCGCATTAGCATTGGACCACGTATATTGCACCACAGATATCGCACAATATTGACTGCACAACATATATTGCATCACATAATTGCACAACATAGATTGCCCCACATGTATGGCACGTCATATCGAAGACTCCTTCGGATAATCACCGCCGCCCCTTGCCTTTTAGAATAGCCTATGTGGCCGAGCGCTGTGGCAGGAGCTCGGCCAAGCTATCGGGCCATGTTTTTCCCCACCAGTTGTGGAAACCCTTCGGGGAACATTTGGGGGAGGATGGCGGGGAAGATCAGGAGGAGGAGGAGGAGGAGGAGGAGGACGAGGAGGAGGAGGACGAGGAGGAGGAGGAGGAGGAGGATGAGGAGGAGGAGGAGGAGGAGGAGGAGGAGGAGGGGGAGGAGGGGATTCCTGGCCCGCCTGACGCCGTCGGGAGGCCTCTCTGTGCCGATTTGGGGCCCTCATGGGCTGCCTCAGGGCCGTCTCGGAGGCCATCTTGAGCGTCTTGGAGGCCTCTTGGGCCGTCTTGGAGCCCTCTTGGGGCCGCCTTGGCCTCTTGGGCCCTTCTGGCGCTATCTTGGATGCCTCGTGGGCGATCTTTCGATGCTCTTGGACCGTCTCAGGCCGTCGGAAAGCTGAAAAGACGCAATTGCCCAAATCCTTCAAACACGTAAGGAACATGCATGATTTTGGCCTCTACGGGCCTGGTTCTCGTGGCCAGTCGAACGCCGTCGGAAGCCGCCTTGAGGTCATCTCTGGGCCCACTTGGGACCATCTTAGGGTGGTCAAGGGGTGCTCCAAGGCCGTCTCGGAGGCAATCTTGGGCGTCGTGGAGGCCTCTTGGGCCGTTCTGGATCTTCTTGGAGCCCTGTGTGCGGCCTCTTGGGCCGTTCTGGGGCCATCTTGGAGGCCTCTTGGGCGATCTTGGGGCGATACTTGGGGGCTCTTAGGCCGTCTCGGGCCGACGGAAGGTCAGAACAAAAACAAGCTTTGGCAACGTTTACGTGATCGAAAGTTGGGTGAGAGTTTGGCCGATCTATCCGACCACATGTTTCTCGAATCGGTTTGGAACGCCTTTTGGCAACACATGGAGGTGGAAGACGAGGATGCGGATAGGGAGAGGGAAAGGAAGAAGAGAAGGAGGAGGAGAAAGATGGGGATGAAGAAGAGACCTTTGGGGAGCCTCTTGGATCAGTCTGGGCGCATCCTGAGAACTCCAAAAGGATCTGTTTGGAGGCCCATTCTGGACAATCATGGATACAATGGGGACCTTCGGGGGCTCCTTGGGGGCCAATCTGGCTGTCTTGGGGCGTTTCTCGCCCGTCTGACGCCGTCGGAGGCTGTCTTGGGGGACGTCGCAAGACTGAGGAGGAGGAGGTCCCCAAATCTTCAAAACCAGATAGGAAGTCAATGATTTCGGCTTTGGCGGGGCTTCCTGGAAGTTCTCTTGGAGACCTCCTGGGCTGTCTTGGAGTCCTCTCGGGAGCTTCTTGGGGCGTCTGTGGCTATCTTGAGGCCATCTTGTGCCGTCTTGGGTGCGTCGCAGGCCGCTTTGGAGACATCTTGGGGCCATCTTGGGCTCTCTGGGGCCATCTTGGCCGTCCTGGAGGCCATCTTGGGCGTCTTCGAGGCTTCGTCGGCCGCCTTAGAGCTCTCTTGGGGCCGTCTCGGGGGCTTCTTGGGCCATCCAGGAGCCATCTTGGACGCTTCTTGGGCGGTCTTGGGGCCATCGTGAAGGCCTCTTGCGCCGTTCTTGGGGACCATCCCATTTTTGATTATCGTGAGCGAACTTGGAGGCCATCTGTTCCGTCTTGTAGGCCATCTTGGGCCATCTTGGCCGTCTTGGAGGCCATCTTGGAGCCATCTGGAGAAGGAAAAACCTTGTGAGCCACCCCGCCCGGAGCTTTCGAGCTTTCCGGGTCCTTCCGGGTGGCCAGCGAGACGGGCGGAAGCCCCAGGTGGATTTGTCTGGAGAAAGAATTGAAACCAAATACCATATGATACCATATGATCTTGCACGCCAGGCACCCCTGTGGCAAGACCACCGGGGGCGGCGGATCGAAGACGCCTACAGCGAATCACCGCCGCCCCCTGCCCTTTTGGAAACGCCTATGTGGCCGACAGCTGGGCTAAAGCTTGGCCAAGGAGGCGGAGGAGGAGGAGGAGCAGGAGGAGGAGCAGGAGGAGGAAGACCAGTGTAAACCAAAGAGTCATCAACGATGTTGGAGTTAACCCTTCCTCCAAGCTCCTTCTTCACAGGCCCCGACAACGGTTCATGTCCATTGACGGAATTGCTTCGTTGGAAGACACCCTTGAAGACGCTGAAGCATGCCAAAACATGGTTTTCGGGATTTCAACGCAACGGATCAACTTGACTGCTGCATCTTGACGATCTGGAACTGTACCAGAACGCCATTATTGGGACATCAACACCATGAATCAGCATAAATATTGCACCCGCATGGTCCTGAATCCTTCCAGAACGCAATTCCTGGTACGTTGACCATGGGAATCCGTGAACCCCTTCCAGATTTATAAACGAATGTGCGCGGCGCGAAGGCGACACCCACATTTTGAAAACGAACCGCCCTGAATCCGTGAAACTCTTGCAAATGTTTAGAACGAGTGTGCGCGGCGCTCAGGCGAGAGCCGCATTTTGAAAACCACCCACCCTCGATCCGTGAAACTCTTGCAAATGTTTAGAACGAATGTGCGCGGCGCTAAGGCGAGAGCCACATTTGGAAAATCACCCGCCTTCAATTCGCGAAACTTTTGCACACTTTTCAAGCGAATGTTCGCGGCGCTAAGGCGAGAGCCACATTTGGAAAACCACCCGCCTTCATCTGTGAAACGGTTGTCACTTTTGAAGCTTCAGGGTCATCAGCGGTGAGGAAGTCTCAGCCGAAACGTCCGGCCCGCCTTAAAAATTGGCCTCGGGGTGCGACAAGGAGAAACTATGTATAAGGCATAGGAATGGAGTAGGAGGAGGAGACTTCTGGAGAACCTCTTGGGAGGCCTCTCAGGAGTTCTCTGCGGAGCTTGCCGGGAGCCTTTGGGAGGCCTCTTATGAGCCTCCCTGGGCCTCTTGGGGGCCGCTTGGGGGCTTTGGGGGGCTTCTTGGGAGCCATCTCCGGGCGTTCCTTAGCCGTGTGACGCCGTCGGACGCCGTCTTGGAGGCCTCTCTGAACCGACTTGGGGCCCTCTTCGGGCGCTTCAGGCGTGGGCGTCTTGGACGCCTCTTGGGGCGGGCCATCTTGGAGCACTCCTGGGCGATCTTGGGGCTGGGTGCCGTTTTGGGGCTTCTTGGGAGCCGTTTTGGGGCCTCTTTTGGGCCTCTTGGGGGCCTCCTGGGCGCCTCTGGGAGCCTCCTGGTCTCTTGGGGCGGACGGCTCGGATTTTCTGTTTGTGTTCCCTCTATTTGTGGTCCAGGCCCTTAAGAATTTCAGCATTGAGGATTGAGGATTGAGGCTCAGGGGATGAGGCAAAGGACCTGAGGACACGCCCACTCCGTGCCCAGAGGCACGGTGGCGGATAGTGTAAGAAACGCACTGTTTAGGTCCGCGCTGGCTAACATTCCGTTATTGTGTTTGGTTCCGTCGCCGTTTGTTTTTGTTGCTTTTTGGTAGGGGTTAGTGGTTTTTGTTTGTGCCTCGTCCTGCACAGTTGTTCCATTTCGGTGGACCGAGTTTAGCGCTCTCATGAAGCAGCGAGCTTGATATCGGCAGACAGTGCTGTGCCGCCTCCGGGACCCAGGAAACATCCACCCGACAACAGTATAGATGCTAGGGTGAAATTCCTGGGAGGTTAAATTCTGAGTCGGCGCTGGTATCTGCCTGGTCGTTACCTGGCCTGATCCTGTTCAATCCCGCGCACTCGAGCTTAATCTCGCTTGATCCTGCGCTATCTCACGGTCAACCTGGCCCGATCGGGCGAAATGGCCCCGTACTTTGGCTTCATCGCAATTGGTCTTTCTGACGAAGACCTCCCAGGACTTGCCTCACAAAACTAGGCATCCACGCCCAAACAGTCCAGTAAACCTGCATGGTAGGGATGGTCAACCTTCTCAAGAGCACACTTGAATCCTTGCCCCTTCGGCTCATCCTTCGCGACTTTCGCTGGCCAACCTGGTTCGAACAACGTTAACATGGGCCTCCAAGGCCTTTGCATCCTTACCGCGCATCCTTATGATACGGGTTGACTGTAGATAGGATGTTGCAGCATGCGCCATCCCGCTTCGTGCTCTGGACGTGCGAGGCAGTGGTGCTGTTCTGAGAGGCCGCAGGCCTCTGGGCCCATGCACTGCGTATGCTGTCTGCGTGTGTCCGCGCGTTGCGCAGAGGTGCGGTGTATGCAGGATCGGTGTGCTGCGCACGGGCTTAATCGCCTAAACAACGAATATTGCGGAGACATGCCAAGCAACACCCTGCTTGCCTCCAGGGTGCCCTGGGTTTTTTGGGTTTCGATTGTTTTTCTATGGGAAGCGTGAAGTTCCCACACCAAAAATCAGTGGACGTCCAGGGGTCTCAGGGTTGGGTTTCTTGGGGAAGGTCTGTGGACGAGCCTCCACTAGGGACAAGTTGCATAAGCATGAACTTTTAGAGCTCCGTGCGAATTTCTTGGATCGGCGCTGTGCCCCCTGGCGGCACCTCCGGCGGCGCCCCTGGCGCGCTCCGCGCGCCAGCGAGGGATATCCAGCGCAGATCCAGGAATTCTGCGCGGACCGTCGAAAGAGTATGTCTATCTAGTTGCTCTTCCTCTTAGACGGGGTAAACCGTTTGAAACGAAGGACCGTGCGTGAAGGTGCGTGCAGTATTTCTTTTGGTGCTCTTGCGAGCTTTCTGGCCCTGGGATGCGCACGATTGTTCTCAAATGGGAACTGTTTCTATAATGGATCCAGCACATTTGATTATTCCCGTCTCATTGTGCACGGCATGGTGCAATACATGGGATAAATTTTGTGTGGCTCAGTCTGAGAGGTGTAATTAATTTTTGAAAGCCTTGAAATCGTCGCCCTCATTGCTCGAGGAAACATCACATCCCTCCATCTGCAACTTCCTGGTATATCCTAACTGGCGCACTGGCACGAGGTCCCTCATACAGCAAATCAACGACCCGGGCGGGCGGGCGAGATGGTGACGACGACGATGATGGTGATGACGAGGGCGACGACAACGAAGTTGACAATGACAAGGATGATGATGATGATGATGCTGATGGTGATGATGATGACGGCGGTTACGAGGACGACGACGTTGGTGGTGGTGATGGCGATGACGATGGCAATAGTGACGCTTGCGATGGTTTGGCGATGGTGTTGATGAGGGTGACTTGAAGGTGCGCGCGCGGAGAAAGTTCGACAGATGTATTGAGCGTATTTCAAGACATTCATATTGTAATGAAGAACTACCAGGATGTCAAGTTGTGGGCGCGCGGACGCGCGCTTGCGTCTCGCATGTCTTTCGTCGACACAGTTGGCGCGCGCGCGATGATTGTCGAATGAGTTCTTCATGTCCGCGCGCGGTGCGCGCATTGTCCGATTCGATAGAACAGGCGAACCGCACATTAGGTATCGTCAGAAAAAAAACGCTTTCTGAGGCTGCTGACACAGGGGATACAGAGAGCTTTCTATCGGCTGGCTGTCCAGAACCCCCTCTCACTCCAAACGAGGGGGGAGGGGGGGGTCCCGGACACCCCCCAAGCAACACATATATATATATATATATATATATATATATATATATATATATTGGGCGGTCTAAAGCCACCCCGGAAAAAATGTGTTGGGGCGTCCAGAAACGACAACGGCAACGTCGGTGACGTTGACGACGACGACGACGAAGAGGACGTCGACGACGACTGCCGACAACTGACGACGATGACGACGACGGCGACGACGACAACGACGACGGCGGCGGCGGCGGCGGCGACGGCTGCGACGGCGACGACGACGACGGCGACGGCGACAGCGACGGCGACGACGCGGACGACGACGACATTGACGACGACGGTGACGGCGACGGCGACGACGACGGCGCGACGTGGAGGGCGAGGGACGACGACGACTGGTTGGGCGGTGGGATTGGGACCTCCCGGATTTGGGTGGAAAATTTGGAGTTCCTGTTTCTTGGGGGGGTGTTCCGACCTCCCCAGTTTTTTCGGTGGATGTGTGATATGTGTGCGCGTGCGTGGCCCGATTGGCATGTGTTGATACAGTGCCACCGAGCCTATCGTTCCAGCATCAAGGCGAGTGCGCCGCACAGAATGCTTAGACAACAGAGGCCGTGCAGCATGCAAGTATGAATCGCCACTGCGCGGAAGGTGGTGCGCACGTCCAGCCTCGGGGGGTAGCTAATCTCTTTGTTTTCTTGTTACTCTCTCTCTCTCTCTGTCTCTCTCCCTGTCTCTCTATCTCTCTCCCTCTCTCTCTCTCTATATACAGATCTGTAAATCTCCCTCTCTGTCTTTATCTATGTATATACGTGTCCTTCGACCCATCCCGCCACCGTGCCTGGATATTCGTTTGGATATCGTGGATATCGTGGGAGGCCTCTCGGGGGCCTCTTGCAGTCACTTTTGAAGCCTCTTGGGAGCCGTTTGGGGGCCTCTTGGGGCCTCGTTTTGGGCCTCTTTGTGGCCTCGTGGGGCTTTCAGGGTGCCTCTTAGGCTGTGCCTCTTGAGGGCCTCTTGGGGCGGAAGGCTCGAATTGTCGGTTCGTGTCCCCCTTGTTGGGCCTGTATTGGGGCCGGCTTGGGGCCCTCTTGGGCGATCTTGGGCGCCTCTTGGGCCGTTTTGGGACCCTCTTTAGCAGTCTGGGGGGCACTTTTGTGTGCGTCTTGGGCCGCCTTGGGGTTGTCTTGGGGGCCCGTGGGGCCATCCTGGAGCGTCGGAAGCCAGAAAACGCGAGAACACTCTGGACGCCCGAAGTGGGCACGGAAAGAATTGGTACAATGCCCAGCAGCAATTCCTGTTCATTTTGAGCAGGATTCGCTGTCCACGCCGCCGCGGCCTGTGTCCATTCGAGGCAGAAGGCCGCCTGCCCAACAGCGGCCGCTGTTGGTTTGGGACAACATTCGTTGTTGGGCATTGTACCCATTTTTTCCGTGCCCATTTCGGGCGTCCAAAAACACTACACACAGAAATAGCCAGGAACATTCAATGATGTTTGCCTCTTTGAGCCCTCTTGGGAGTCCTCTTGGAGCGCTATTGGGGCTTTTTTTAGGGCCTCATGGGCTGTCTTTGGGATTGTGCGTCTCGGAGAGCTCTTGGGATATAGTTGAGGCCTCTTTCTCGGGCGCTTTCTGGGGCGCTCTTGGTCCGCCTTGGGGCCCTCTGGCCTTTGGGCAAGTCATGCAAGGCAGCCCTGGAATGCGCTGGAACGCCTCGGCAATTTGAGAATTTGGGGCACCAGCCTTGAGAATAGAATAATCCCAGAGTCTTGGGTACAGAGAACGGGGACACATGAGTGTCTGGAGAAAAATCTACCTTACGCCTCGAGGCGCGGTGGCGGATTTGGGGTGTGCGGTTTTCACAGTGTCAAGGCTATGTTGCAATCTGTGGAGAACAGTATACGCGTTGCATTCTGTGGGGCGCAAGTAATGTTGACCGCATCCGCGCGTTGCCACATTTGATGCTCGTGCACACGTCCTATCATTTCCCTCGCAACTGGGTGGCAAACCGCACTCGGACGGCGCGGACCGTATCCTTGCGACCGCGTCTCCGCTGGATAATGCCTTGGGGACCAGACCGCGAGGGCGCGGTACACACACATATGTATATAGATACATGTACATATACACATGTATACATCTGCATATAAGCATAGATGTATACATATGTATATATAGACATATAAAGATGTACACGCATTTGTATTTGTTTAATTGTGTGTATGCATATGTGTATATACATGTATATGTCTATACGCTCATACATATCTATAGTGAGACAGAGAGAGAGAGAGGAATAGAGAGAGAGAGAGAGACAGAGATTCGCCGCTTGTGAAAAGCCCGCCCCCCGCCCGCAGATCAGAAGAGAGGAGAAGCGCAGGAAAAGGGAGGAGAAGCGGCGCCAGCGCGAGGAGGAGGAGGCGCGCCGTGGCACCGCCGGCGCCCGCCGGCGCGCGGAGCTCGAGAAGCCCACAGAGCCGCCGCCGACGGGGAGTCTCCCTTGTTGCCGAGTCCCCGGCAGGGCCCATGCCGAGCCGATCCGGTGCGATGTCGAGTGCGGCGGGCCCGATCCGATGCGACTCGGATATTCTGACAATCCGATGCGACTCGGGTATGCTTGCGACATCGACTCCGGCGGGCCCGCGACGATGCGGTTCGGATGTTCCGACGAGGCGCGGTGCCGGCATGGTGTTGTTGTGCATCTTGGCGGAGCCGATCCGATTCGATCTCGATCCCTCGCCAAGGCAGCCCGATCCTTTTTGCAGATTTCGATTCGATTCGATTTACCGATGTACCGACTGCTGAAAGAGTTTGCCCAGTCTCTTGTGCGCCCATAAATTTCAACATTGTGGAAAAGCGATACTGAGGCTGCTCGTGGTGTGCTCTGGGCGGGGGTTTATCCACCACCACCGCCCAGGGCGGGGGCGACTTTCCGGGGCGTCGGCAGGTGGTGTGTACGGGCATCAAATGGCTTTCGGCCCATGTGGTATGAGGCCAAGTGGATGTTCGTTGGGATCTCGTGGGAGGTTTCTCGGGGGCCTCTTCGAGGAAGTTTGGACGCCACTTCGGGGCCGTTTCGGGGCCTCTTGGGGTTTCGTCTGCTCTTCTTTGGGGGCCTCTTGGGGCCTCTTACAGGCCCCTTACAGGCCTCGTGGGCTCCTGTTGGGGCCTCTGGGGGTCCTCTGGGGGCGGATGGCTGGGATTTTCGGTTGGTGTCCCTCTTTTGGGGCCCTTTTGGGCCCGTCTTGGGGCCCTCTTGAGCCGTTTTGGGCACTTTTTGGTCCGTCTTGGAAGCCTATTGGGCCGTCGTGGGGCCGTTTTGGAGACCTCTTGGGCCGTCATAGGGCGGGGGCCTCTAGGGCCGTCTGGGAGCGTCGGGAAGCCGAAAACACGGGAACGCCACAATCTTTCCAAAAACCTAAGGAACATGATTTTGGCCTTTTGGGGCCCTCGTGGGGGTGTTGTTGGAGGCCTCTGGGGCCGTCTTTGAGGTGTCTGGGGCCGTCTCGAGGCTATTGACAACGTCGTTGAGTTAATTCTGTTTCGGCGAGTCGGGGCTCTCTTGGACCGTTTGGGCGGTCACAGCGTCCAGAGGACCCGCAGGAAACACCCCAGAACTCTCGGGAGCCTAGCCCGGGAAGCCCCAGGACGGCCCAAGACGGCCTGGGGCGGTGGGTCTGGGCATTCCCAGGACTTACAAATCTGGCTGCAGCAGCAGCAGCAGCACAGCCCCCACTTCTCAGTGCTGCATGAGCCTTGGGCCACTCCACTTCGTGCCAGGTGCACGGTGGCGGATACTCGGGTTCTGAGGGTGCCAGGTGCAGTGGAGGCCCATGCCAAGGAACACATTGCTTGCTTCCAGGGTGCCCTGGGTTTCTTGGGTTTCGATGGTTTTACAATGGAAAGCGTAACGTTTCCACACCACACATCAATGGACGTCCTGGGGTCCCATGGGTAGGGTTTCTTGCGGAAGGTGTCTTGTGGACTGGCCTCCATTGTAATCACCTCCGACGTCACCGAAGATGATTCCCAGGCGGTGGTGGTGGCTGAATCCCCGCCCCGCCGCCTCATACTTGAGTGCCGCAGGAATCCAGCGTGCTTGAAAGCAATGCGGAGGTTTGTCGTCATATTCGGCCTCGTGGGGGCCGATTTCAATCCGCAGGACTTGGAGGGCCAAGCCCACCTGCTTCTTGAATACCAACATCTGGGGCCGATGCCAAACACTGTTCTCACGTTCTAGCCACGAGCGTTGGACACATTGGGTGCCGTGACGTCCATAGACACTTTCGGGGTGTATACGTCTATGGACATAGTGATCGTTGCGTTTGGCGCGGTGCAAGGTGGGAGAAAGGGTAGATCCGTCTACGGTATGTTCCTGTTCTCGACCAGATCCCACATGGTATTCCATCTCTGGACCGTCAAACAACAAACCAGGACGAACCATCTTCCCCAGGGATAGGGTCGGGACATCTGGAGGGCCCTCATTGGAAAGGTAGGACGCCGGATTCCCCGAACCTCGGCGCGGGCACCCCAGCAAACCCGCCTCCATAGAACATCGCACACGATGCTTGGAAGACTTGATACGTTAGGGGGGGCGGGGCGTTTTGTGGCAGGGGTTTGGGGTTTTCCGGGTAGAGGGATTTTGCTCGTCATCTTCGTTTGTTTTCTTTTCTCCATGACTAAATGTCATTCCCATGTTGCTCCCTCATCCTCCTCGTCCTGCGCCTACTCCCTCATTCGTTATCCCTTCTGTCTCCTACTCATCTTCACTTCCATTCCCCTTCGTCCCTTTTTTCTCCTCCCTCGCTTTTCCTCCTCCGTTCTCATTCCTCCTGGCTTTGAAGCATACTCGTTGCCTCATAGGTATCCAGGTCCGTGTTATCCTCCGCATTCCTCATTCCGCCTATTCATCCTTGACTCGTCCTTCTCCGACTTCACATCCTCCTCCTCGCCCCCCCCGATGTGCCTCGTTGAGGCTGGCTGGCAGAGAAGAGCAGTACGCCGAGCTCACTGCAACGCCCACGGGCTTTCGTTGTGTGCTTGGCCTCCGCGCGAACAACAGAAGGGCTCCTTGCGTGTCTCGAAGAGTCCCCGTGGGCCATTTTTGGCGGCGCGCAGAGGGGGGTAGGAGGAGGGGGGAAGGCTTCTAAGAAGCGCCCCTGCTTCTTAGAAGGCGCGGACCTTACCTCTAGATGTAAGGCCGGCGCCTTCTACGAAGCAGACTCATTCTAAGAAGCCTTCCCCCCTCCCCCTGCCCCCTTGTGCGCGCCGCCAACATCTGGGAGTGCCTCGGGCGCTTTTCTTGTTGCGAGCATGCGGGGGGATCGGCAGGCTTCCTTGGCTCAGGTGCTGGGGCACGTCGGAGCCACCCTGCGGCGATCTTGGGCTGTATACCAGGGGGCACGGTGCTGCGTCCGACTGGTGGAATTGGAGCCCAGGGGGGTGGGGAGCAGTTGTTTCCACCGCCGCTGCCATAGGTAGGACGGGGGAGAAGGGAGGATGGGGAGGTCATCCTCCTCTTTCTCCTCCTCTTTCTCCTCCTCCTCCTCGTCCTCCTCCTCCTCCTCCTCCTCCTCCTCCTCCTCCTCCTCCTCCCTCTCCTCCCTGTGGGAGTAGGTGGCTCCCTGCGTGGCCCCCCCCCTCCCCCCGCAGCCTTTTTGCCCGCGGGGGGCGCGGGGCCCGTGCAATAGGGAACCCCCAGCCCCAGGCGCTGCCTGGCGCGACGTGGCTGCCGCGAGCCTGGGCTTGCGAGGCGGCTGCACCCAGCAGAGGCCCTGGCGCGCAGCCCAGAGGCCAACCATCCCTCTCGCCACGGGGGGTGACCCTTCGCGGTCTCGCTCCCCAGCGTGGCGCAGACGTCTCAGACGCATCCGTGCGTCGGCACGCCGCCGCTTGCGGCTCGTTGCCGACCACGACGCCCTCACGCGACACCACGGCTCCAGGCCCCCTGCCATGGGCAAAGCAGGGCGCGGCCGCAGCCGTGGTCCCCAGGAGGGCCGTGGCGCAGCGGGCTCTGGCGCGCCTGCTGGCACATGGGCTTGTTCTGCTAGCCGCCAGTGCGGCTTTCGCACTAACTTCCAGCAGAACGAACGCTGCTACATGTGCGGCAGGGACAAGCTGGGGTGGCCTGACCCGTCTGGCGCCGAACCGCCTGGTGCCAAGCGACGCGCCCAGTCGGGCAGCAGGCAGCCGCGCGGGGCCCTCAGCAGCGGCCCGCCCCAGGACGCCGAGAGCACCTCCACAGGAGGTCAAGGCGAGCAGGACGACGTCGCCCGTGCACGAAAGGGTCTCGCCGGTTTACGCCGACTGCAGCTCCCAGAGGACTCCGAGGTTGTGCTCTCTGCCAAGAAGCAGCTGGCAGGCGCAGAAGGACGGGAACGTGCTGCTCGGACTCCCGATGACATGCTTCGCCGTGCTCTGGACCGCCAAGCCTCGAAGCTTCGAGAACACAACGACCTCAAGACGCAGGTCGACGCGCTGCAGGAGGAGCTCACAGCGAAGCAGATGGAGCTCACCACGGCCGCCGCGGAGTTGGCCGCCATTCAAGCAGAGGTTGCCACGGCGCGCGCAGCCATCATGGCAACCTCGCCAGGTGACTCAACGGTCGGCAGCCTGGAGGAGGCCATGGGCCGCCTGCAGGGCGTGGTTGCCGCGGCACCACGCGCCATGGCCGCGGGCAACCCAGACACGCTCCTCCAGTCGCTCAGCACGACCCTCGTTGGGCTCCAGCGCGCCTTTGTATTGCACAGGCGCGCCGTCGCCCCTAGTGGCTCAGGAGCAGAGCGGCATACATAATCTCATGACGCTGCCCCTGTGCTCGGCGCCCCCATGGAGGTCGCCATGCCTCGTACTCCTGGCAGTGTGCACTCAGGTGGCGCCCACCCTTGGGACGCAGCAATCGATCAAGACTTGGAAGGCACCGACGAACGACGAGATGCTCGCAGCCAGCCTACCAGCAAGCACTCCAGGTACGTGATCCGATGGCGGACAGATCCTATACGAATGGCCTGGACAACGGCTCGTTGGTGTCTATGTCCACGCCCTCGCACATGCTAATGACCCCGAGGGGGGGCCCTGCAGTTTTGGCTGTTCAGGCGGATGGCGACTCCGTCGATTATCACGGCTTGCAGTGGCGCTCACTCGTGGACACCTTTCCTCTACAATGTCCGACCGACGCACCCCCGACTTTCCGCACGCATCTCAGCGCCTACGCCGAGCGGTGGAGTACGGACACAATGTCTTGGCACGATATCACGATGGCGCATGGTGACTGGACTTGGTGGTGTGTACCATACGCCGAGCTCATGATCAAGCTTATACCTCAGTTTCGGGAGTTGGCGCCAACTGAGGCTGCCATCTCGTCGCCTACTGCAAGACCGCCTGGCGTGACGCTGCTGACCACAATGCGCAGGTATTGTTGGCCCTGGCCACGCATCTGGCGAACCTTGACGCCTGGTATACAGAGGCGAAGCAACTCCTACTACAGCTACGGGCGGCACGACTCCTACTGGCGCAGGCTCATTACATACATGAGCAGGAGGGAGTACAT